TAAAATACTAGACTAGTAATATAGCAACAGAAGAGCTAGTGCTAGTAAGCTATTAAACTATAATACTCCTTTATAACTAGTGTTACTATTATAGATATAAAGGAGGTATATAATAAGTAAGTTATAAAGGCTATATAAGTAGATATATAGCGCTAATAGGTAGTAGTAAAAAGGATAGCCTATAAGCAAGAAAAAGAGGTCTAGTAGTAATATAGTGCTTTAAAGTATTAACAGGTAGATAGACAGATAAAGTAATTAACCTTTAAATAGTAGCTTATTTATACTAGAGAAGATTAACTATATATCCTATTTAACCTTTTAGATCTATAGTAGTATAACTTAAATAATACTATATACAAGGAAAAATTTATAATAGATCTTAATTTAACCTTTTTACTATAGTATATACTTGACTACTTTAAGTATACAGCAAGACCTCTTAGTTAAGGTAATATTAACTAAGTATTAGCTAATATAGCTGTAGAGGCAGTAGGGCTATACTTTAACCCTAAGATCTTTGTAGATATTAATAACCCTATTAACAAGGACATTAATTTAGTTATATTAAGTAAAGAATTAGTTAGTATACCTAAGAGTAATAATAATAATAATAGTTATATATTATTACTATTACTACTAATAACACTAATAGCTAGCCCTTTAATATTATAAGGTCCTTTATAATATAAGTTATAATATTACGCTCTAAAGGATAAGATAAATAGTTAGAGGGCAACAGGGGTTATACTATAAAATATTCTATATATGCCCCTATTAATATAAAAAAAGGAGTAGTAATATATAGTAGATAATAATAAGAGTAATACCTGTATTATAGTGGTAATATAAATTTGTAGTTATTATAGGAAAAGGGAAAAAAAGGTACTACTATAAAGCCCTTAATTAGGGCTATTAATTAGTACTACTTTTGTTATTATACAACGTTGTGGTGGTTGTTGCTTTAAGAAATAAAAAGTTGACTATACTATATAATGTACGTAAAAGTGAGGGTATTCGTGATGTGGGTGTAACCCCCCTTTTCTTACTGCAACCCCCCTTTTTTTGCCCCCTCCGTGAGGAGGGGGTATTTAGCTCACAGCGCTGACTAAGTTGCCCCTGGGTAGTTGCTTGGTAGAAGAAGTCTATATCGCTCTCTCTGCGCATTGTGCTACAAAGCTAAATCACTAAGGCTGCCTTCCTTGGCTGTACACCGATTGTCGTATTTCTGGTGACACGACTGGATGTTTCCATTTTTTTCAAGTGCAATCTGCTCGTGTGGCTGTACATGTACTCCCTGTTGCATTGTCCTATTGTGCATGTTAGAGAGAATCCATATGGATAACCGTAACGCTTTAATGTACTAGTCCTGCGGCTACACACTTGTGGTTGCATACTGTAGGGCATCTCGGGTTAATTAATTCCGGGCTCTGAAGGGCCTGGCTTTACTGTCTTTGCCTGGGGCGCCCGACGTACGGCCTGGGGGCCTATAGCGACTAGCGTGCTAGTAAGGATAATGGCCAGAGGGAGGAAGTTGGCTTCTATACTACAGCGGTTATATTAGTTTGATGCAATAGCCCGCTTATAGTAACTTGATAGCCTGAATTTCCCTAGTGTGCCTCTGTTAGAGGCTGTTTTTTGCCCTCGTTTTTGTGCTTGTAACTGAGGAGATCCCTGCGCGGGGTCTCTCCCTCAGACTGGCTTGCTGGTGACTTTGTTCTATTTCATTGGTTGGTCTCTACTTAGTAACATTTTTTGTTCCTAAAATCCCTATTATTACTGATCACCAATGCTTGATTAGCTGCCTCGGACTATTTGGAAATAATATAGTGAAAGTATATGTCTGCGAGTAGACCCGCTTATCTACATAAGTCAAAGCACCCACATATAAAACACCCCCACATATAGAACACCTTTTCCCACCAAAAACAGCTAAAACTAGCTATCTATATCTAAATAACTACAAGACCTATTACTTTACTTATTTCTCTATTAAATCTATTAAAAATTACTTACTTAGAAAGTATTAAAGCTATTTTAAATTTTTAATTAAAAGCTTTAAAATATTAGTATAAAGTCTTATAGTATAAATATTATAGTTAAAAAAAATAGCTAGTAGAAAAAAAGTATAAGTAAGTAAAAGTAGTATAAAATTATAAGATAAATTATTACTCTAAAATAAAAAAAGCTTTATTTTTTAAATATTTTATTTACTTAGATATACTATATAAAAACTTTTTACTAAGAAGTTTTTAGTACTAAAACTTAATATTACTAGTATATTAGTAATAAACTATTAACTATTTAAGAAAGCTAAAATAAGAGAGTATAAAAGGCCTAAATACTATATAAGCTTTTAGTATACTAAATTTAGTTTATAAAGAATAAAGTTATCTAGATTCTTAAAAAGTTAAGATTTATAAGTAAAATACTAGTAAACCTTAATAGTTAAGTACTTAGCCTTATTACTAAAAATCTACTAATAAAAAATACTTAAAACTTTTTTTATAGTTTCTTATCTATATTATATACCTTATAGTAAAGTTATAGACGTTTCTAACTATTATTAGTGTAGATCTTAATAGCTAGTTTTGGCTGTTTTTGGTGGGAAAAGTGTTCCAGATGTAGGGGTGTTTTATATGTAGGTGCTTTGACTTACTGATTTGCATCATTAGGTATACTTGTTATCTAAAATCTAAGTCCTAGAATACATATTTTTACCCTAGCTCAACCTTGCTTAACTAATACTGAGTACCTCACCCATGCAGCAGCGTCACTGGGAGGGGGCTCCAGAGAGCTTCGAACACAGGATCCGTGGAATTATCGGCTACCCTATCGGATTTGAACCCGAGTCAAGCATAACAGATTAGTTCTCTACTAAACAGCGTGTAGTCGTCATGACTTTTACGGCGAGTTTGAATCCGTAGTGCCAGTCACTAACAAGAGGTCGGATATAATCCCCCAAGCTGGAGAAGTGTTCCCTTACGAGACTGTGCCGGTTAAGACTTGGTTTTTTTTTTTCTTTTTTTTTTTTTTGTGGCAGTTTGAGAATGCTGAAAAGCTCTCGGTGGGATTCGGCGCTATATAATTCTGTTCCATAAAAGCAGGAGCATATGAGGGAATACAATGGCTGCAAAACTGGAGGAAGGGCTCAAGTCTGTTCGATTGTTTTCACGGGCAGGTTATAGAGGCACAACGCTGGCCGGAATTACAGCCATAACACAGTGGCCATTGCCATCAGAGCCAGGTCAGCTCTTGCTTGTCGGCATCTTTGATCAAAAAAGAAATCGGGACCGTCACAATGTCAAAGCTCATTTCGAGAGGCTTGAGTGAGGATGTTTGATGTGAACGAGCAGCGAGAAACTCAAATGCTGGGAGGTTGCGCACGCTCTTCATATCTGCATCGGATGATACATGCATACTAATATGCTTGTGCTGTACTACCCCAATACTTTTATTAAACGGTCTTATTGGCTAACTATCATTCAGCTGTGAAAGAAGTCGGTGTGTAAGAAGCGATGAAAATCTAGAGTTCGTCTATTCGAGAAATGGTTCGCCGCGTTGTCGTGGTGCGCCATCTGCGTTGTCAGTAAACCCCGCTAGAAACTATAGGCATGCACCTGTAGAGATTATCCGTCAACTATGTGACTGTCGTTTTCTTCCAAAACTTCTGGCGTGACAGAAGCGAGATTCTGCGATCAATACAATGCGTCATATTCGGGGACCGCGACAGCTCTTCTGATCATGCCCTGGACGCCAAAGGCAATGCACTAAACTCTGAAGATCGTCCATGTCATTGGAACCATGCTCAAAGTCTGTGACCGAAGGTCAATTCGAGGCCACACACAGGGCGTCATCAAAACTTGAAGCAACCGAAGAGCAAGATTACGGTTATGCCTCCTTTGCAACTACTCCTGATTCTAAATCATCAGGTAAACTGTTACAGTCTCACGTTACGGTGCTATCTCATGCCCCCTAGCTAAATGGCCTATGGAGATCCAGCACGGTATTAATGGGTCCTCGAATCATGCACCGACTCAATGAAGTACTGGTCGGCCCCGGCAAAATGGTATCGTATGGCCTTGGTCTGTTGATAGATGGGTTTGGGGCCTGTAAGGGCTCACCTAAACGTTGGATGAGAGTCAATAAGCAAGCCAGCCATTTGGTGCTCGGATTGGTGTCTCGTGTTTCTCTGGCCAACGCCTACAAATGCTCTGTATATTGACATAGTATCGCCAACTCCTAAGGGTACTTTTTCAAACAACAGGCTCTTAAAACATTCTCTTCTTTTCCTTCTTGATGCAGAAGTTTCTGGTTTGTGCCGCAGACCTTGGCTGTACAGCGAACCGGTAACAACTTGATTACTGGCGATGCATGATAAAACCCGAGGAAAGATATCGCTTAGTGTCCCCTGATGTTAGTACTCCACGTGTTTATAGACCAATTAGGCTGCATATAATGATCTGAAAGGGGGGCATATTATGTCATTAGTTAGGCATCATCAAGGGTTTCTACGCAAGGCCCTTATAAATAGCGCTCACCGTTACTGAAGACATCTCCAATCTCATCCTCACTCTCTGATCAAGTCGTCAACAAAACTGCATAACCTGAAGAAAATAGAACCAATAGCATCATCTCCCTCACTTGGTGGCGGATCAACTAATTTGGACTCTCGACATGAGGGCCGAATCAAGGTAAGTCTTGTTAATCACTGGAAGTCCGGCGATCTATAATATTCTATGATTTGCCCGGGTTCGGCCTCCGACTAAACACACTACCCGATGATCACTTCACTACGGCGGCTTCTCTCCTTTGTATGCAGCTTGCAGAACCGGACATGCTGGTGTTTGCAGGCTACTCGTTGAAGGAGGAGCCCATGTACAGGCGAGAGACAAGGATGAACAAGCACTACTGCATAACGCCTCCTTTTAGGGGCACCAAGCTGTTTATTAGCTACTCCTAGACATAGGAGCTAATCTAGAGGCTAAGTGCTCTCATAAAAATCGTTTTCACTATATAAGAAATACAAGATTGCTATATCTAGCAAGAGGGAGAGATAATACAAGAGGAATAGGCTATCTTACTATAAGTCTACACCCTATTATAGCGAGACATAGAATCAATATCTTTACAAGAACTTAAGAGGGCTGGATGCTGTTGTGGCTTGCCCTGAAGTATAAGAGCAACATGGCTGCTGCCAAGCTCCTGATCGAGAAAGGGGCACAATTTGACTTGGAAGATGAGCTCGGGCAAACACCGTTAATGCACGCTTTGCATTCAGGAAACGACGCTGGCGTCAGGCTGCTGCTAGGGATAGGAGCTTCCATCGACATGAACTAGAGAGACAGCGAAGGTCACCCACCCCTCACTTTCGTGACGTCCCCCGAGCTCATAATGTAGAGGCAATTCAGCTTATCGGAAGCAACTCGGAAAGATTATTCAAATATCGCTACAACGTTGATCAGGTTGATACACAGGAATCGTCGCTGGGGGCCGGCGTGTACACTAATACACCGCTTCCCTGTTATCCCGGTCTGAGATTACTGGAATTCGCCCAACAATGCGACAAGCCGCTTACCTGGAGGAGAGACTGGCGCTGCCATAAACCGCCGTTAAGCCGCATGCTACAAGATACAGTCTGTATACGCATCGTCATTACCATAACGTCTGGGTGGACAAGATAGGTGTCACATGGGGGTTGAAAACCGGTAGAGGAGTGGGATCCATTTTGTGTGACTATCGCATAGATTTCATCGCTATGGAGAGCTTAGAAGCGGGAATAAAAAAGTGCTGGCCTGACGTGCTTCAGTGCTCATCGGACAGAGAGTTCCATAATTACACATCATGAAATCGACTCAAAAGGTCGGATTCTTTCAAACATCGCCGGCGCTGACGCCACGTATGTTGTGACCGTCGTTCATAGTTACTAAAGAGCCTTAATGGAAAGCTCTGGTTCAAACCCTCGTCGTATAATGACGCAGACGAATTCGCATGCGTCTGGTCCAACCCTAAAGCTTGGGTTTTTTGCATCATTCATCGAAATAGTATTATGATCTGAATATTTCAACTCAGCTGGGAGCCCCTTCCAACTTTGACTCGGGCTTGTCCTCTGACACCTTCTCAGAGAATTCCTCGGCAGGCTTCTCGTCGGGCTTCTGGGAAACAAATTTTGAGGTATCTTCGGCAGATTGATCTTTCGAGTGTGTTGAAGACTCCGTCTTCGCCCGCCAGTAGAGACACGTGCTGGAGAATGTGGTGTAGGTCCCATCTTGGGGAAAGGGGAAATGCTTGTGAGAGTCGTGCATGTCGCTCATGCACTTGAAGTCGCCCTCCTTCATAGTAGCAAACCTTGTTCTGTGTTAGGACCTTTCAGCCAGTATTCAGCAGCGGGGGAGACATACTCATCCCACACATCCCAGCCCGTGCCGACAAACATGGCAGGCGACGCCTTCTCCAACGTCGCTTCGTATATGGGCCGATACATGTGCACGGCAAAGACCAGCGTGTCTTGGTCCACGGCCTCGAAGGCGGTGGGCGACTCGACGACTTTGTGGCCCAGATTTGTGAGGAACTCAGCGTCATTAGGAGTGAAGCGGGGCTCCTGGAAAGAGCACGGAATGGACTCTTTGTACAACGCGGCTGAGCATTCGGTCAGCTGGGGCACGGCAATGAAAGCAAATCGACGTTACGATAAGATCTAAACATACACAGGACCTCCACGATGGTCAGGAACCCATCGAGCTGAATATAGCTCCGCCTCTTGGCGTCCCAGCCGCCGTCCTCCGGGTCGAACGTGCCGACGCCGAGACAAACGGCCTTGCGCACCGTCCGGTGCGCCTCGGCATTCGCCTTCACCAGCTCTTTGAGCTCCACGTGGCACGGGGTGTCGCGCCAGCGGGTTTTGAAGGCCTCGTACTCGGCCGTGATATCGGCGACGGACTTGAGGGCGCGGGGTTCATCGGCCAGCTTCGAGAGGGCCGACCCGGGGATCTTGGGTGGTGGCCGGGGGGCGTTCCGCCGGAAGCGCGACTTTGGTCTGACGTGGATCCATTCTTCCTGCTTCGGCTTCTGGCTCTCGGGCTGTTCGGCCGCGGCCATGGCGGGCATGAACTCGATTTGGGGGCGTGGTGCAGGTGGTGGGATGTGGCTTTGGTGGGATGAACTTTTGGGCCGGCAGAATTCGGCCACCGCCTGCTTGGTGGGGTGATGGTGATAGAGGAAGGCGGTGAGAGGCTGACCGCAGTCGAGATTACATAATACGGCAGGTCTCACTGTCGAGACGGGAAGAAGGAGGGTTGCACGCCTAAAATCTGATGGCAGGTAACGTGTACGCGCAGCGGTAGCTTCGCTCCTTCCGCCACCACAAGCAACTCGGGCCAGGAATAGAATCACTAATGCAAGCATCGATGTCACGCTCCAGACACCACAACTTCGATTCGACTACTGGGTGACTTGCATCTCAAAATATCCTCTTCTTCCACCTGCTTTGTAACCCTTTTGTGTTTGTTCATTGCTCGACGTGAAGCTGCACGATGAACCAGCCATTCGGTCGCTCGCTGCATGTCGGTCATCAACGATGGGGCCTCGATCCCGATTCCTTTCGGGCTCTGAACGTGGGAGACAAAAGAACCATCCAATCGGGACGCCATTGAGGCTCAAAAGTCGTCGTCTTTTGGCGGGTGGCAAGAGAGCACATGTCGACCTGGAATGCAGCCTCTCCTGTTTCTGCTGACCTACCTGGCCCTTCGATCAGCGTCCTCTAGAAAGCGCTTTCTCTTTCGCCGGACATTTCCGAGTGGACGTCACGCCGTCAGCTTACCGTCCTTCGATATTTCATCACGCGTCCTTTTGGTCCCTCTGCCGGCAATCTCCAGTGAGAGAGTACTTGGGACGAGGAGAAACAGCCGACGCCTCCGTGCCATCAGACTATTTCCCGCTGTACACGACGCGCAACGAAGTGGAATCACCACGAGAGGAAATTGCACGACGGTGGGAACCGACAAAATTCGACATTGACTAAAAGATTGGCAAGGGATTGCTTGTTCCTCTCGGAAAGGCCTCCGAGATATGCGCCCTTTTTCCCAATCCCCAGGCCTTGCTTTTCCCTCTCCGAGTCCATGGCACCCAAGCAGAGCAACAGGGCAAAGGCCAGCCAAGCGGATGCAGAAGATCACATCTCACCTCACGCCTTGCTGCAAACTCCCCAAGCTCCTGCCACACCGCGGGGATCGCCATCTGGTTGGCAAGCGGCGAGCTTGCGACTCACAGCTAGACCCAATCATCTGTCGGTGGCAGGTTGCATCCTGCAGCCCAAATGCACAAGGTCCGGCGCTTACACGCCGTCACACCCCTGCCTGCTGCCTCCCCTTCCCACCAGTCACGGTCGAGATACCATCTGCCACCAAGGTGATGCGGCATCTCATTGGCCTTGAGTGGCCCCCAAAATACCCCGCGCAAAGACTACGACCCCTGTCCACTTCCATTCCGCAGCGCCTCGCCCGGCGCTCTCGCCCGCCATTGGTGCGCCGTCCCATGCGCGGCGAGAGTAGCACCAGGGGAGGGGAGTTGGACGGTAGAGCAGTCGCCCACTTTCCACTTTACAGGAACTAGCCTGCTGCAGACCATCGGCTTTGTTTGCTCTGTGGCCACTGGCCACATTCGGGGAGGGAATGAGAGATTTGGGAACGGGGTCGACAGGCGGGCGGCTGGGCGTTGACAGTTGAATCCCCATCCGCCCATGCCTATGCAAGTTGAGTGTGCCTCTTCCTCCCGGTCCGCCATTTGGTGTTGCTTCACCCACCATCACGGCTAACCCCCCCGGCCTCACCTCCTCACCTCACCGTGCCAGGCGGGAAAAGAGTGAACCTCGATCATCCATTGGGCAGCTGCAAGTGCACAATGCAGTGGGAGCGCTCGCTCGGTGCCCCCCGGCGGCTGGATCGTTCGGCCGGGTCACCTTCTGCGCGGCCACCGCCACGCAGCACACACCCCCCATTCAGCCAAATAGCACCCCGTCCGCCGTGCCCATTTCTTCCCTCTCTTTTCCCTCTCGTGTACAACTGTCATTCTGGTTCCCTGAAATCTTTACATATTCTAATTTTTCCTCGCGTCGAGATCGAAAGTTTGCGGTGCTCAATAACGAACAATTCACGGGACATCTACCGACGATTTAGAGGCTGGGATCCTGGGATATCACGCACGCACGTATCACGACCAACCACCTATCTCGACGGGTAAAAAGCAAGCGGGGTCGGAAGACAGCGCCAGTAAGACGGACAAGTACGGAATTGTGCGACGAAAAGTGTAAAACCCCCAGTGAGGAAGAGAATCGGGAACGAGAAGGTCCTTGGTCTTGGCCGGAAATCACACATAGTCGACTTTCGACACCAGAGATCGCTCACACGCATACACACACACACACACAACCGCCAAGATGCTCTTCTCAACACTATCAGCCCTCATCCTCGCGGCGACGGCCTCCGCACACATCGTCATTTCCTACCCGGGATGGCGTGGCAACAACCTCATCACCAACGAGACCTTCCCCTACGGCATGCAATGGACCTACCCATGTACGTGCTTCCTCCCACCTCGCCAGCTCATTGTTCTTATCCCCTCGTCCTCGTCTCCCCCCTTCGTGGTGTACTTTGCTGACAAGAACCAGGCGGCGGCATGGGCGTCACAAAGAACCGCACTTACTGGCCCACGACCGGCGGCGCCCTCTCCTTCCAGCCCGGCTGGTTCCAGGGCCACGCCCAGGCCTTCATGTACGCCAACATGGGTTTCGGCACTGAGGGCCCCGACGGCGGGCCCATTAACATGTCCTTCCCCATGGTCCCCGTCTTCCAGATCCTCGGCCCCAGCAAGAACCCCTACCCGGGCACCGTCTGCCTGCCGCAGGTTCCGCTGCCCGCCAACACTACGGTCAAGCCCGGCGACCACGCCACCATCCAGATCGTCGAGCTGGCTGCTCACGGCGCCGCCCTCTTCTCGGTATGCCCTCCCTCCTGATTCTCCTTCCTCTGCGTCCTTCCCTTGCCTTCTTCCCGTTGCACGCGCCATGCCCACGAAGTGAGACGACTAACGTAATTAAAAAAAAAGTGCGTCGACATCGAGTTCGCCGAGCCGGGCGACCCCAAGATCGGAAAAGTCAACGAGACCAACTGTTATAACTCAACCGACATCGGCTTCGCCGACGTCTACACCATCACGACCAAGGAGTCGGGCGGCGACTTCGTCACCGGTACGTCGGCCGCTGCGGGGCCGCTATCCGCGTGGTCCACCGCCGGCTGGGCGCCACTCCTAGTCGGCGCTCTGTGGGCCGTCCTGTAGCCGGCGTCGTCCTTTGTCGTTCTCTCACACGGATTTCTGTGCCGTGCAACACACATACACACACACACGCTACTCGTCATCGGGGTTCGACGTAGAATGACGCATACGCGCGAGGCACAGCGATTTTTTTTTTTTTTCTACAGTGGGTTGGGTGGAAATTATACCTCGGTGGAAATATCTCTTGTATATCTTGGTGGGCATCAAGAACGGCGTTTATCCAAGCAGGGCAAACCCTGTTTTTTTATTTTCTTTTTATTATTATCTCTGTACGGACAATTACCTTGTCCCGTTTCTTATTCCTTTTTTCCTGTTATATCAAACCTCCTCAGTCGCCGGAATCTACATCCGAGACCTGACAATGAGGGGGGATGGATGATCCCCCCCCCCTTCCCCTCCCGAGAGATTGGGTTTAGGAGCCCCAGTCCTCCTAGTGGCCGCTCCTTGCGAGTGGGTGAAAAGAAATCATGATCAACTTTTGGTTGTTCAACGGCCCGCGCGGGTGACCTCCTGAAAAGTGGTGATGCCTCCTTCTAGAAACTGGGTGTAGCGGTCTCGCAATACGCGGGCGGCTGGACCATTGCGAAGACTTCTTATCTCAACGCACGACGATGGCTCAAGCTGCAGGAAACGAATGGACAACAGACATGACTCGCATCCCGCGGAGACGGGACCATGGGCACAGATTCCAAAGCTGTTCTTGGTGTATGCTTTAATCGTGGTCTAAAATGGCTAGCTATCGGCATGCAGTCGAAACAAGCTGCTGCGTCGTCAGAGACACTTACTTCCTGGCTAGTCTACAAGACGGTGGCCATGGCCCACCCCGCCATCGTTTCCGGCCGTTTCGCCGCAGCGTCAGCAAGCGCGGACATCTGCGGCAGTCACACGGCCGCCACTTTCCGAGACTCCATAAGTCATGCTTCATTACCCTACCGCCCGTCACATCACATCCCCGTCTCACCCCAGTTGCTCGAGAGCCTCTTGGCCCACGTGCTTCACCCGCGCCTCCGACACCTTGTCGATTGCAGTCTTGATCCAGCCCTCGCCTCCTTGCGACTTCACCTCAGCCCGGTTGCTGGAGGCGTACGTCCCCAACGCGAAAAGCGCCCGGTAGAGAACCTCGGGGTCGGTCTGCGCGGAGAGGATCTTGCCGAGGGCCGCGATGAAACGCTTCGACTCTGGTGCCGTCTTCTCCTGGGAGGCGAGCACGGCGTAGTTGATGAGAGTGGTGGCTACGGCAATGAGCACGTTGCGGTTGAACTGTCCGATCGGTGCGCCGCCAGAGATGCCGAGTACCCGCTCGATGGTCGTCGCCACGAGGTCGGCCTCCTTGGCCGCCAGCGCTCGACCCTTGGACGAGCCGAAGATGTTGGCAAATGTGCGCAGTGCCATCATGGCGGAGTTCTCGTTCGGTGCGGCGCCGTCCGTCTCTCCCAAAGCGCTGATGGCCGCAATCTTGAGGAATGACGCACCGGGGGCCGCAACGTCGGCGGCGAGCGGTGCCTGGGCGACGCATCGCAGGAGATCTAGACCGGCGAGACGGTCCGAGTAAGGCCAGTGCGAGACAATCTTGACTGCCAGGTCAATGCCCTCTTGGCTGACAGGCTTGGAAGATTCGATGGCCTGCTTGACAGCCTTGAGGGTGCTTTGCTCAGCGGGGTTTAAAGCGGCATCTTTGCGACCCGAGGAGATCATGTTCGCGTTGACGGCGAGGATCTTGTTGACCATCGCATCGTACTTGCCCGCCGTGATGAATAGGTACTCGGTGTGAGGCAACAGCTTCCGGGCTGCGGGCTCGGCTTCACAGGGGCGGTATCTCGACTCCGAGCCGTAAGGGTCAGGTCCTGATGATGCAGGCTGCCCAAGAGTAGCTCCTTGGGTATTCTGGGTGATGAAGCCTGCCACGTTATCCAGGTAACTCAGGGGCAGCTCATTGTCGTTTAGGAACTTGGTCGCGGCGTCGTAGGGGTTCTGCGACAGGTTGTACGGCAGCTTCAGAGGTGGCTTGCCGTCTTCGATATCAACGTCGAAGACAAAGTCGTAGGACTTGCCTTGATACTCCGTCTTCTTCCCACTGCTGCCGGCTGAGTCGACAACAGTGCCAATGTTGATCCACTGCTGCTGACCTGCGCGTAGTTAGCAACCCGACACTGGGCAGACAGTCATGGCGTTTAACGTACTCTGCGACCATTGGTGGGCGGTGATGAGGCCGTTGCCCTCATTGATCATCTGCACCTGGCCCTCCTTGGTTCCCGACCGAGACTGGAGAAATTCGGGACCAGGCAGCTTCTCCTTGTTGATGTCGGGTAATTGCTGCTGTGGGATGGCTGAGGCCTTGACTGACTCCTCGAAGGCGGAAATGGCCTCGCCGCTCGCCGCTCGCTCGGAGCTGCGTGTAAAGACGCGCGCAACGCCGTCACTGGCACCCGTCACAATGTCCCCCGTCTCCTGGTTCGCCGCTACTGACCACACCGAGATGGCGGGGTGTGTGATGGTCTGGACACACTCATTCCCCTTCCATATCCGCACCGTGCGGTCTTCTCCGGAGCTGACCAACTCGCCCGACGGCAAGCTTGTCAGAGAGTAGATGAAGTTCTCGTGGCCGATCAGCTCGCCAACTTGCTGTCCGTTCAACTTCCATAGGCGGATGATGCCGTCGTTGCTGGCGCTGGCGATATCAGCTCCACTTGGGTGGCCCTTGGGAACCTTGGCGAGAGCGCGGACAACCTCGGGGGTATAGATGGTGGACTGGGGCTCCGCGTCACCGGCGACGGCAGAGGCTAGCTTGTAGATGCGAATATTTGTGTCGGCACAACCCGTAAGAACCGTCTCGTCGTCCAACGCAAGCACTGCCCAGACGCTCTTGTCATGACCGCTGAGGCGGATTTCGGGCTCCCACGTCTTGATGTTCCAGACAATGGCCTGAGCATCCCACCCGCCAGACACGATATAGCTGCCCTTGGGCGAGACGTCGAGGCTGCAGACGTTCTGGGAGTGGCCGATCAACAGACGCTCGGCATTATCGCTCGGGGCAGCCTGGGGCTGCTTGACTTCGACGATGGTGTCTTTGCCGCCAGAGGCGACTAGACCATCCGGGTATGGTTCGGAAGGCGGGAGATATGTCACGGAGTTGACGAATTCCGAGGTTTGACTTAAGACGGAAGCTTCAAAGGTCGGGGGAGGGCCAGAGGTTTGACGCCAAACTCGAACACTGCCATCTCGCGAGGCGGACAGAACTGTCTGGGGATGCGGGAAGCTGACTGCCTTGACCTGAGGGGGGAACATGACGGATCAGCTGTGAAACGGAGCGCTGAAGCTTGGTGTACTTACATCTGAGTCGTGGCCAGCCAGCTGGGCGGATAGCTTGAAGTCTGCCATGACCGTTAAAAGGATCGGTCTGGTAGAAAAGTATCGAGATGGGGAGAGAGAGAAAATACGACGTGTAGAGCAGCTCACGCCTCGATTTGCTAAGTAATCCACAGAGGAGACGGCCGGTATTGTTTAGGTGGTAGGTAGCTGGACGATGACGATTGATGCGGGAACGCTGAAGCTCCACTGCGCCACAAGGGGGGCACCGCGGGCAGCAGGCGGGGGCGGGCGGGCATTGCACCTCTGGACGGTGAGCAATGGAAGGGGCCAACGGGCAAGTGGTCCCCGGGGCAATCAGCTGCATTCCTGGCGTGTGTGGCTATAGCTTACGTAAGAAAGCCACATACGGATACCTGTGCCTACCTACCCAAGGTGGTGTACCTAGCTAGTCCTGGGCACCTGCCTGCATCCATTGACTTCCCTTCTGAAACAGGAACTGACACCAGCCACAGTTGCGGAATCGCTCATCAAAGCACGTGGTCTGGCTCCACCCTGTCCAATCATTCCACCTCTTCTCGAACCGACGACTAACCCCACCTTGTCCCCTTTTCTTGTTCAAGCCACATTTCACTATCCATATTCCAGCTCAGGGACCGAATCCACGATGAGATTAGGTAAGCATCACCGCAACCGACTGCTACCAGCAGCGCGGGGTCATTTCTGCTGCTTCCTCACGGCAGGACCAGGATCCCCGTTTCAGGGATTACCTCTGTAGGTACGGATACACGTTAAAAAGTAACCACACGACCACTGACTTAACCTCCTTAGGCTTCAATACCTACCGAACTACTCGTGCCTACGGAATACACACGCTTCGAGTCGGAAAACCACCCCCCACTCTTATTCCCTCTGCGCCGCTTTCTCGTTGCCTCGCATCCTCCCGCGGCTTTCCCCATCCTCCCTTTTTTCCCTCTCTTTTTCTTCCTTTTTTTCTTCTTCTTTTTCTTTTCTCTTCTAATTGTGGTTTGCTTTGCTTCGCCCTCTTGTTGCTGCTGTTGCTGTTGTTGCCGTCGACGAGGAGCCCGCCATCTCTCAAGATCCCATCGCCCTCCTCCACGAACATTTCACGACGTTACGGCTGTATTTTGACATTTTCTCCTTATTCCTATTCGCTCCTTCCATCTCCATCGAGGACGCTATCCCTCATCCGCCGTCGCCAACAGCTTGATACCCCTCCACTGCGCACACATTGCGCTTGCGATCGTCGCGAAACCGAACCAATCCTCTTAAACCTCTTCCTCAACGGCCCACACCGGCAACCGACGACAACATGGCGTCCGCGTCTCCCGCTCCTTCGGCCGCTCCTCCTGCCGTCGAGACTTCGCGTCAATACGTTCCCTTGACCTGCCACGGGCACTCTCGACCTGTCCCTCACATCTGCTTCTCCGGCCTCGAGAAGGGAGAGCAATACTATATGATCTCGGCCTGCAAGGGTAAGCTTGCCGTGAAGGAACCCGCGCTACCTACCCTCTGAGCTTTGCTAATCTTGTCGCAGATGGAAACCCTATGCTACGCGACGGCATCACCGGCGACTGGTACGCATTGTCGGCTCGACTGAACGGGAGGGTGGGCGCATTGCTGACGCGACATGCATAGGATCGGAACCTTCATCGGTCACAAGGGTGCTGTCTGGCAGGCCAGATTGAGTCCCGATGCCTCCAACGCTGCCACAGCCTCTGCCGACTTCACCGCGTAAGTCCTGGCTCACGATAGACCTTACCCCCGCAACAGCAGTTGACACGCCGTAGCAAAGTCTGGGACACCCATAGCGGAGAGGTCCTCTATACCCTCCAGCACAACCACATCGTCCGCGCCGTTGCCTACCCGCCCGATAACTCTGAACTTATTGCTACTGGAGGTATGGAGAAGAAGCTGCGCGTCTTCGACCTTAGCGACTTCGCCCCCGATCCGAACTCTCCCGCCGGAACTCCCATCACCATCCCTGCCTCGGCCGGATTTGAGATTGGCGAAGGCACTCACACCGGATCCATCAAGTTCATCGCCTGGACTAAGGACCCTAACACGATCGTCACTGCCTCCGATAACACCCTGAGATGGTTCGATCTCCCCACCCGTAACCTCATCCGCCAGGAGGTCCTCGACGGCGAGATCAAGTCTTGCGAGCTCGTCTCCCTGGCGCCCGAGTTCACCTCGCCGGGCGACATTGGCGGTGGCCTTCCCGTTCTCGCCGTGGCTGCGGGCAAGTGGGTGTACTTTTGGGGTGGTCCCCAGGCCTCGGATGAGCTCAAGCGCATCGAGCTAAAGCATGGCGTTGCCAGTGTTGGCCTGGATCTCAAGGGTCGCAAGATCGTCATGGGAGAAGAGCCCGGCACTTGGGCGCGCGTCTGCCGCTGGGACGACGGTGGTGACATTGGTCAGTCGATGTGGACATGCTTGCTTGTGCAGGACTTTGGCTAACACGCACCTAGAAACCCACAAGGGACACCACGGCCCCATTTGGTCCATCGCATTCTCCCCCGACGGCAAGCTCTACGCGACCGGCTCCGAAGATGGCACAATCAAAATGTGGAAGAACTGCGACGGCTTCTACGGCCTCTGGCGTGGCGGCGCCCCCAATGCGGAACGCAACGCGGAATAGAGAAGCGCGTCGTCCAGCATGGCGTCACGCTGCGAAGGAAGCGACGCTTACACACCCACGAGCAGCCGAGTCTCGTCAGGCTCGCACTACGACGGGACCTCGCACATCAGCAACAACTCCATCACCGAAACCCCGGCAATCGCTCATCAATTGATGGATCGCTTCTTTGCCACGGCAACGGGCAAGCTTGGTGCGGGGAATGATGCGCCCGTCCAAAGCGACCACCGTCAGCGCAAGAGGGAGTAAAGGGGCCTGCGGTCGCTGTCCTATGAGGGAGAGGCCAACCTCAGCAGCATTCCTCTTGAAGCGGCGATGTACGTGAGCGTACAACGTAGAGATCAGGGTGTCAACCCCAAGCCTGAATGTGATGGAATTAGACTAGATAGCCTCCATCAATATCGGTTGTTATCAGAATACATACAATACCAAATAAGCTTAACGTATGCCACTGGGTGAAAAACCCAGTCCGCTAACCTCCCTCTCCTGTGATAAATGTTGGAAGCTCTCCTGGAACCTCAACAAGACAGACATGGTATGCTTGGTTATAACGCCAGCTGTAGTCACCTGGGGAATAGGGTAGAAGGGAGGCGCATCTTTCCGGGTGAAGCGCGTCTATTAGTGGACGAAGGAATTTTTTAAGAATCGCCACGGCGCAACACATTATCCATAGCTCGGTGAAACCATCAATGATGCGCGCACAAAATAAGGGTCCACGATACATAAGCCCCGGCACGAACTCGTGCCATTGTCCATATACTCTCATAACCCCCTGCCGTGCACATTGGGGTTGGAGAGGGAGGGGCACCAAGCGTGAGTCTATCTCGTGCGCAGACGTTCGTGGGAAAACGAAGCTGGAGGCCTGGTAGAAGTTTGAACTGGAACGGGATCATATTAGGTCTTCGGCATCCTCACAATGGCCTTCCCATGGGCGTTCTCCCTATGCCTAAGAACATGGAGCGTTCAGGTCAGTTTCGACGCAAGAGCAGGGAGCAACAGTCTCTATGCTGGTTAGCAAGGGCTTCATAGCACAGTTCGAGACCGCACTACTGTTGTTTCGAGTTGCTATATACATGGGGAAGTCGGGCCTAGGGAGGGAATCGGAAAATGTCGTGTTTGCAATCGCACAGTCCGAGTGTACTCGTGTGCCCAGTTGCTCAATATTCACCGGCCTCATCAACATGGGTAACACGGCCCTCCCAGTGAAGTACTGCCATCCCAAAAGGCAACTCCACCTCTCCACGCCCACGGGACCCTTAATGCGATCTGTTCCCATCATGCCCAACTACCACGCGCCTGTTCTCCTTCGAGGAGCTGCTGGCTCACACTCTTTGCACGGCGCACTTGGAATTACGCGACATCATGGGCCACAGCGGTACAAGGGACCTGGCTGTTGGTCGTAGTCAGTTGCCGTTGTAAACAGCGGCTTTCCATGACTTGTCCGATTCGCGAATGTTGATCCGTTGCTGGAAACAGGGATAGGTTTTGGCGAAGATTGAAGATGGTGTTTCATACAACGTTAGATCTACAAAGTGATATATTCGCTAGACAACCAAAAATAGACCAAAGCCCCTTCGCTAAGAAAAAAAATACGCTAATCGACAATGGGCAAAACAACGCGGACCCCTTCCGCTATTTGGCCTTGCAAACTGTCAGTTTCTCATCCAAGAGGGTTGCAAGGTCTCTCTCGCAAAGGGTCTTGACTCACGGTCTAGATACTTGATCACCTGGCCATAATCCTTGCAAACTACACGAGAAGCGTTAGCACTCTCATTTCACTATTGCCGAGGCACCTTGCCTGGGAGGGGGATGTGCGCAACTCACCATGCATGGCGTTCCAGCTGCCGTCGCCGGGTCCGTTGTCGTCGGGGTCGGTGATAAGGTGCGGCTCGAGCGCCAGGTCGGCGGAACACATGACGGCCTGTCGGAGGTAGTCTATGCAGTGGAAGAAGTGGATGTTGTAGTCGGGCGTGAACATGTCGACCTTGTTGGTGGTGAGGCCGGAGTAGATCATCCCCATCATGTACTAAAAAGCCCGGATGTCAGATTCCGAGAGCCCAAACAGCAGAGACGGATAATCAAGGAAGCAGAAAGACGCACTAGGCAATGGAGCTGGTGCGTCATTGTGGTGGCGAAAATCGGCTCGTCGTCCTTAGCCTTCCAGCCCGCTCCGGCTGGAAAGGTAAACGCTTGTTAGCGAAGCGGAACAAAACGGCATCGGGAGAAGTCCTCCCGACGTTTGCGGGGGAGGCGGTGTTTTCTTTGCTTACCCGGAAACAGAGATTGCCACTGCTCCATCGTGGAATTGGAGAGGAAATCCGTGGCGTTCGGCGGCACGACCTTGTAGTCGGCATCGAATTTTTGAATCTTGACCGGGACTGCGTCATGATCGCCGTTAGCGCGAGAAACCTTGGGCTTTCCATACCCTGTCAAAGGACCCTCGATCGGGGGGCCGAAGATGTCCAACTTACACTGCGGTCCGGCGCCGCTGAAGTCGCCGCCGATCTGCCGCACGCTCGCGGGGAACTTTGCGTCCTCGAACTGGTAGTACATGAGCAGCGACAGGCCCAGCGAGAGCCCGATGTTTGTGAGCAGCAGCAGCGTGTCGATGAGCCACCGGTGCCGCCGCAGGGTGGCCTTGGCGCGCTTCCACGAGCGGGCTCTTGTGCTCTGCTCGCCGCTCAGGTCGATCGAGTGCCACTGCTTTTCGTCGCCCATGAGGGACTCGTCGACCTCGGTCGCCGAGGAGTCGTCGTAGCTATCCGTGCGCGAGACGGTCGCGTAGTGGGCGTCGGGGTTTTTGGGCGGCATCGTGGAAGTGGAGGGAAAACCCCTAAGAGGAAATATAGGAGATAAACAACGAGTCCCGAGGTAGAGAGAAGCTATATCACAACAGCACGACCAGCGAGCAAATCAGAGAATTTTCGACGACCTTCAAACAAACAGCAACAAGAATAGAAGAACTAGGAAACCAGCCTGCAGAGGAAAGCCAAGTCCGGGGGGGGGAGCCGGGGGGGGAATGTCTTGGTTTTGTCGGTCTCTCGGCACAGCACGGCACACGGCACATACATATACATAGACACTGGAAAGGGGGGGGTCCAGACATTCTGCGCCGTCGAGGTGGATGAACCCGTTCATCTCCTACGGTTACATCGTGCATGATGGCATCTCCAGCGGAAAGTCTACTTACATACAATGGCGCGCGATGATCCCTGTCGATACCCGCCAACGGCGGGTTTCACGCCATATTATCTATCATCAGCATTTCCAACTAGGGTAGGTAGGGGAGGCTTCGAAACACGTCTCTGAGTGAGCCGCAAAAGGCTGTCTCATCGTGCACAGTCATCCACATTGAAGTGCCCGGCAAAAGAGGTGAAAAGGTTGTTGGAAAAAAGGTTTAGACTAGCACACCAACCCGACCTATGGCGGACTGCTCCCCCCTCCAACTAACTGTACGCTCACATAGCACACTTTCGTAAGAGCCCCGGGCCAAGAAACACAAGCCAAAGTTAGACGTCTTTCGTTCCCGTCGAGCCTTTCTTTATTTCCCTCGCAAGGCCGGCGGCTTCTGACTAAGGGGGGTTTGGTGTTTGGCTGGCGGTTTGGACTAGGGGGCTCGACCCCCAAGCGCTTTTCGACGATGGGGCCGTTGGCGTCTCAGAGAATATGCCGATAAGCCGGATGTGATCCACAGAACCAGTTACGGCCCACCACTGATCTGGGGGCATAATCTCGCTGATCTCTCTCCCTCTTTCTCTCTCCCTTTCTGGCCGACGTCTGCATGGGTAGTCCTGAACCTCGAATGCTATCAATAGACACTATTGGATATGCATGGTTGACTTGCCTCTCAAACACTCACAGCGTGGGGTTGATGAGATGACAGGTGAAACCGAGTCATGAGCGGCGAATTAGATTCTACAGCCAAAGCAGCTTGCTGCTTGCCCCGTTATACGATTCCCCCTTATCCGTCTCTTGGAAACGGCAAATCATATGGCGTGTCCGTTAGATGCCTTACACCACCATGTTCTGTCCATTCGGTAGGAAAGGATATGAATCCGAGGCACAAGGTCATGAGGGTGCATTTGCAAGGGTCTTTTAGTTGAAAGAACGTGATGTATTATTATTAGTTTAATATTATCAGATAGTTGGCTGATAAAGCTGCTATTGTTTCTCACCTGGCCCTGTCCACATTTCTGGCCGTTTGACAAAAAAGCTCCACGGGGGAAAGAAGGGGAAAGAGAGAAAAAGAAAAGAAGAAAAACCCTTCATAAAAAAACCTCAAAAACTCTCATTAATCTACTCTCCGGGGAGGTAAAGGTTGATGCTGAGCTTCAGGAGAATTTGCAGCGAGTTGGTCACCTCAACACCCTGTGGCCGGTAGGCCGGGTCCAGGAGACCGATAATAAGGTTGTTGAGATCAATCTGTCTCACAAGACCCAAGTTCAGGTTGTTGAAGATTCCCCTGACGATGGTCGTGGCGCCCTCGACACCGTTGGTGAGAGCGGCGGAGGAGACCTGCGCGATCTGGTCCCGCTTGCTTTCGAGCCCCTGCAGGAGCTGGGAGAAGCTCTGGACGACGTCGTTGTTGAAGCTCCGGACGAGGGCCTCCGAGTCGGAGGGCGAGAGCGTCGTGCCGAGGTTCTTCGCCTGGGCCAGGGCCAGGCTGATGGTGGAGTAGAGGGGGCCCGCGGTGCCGAGGCTGTTCACCAGCTCGCTGAGGCGGTCCGCGACGGGCTTGTCGAGGATGTTGACGTTGGGCTGGAAGATATTACTGAGTTCGTTGTTGATCGTCGTCAGCGTGGTGCCGATGAGGCCGAGAATGTCAAAGAGCGCCGCGGTGCCGGGGGGAGCGGCGGTTGGCGAGGCGGGCGCGGACGGGAGGATAGGTGAAGCAGCGTTGCTCGGGATGGTGCCTGACGGTACCGCAATCGAAGGGACGTTAAGTGATGGGACATTGAGGGAGGGGACGGCGATCGACGGGATCGAAATGGACGGGATTGCCACGGAGGGTAACGAGAGGGCTGGCAGCGAGACTGAGGGTACGGACGGAAGCGCCACAGACGGAAGCGCCACGGAGGGGAGCGCCACGGAGGGTAGTGAAATATCTGGCAGCGCGACTGAAGGTACAGATGGGACTGCCACAGAGGGGACCGAGAGGGCCGGCAGTGCAACTGAAGGTACTGATGGGATCGCGAGAGACGGGAGCGCAAACGACGGCACAGCCACTGATGGGATGGCGACCGCCGGGAGCGAAGGAGAGGGAATGGCGAGAGAGGGGAGGCCGAGGGAGGGGAGTCCGTTTGAAGGCGCTGCCCCCCCAGGCCCGCCAGCTGGCGGTTGGGGGATATTGGAGGGAACCGCCAGAGACGGAATCGCCAAAGATGGCACTGCCAAGGACGGGAGCGAAAGAGACGGGACTGCGGGGATATCCGAAGGAACTGCCAGAGTTGGGAGGGCAATAGAAGGGACCTGTAAAGAGAGTATCGAGAGGGCTTGGAGGACTGAAGGGTCAATAGACGGAATAGCCAAAGATGGCACAGCCAAGGATGGAAGTGAAAGAGATGGAACCACGGGAATGTCGACCGAGGGAACTGCCAAAGATGGAAGGGTGATAGAAGGAATTGCCAAGGATGGTATTGAAAGGTCCGGGATGCCAACAGACGGAATCGCTAGAGACGGAACTGCTAAGGATGGAAGCGCAGGATTATTAACTGGAGGGACTGCCAAAGAAGCAGTCAAAAGATCCGGCAGTGCGGGAGACGGGACATCAACAGAGGGGACTGCCAATGATGGGAGCGTAATGGTGGGAATATTCAGGGATGGTACTGCCGGAATGTCGACTGAGGGGACCGCGAGGGACGGAATCGACAGGGCCGGGAGTGAGAGCGATGGGAGTGAGAGATCTGGCAGTGTGATAGACGGCAAGTCCAGCGACGGCACAGCCAGAGACGGGAGTGAGAGTGACGGAATGTCAATCGAAGGGACTGCCAAGGTGGGTATCGGGAGTGAGAGAGACGGGATATCGATCGAAGGAATTGCTAGCGATGGGACCGCCAGAGATGGAATATCAATGGACGGCACCGCCAAGGTAGGTATCGGGATAGATTGAAGAATGTTGGGCGGGGCTGAGAGGCCATCAACTGACGGAATTGCTACGGATGGGACCGCGGGAATGTCGATTGAGGGGACCGCGAGTGTTGGAATCGAAAGAGCCGGGAGTGAGAGTGACGGGATGTCGATCGAAGGGACTGCCAGAGATGGAATATCAATAGACGGCACCGCCAGGGTGGGTATCGAGATGGATTGGAGAATGTTGGGCGGGACCGAGAGGCCATCAACAGAGGGAACTGTCACAGATGGGATCGAGACTGCCGGCAACGACAGCGAAGGGATCGAGAGATCTGGCAGTGTAATGGACGGCACGTCGAGCGACGGCACAGCCAAAGACGGGAGTGAGAATGAGGGGAGTGAGAGATCTGGCAGTGTGATAGATGGCACAGCCAGAGACGGGAGTGAAAGTGAGGGGATGTCAATCGAAGGGACTGTGAGCGACGGGATCGAGAGAGCTGGCAGTGTAATGGACGGCACGTCGAGCGACGGCACAGCCAAAGACGGGAGTGAGAGTGACGGAATATCAAGAGACGGCACCGCCGAAGTCGGTATTGGGATAGATTGGAGAATGTTAGGCGGGAGCGCGAGAGATGGGACCGAGGGGCTATCGATTGAGGGAACTGCCACGGTTGGGATCGAGACTGCCGGCAACGACAGCGAAGGGATCGAGAGATCTGGCAGTGTAATGGACGGCACGTCTAGAGACGGGATCGACAGAGATGGGATAACAGGAACATCGACCGAAGGGACCGCTACAGACGGGATTGAGAGAGCCGGCAGTGCGATAGATGGTACGTCTAGAGATGGGATCGACAGCGCTGGCAATGACAGCGAAGGAACCGCGGGAATGTCGAGTGATGGGATCGCTCCAGATGGAATTGAGAGATCTGGCAGTGTAATAGACGGCACAGCCAGAGATGGGATTGAGAGTGCCGGGATCGATAGAGAAGGGAGTCCTACCGACGGGATCGACAACGCTGGCAACGACAGTGAAGGAATTGCGGGAACATCTGCTGATGGAACTGCCACAGACGGGACCGAAACATCTGGCAGTGCAAGAGACGGCACAGCCAGGGACGGAATCGAAAGTGCTGGCAATGACAGCGACGGGATTGATGGAATACTGATTGATGGGACCTCTAGGGATGGGATCGACAGAGCTGGCAGCGTAATTGACGGAATGTCCAAAGATGGGATTGAGAGTGGCGGTATCGAGAGTGACGGGATCGCGATAGAAGGAAGCCCAAGCTGGGGGAGTCCATTTGAAGGGAGTCCGTCCGAAGGACCTGACCCTGATGGGGGTTGAAGAATATCAGAAGGAAGTGCCAGCCCAGGAAGAGAAAGGGAGGGCAAAGCCAGAGTCGGGACAGAGAGCGATAGGAGCGAGGCAACATCGATCGAAGGCACCGCCGGGATTGAGAGTGACGGGACTGCCAACGACGGCAGCGTCAGAGATGGCACTGACAGATCCGGAAGTGTAATCGACGGCACCGCCAAAGATGGCACCGAAAGCGCCGGAAGTCCAATCGACGGCACCGCCAGAGAGGGCACTGCAAGGGATGGAATCGAAGGAACGCCGGTTGAAGGCAGCGTCAGAGATGGCACTGACAAATCCGGAAGTGTAATCGACGGCACCGCTAAAGAAGGTAACGAGAGGGACGGAATGGCTGGAGTGTCAATAGACGGGATTGCCAATGACGGCACAGAAAGCGCCGGAAGTGCAATTGAGGGGACACCTGGGACTGAAAGAGAGGGAATTGCCAACGACGGTACGGCTAGAGATGGGGCTGAGAGATTGGGCACAGCCAATGATGGAATCGTGGGTGGCAGCAGCGCAATTGAGGGGTCTGCCGGGTTTGGAAGAGAGGGAACTGCAAGCGACGGGATAGAGAGAGGGGGAAGATCAATAGATGGGACCGCTACTGACGGTATCGTGAGAGATGGAAGGGCAAGAGATGGCAATGCCAAAGACGGGATTGAAGGAACAGCAAGTGAAGGAATCGAGATGGATTGAAGTATGTTAGAAGGCACCGCCAGAGATGGGGCTTGGAGAGATGGTACTGCGATGGATGGTATCGAGAGAGAGGGAACCGCCAAGGAGGGGATCGAGAGTGACGGGACTCCCAGAGATGGCAAGGCGATAGATGGCACTGCGCCTGATGGCACCGCCAAAGACGGCCCGGCCAGCGAGGGGATCGAGAGTGACGGCAAACCTAGAGACGGCACTGCTTGAGACAGAAGCGACAGAGCAGGCAGACCAATGGACGGGGCCGAGAGTGACGGAATTGCAACCGAAGGAACCGCCAACGACGGGAGTGAAAGTGATGGGACTGCCAGAGACGGGACTGCTACAGAAGGAACCGAGAGAGCAGGCAGCGCAACAGATGGGACTGAGAGCGACGGGACTGCCAGAGATGGCGCTGCAATAGAAGGAATTGAGAGTGACGGGATTGCAACCGAAGGAACAGCCAATGACGGCAGTGAAAGTGACGGGACTGCTACAGACGGGACTGCCACAGACGGAACCGAGAGAGCAGGCAGCCCGAGAGATGGAATCGAGAGTGACGGGACTGCCAGAGACGGGACCAAGAGCGGCGGTAGTGCCAATGGAGGAGTTGCGGCGGAGGAGACCGCAGTCGGGGATCTCGAATTCGCCGAGGAGCTCAGGCTAGCCGCGGATCTCGAACTAGACGATGGGCTCGAACTAGACGAGGCCCTCGAAGTGGACGACGATGCGAGGGACGGCAGCGCCAGGCTGGGCACCGCAATGGTGGGAACTGAGACCGCAATCTGCGGGATGTTGACTGCCGGCGGCGCGATCGTGATGGGCTTGAACGTGATGGCCGTGCTGCTGGCGAGCACGAGGTTGAGCGGCACCGCCAGCACGACGGTCGCCGGCACCGAGGCCAGGGCCGCAATGACGCTGCGTGAGAGCATCTTGGACGATTGACATGAGGAGGTGTTGGCAAAGATGTGTGAACAGAGGCCAAGGGTGCTTGACGAGAGATGCAAACCGTTGAAGCAGTGGTTCCCTTTACTTCTTCGATGCTCAAGCAATGGTAGTGGTTGGAACTGATATTCTTACCTCCTCGGGGGTTGATGTGTCGTTGGGTCTTATACATATTGCCGAGCCATATCTCACTTGCAGCAATCTTCGTCGTCGCTGACGGCCCGGTCCCGCTTGTTTCCTCATCCGAGACAAATGCAGCGAAGTCTCTGAATGTCTCAACTCTAAGTTCCCGGATCTCAATGGATCGCCGTTAGCCTGTAGGACTGTATCGCTTGGCAGACGGCGCGTTCCGGTGGATTCCCTGGGCATACACTATGCAGATTTCGGAAGCGATAGGGAAAACTGCAACCGGCTGAGACCAGAGTGCGGTTGCGTCGTAGAACGTCTTGGCGCACAGCGGCTAAACGCCTTTTGCGAGGGTCTGGGGCTTCCCGTCGAGCACCTCGGTCCGTAGATTAAGTGCTTTGTTTGATCGGCAGCCGAAGAAGCCTCAGGGGCGTGATGTTTGCGTATTAAAGCCGGCCGTCTCGACCGCAGGGAACTGATAGTTGGGGTCTAGATGCCGAGTATGACCTACTTCGTCATTTTAGCGCATGCGACGGCAATCGGGAGATCGGTTTGTTTTGGGTGTGGAGGCTTGCCTACCGTCAAGTGTTGTTATCTCCCCGTTGGAGGAATGTTGGCGAAACAACTATGTATGCGGCTTGATATGCAACAGCCTCGACGTAATGTGTCGTCACTTGTATCTCATCTTGCACACGGCTCTTGGGGTTTGACCGCATTCTGTAGACCTCACGGAAGCAATACTCCATTTCATGCTATCAGTCGGGATATGCTTAGTAGCAGAAGGATTCTGTTACAAACGCTATGGCTATACTGTATGTAGACATTCAAAACAGGAATAGGGCAAATAATGAATCTAGCGATAGAGAAACAATACTGATGGGAGACCCTTACTTGAAAGCCCGGAGTCGCGGCCGCTCCTTCAAAAGCGACGGATGCTAGTATTGGGATAAGTGTTCATTAGTCCACGCTCGATGTAAGGATATATTAGGGAAGACGTGGTGGTAGAAGTGAACTTGCGCAATAGAGAACTTATGGCCCTTATTGGTGAATAAGCGAAGTTTATAATTCCGACCTCCGTCATCTCTCCCTTGGTTCTTCACTACAATTGAGAGTATAATAGTCAACAACTGTTATAGGAGACATCTATGCTGAAAGTCATTCCTCAGTAAGCATAAATTTTACATCATCAGATCTTACTCAATGATATCCGCTTTAGTACAACAAGCAAGGGATTTATCAAAAAAAAAATCAAAAAAAATCTCACTCAATTATTATACATAATGTTTCAAGCAATCACAAATGTTTTCTTCTTCTCGACTTCGACTTACTTTTATGGGCGCCTCAGATCTCCGTCTCGATGTAATACCACGGGTACGTTCAGTACACAAAACCAGCGTTTAACGTACCAGAATAAAACCAATATCAGTAGCCTCGAAGTAATCGTATTACTAAGCAAGTTCATTTAAAGACAAATGTGCTGAAGTATGCTCTCACAGATGTAGCCTCCCACCAAATTGAGATCTACGGTACGATCTAGGCAAGATCTGAGCTTAGATATGAGCTTAGATATGGATTTGAACCAAATGGGAGCTTGAAAACGAGCCCCCTGCGTAGGGCTGTCTGTTACCCCTTACGAGGATCTCTCTTGGCTTTATGAGGTACTTGGCCTATCGCAACTAAGCTTACCATGACACGGTCTTTCTCGTACCACAGCCCACTCTTTTAGTTGCCCATTCCAGCTACACAGAATGAACTATAGTCTTGGCTTTAACGTAAGGAACCCGTCTTATTTCGAGCTTACGTGGACCGCGTGCGCGCTGCTTCCCCCGAATAGGCATATGATTCGGACGACACGAACGGTGCCATGCGACCTCGACCATGTCAGCCTTGGCGCAATACCGCCGCCTGCGCGCTTAGATACACGATTGGGATGTCGGTGTGAAGTACTCGATGCATCGAAGGGTTCTAGACTTGGACAATCCTAGCCCTCGTCCGAGATTGGTGATATGTCGAGAACGTTGTGTCAGAAGAACGGCGGCAATTGGACGAGCGAGATTATGCCGGCGGCAGAATGAGCAGAGAGAAGCAGAAACACGATTGCTTCAATAAAAAGTATAAATACAGGCTGTTTGATCTCTTTCAAAAAACAAAAAAACTTCATGCCAGACAAACACAACACCAAGACACTCCACTTACTTCCAGCCACTCAATTTCAATATGCGTTTCGTTGTGCCATTTCTCTGTCTCGGCGCTGCTTTGGCGGTCGCCCAAGACCCGCTGGCCGTCCCGGCCGACTTTGACGTTGAGCAGGGAGAGATAGAAGTCGTCGAGGGCGAGTGGTTCAACATCACCCTCGAGGAATTCGGCGACACCAGCTTCGACAGCTCCCTCGAGAAGAGAGGTGAGATGAGAGGAACCATGAAGATCGGAAAGACGTACATGGACTACGGCTGCGACGCTTCCATCAGGAAGACCCTGGACGAAGGCATCAGAGCCCTCTGCGACGGTAACGGCTGCGACGGCGGGTCCAGCTGGTCCCGGAAGGTCAAGCACACGCAAGGCTCTGTCCCCGCCGATGCCACCATCACTGTTCGCGCCGAGGGCATCTACAAGGACAGCTATGCGCTGGACAGGTTGAGGGAGGGAGTTCTCGAGTCCGTGCGTCCCGACACCACCAAGGGATACAACCGTTCTTGGTATTGGAGACAGCCTGGAGGCTGGGAAGTGGTGAGTGGTCCGTCGGATGGTTCGTGTGTTGCGATTCCTGATCCTCGTGCAGTCGGGTACCTGCAAGATGAGTCGTTTCGCCAATTATGTTGGTCTGCAGTAAGTGACGAGATACTTGATATGCTTCTGGTCGGATCTGACAAGTCGAGCATAGGCGCGTCGATGGCCCGAGTGCGGCCTGGATCAAAGTCTACGTCAGTATCAAGAAACCGACGAGCAGTAAGTCTCAAGGAAGCTATTACAGGCATTCGCCGCTGACACGCAAGTAGCCGTTGAACTTGCGCAATGGGTTTTCACAAACGTCGTCGGTCCTGCGGTTGGCAAGAAGATTGGGAATTGGATTGGAAAAGTCAAGGCGTCGCATTAGGAGTATCCTTCTGATAGCGATGCTTGGCCCGGTCCTCCTTGAAGAAGGACTGGGTTGCCACAAGCCTGTTGCAAACACCATACCAAGTTGCGATCTTACGGTTCGGCCAGGCGGCAATTTTCTCCTCTTCTCTTTGCTCATCTCATCTTCTCTTCTTTAGAGATACGGTTTAGTTATTTATGCCTTCTTCACTCTAGCTTAACCGGAATACACTATCTTGCCTATTGGCTGTTGAACCTGGTGGACCGTGGTCGGGTGTAATAAAGCCGTGAATGGCTGGCTCCAAACTACACATGGAGCGAGACTGACGGTAGCGGATCAAAACATGCCCCCCATATCATACTCGATAGAAATGACCAACCCAGACACACATTCACCACGTTGCATTGTGGGTCTGCGGTTTATGCCTGAGACTCTCGCGAGTTTGAATCCTCAGCCCTCTCTGTATTTTCTCCTTTGCCTCTCTCACATATCCGTAGCTCACTTGACATACTTCTCAATGTTATGAAATAGTGCAGAAGTTTGGAAGACTTATCTAATCACTGACCTTCCCGATATATAATTGTGTTCATTATTACTATTCTTGCAACCTCGCCTTCAGCTTTGTGCCCTCAGCAAAACGGCCATGCACCACCACCCACAGAATCAAGAAAGAGGTCTCGATCCTCGTTGCACCTGGACCTAATGAGTTTCCCCTTTTTGAGTCAAATTAAGCCGCAGGTTTCCGTTTAAGGGCTCTATCTGCTTTCGCAGGCAGAACAGACTTTATCCTCGGCCTAGGAGCATACCCAAACCCACCTCCAGAAGTCTCTGAACCATCTCTGTAACCCAAAAGGCCTTAGGAGCTTGTTTGCGGATTGTCTATTGTTACGACATTCGAGTTTTTCTAGTACCTAAGGTATATCACCTAGCTACTAGTCTTTGAAGCTAACACTTTAGGAGTTCCCTATAATTTGGAGGGGATTGGCACTTAGTTCGGCCAAAACCAAGTACAACCACTAACCCCTTCAGACTTCTTTTAGGAGTAGAGTTACTGCGTGTTTTAGCCCTAGTGGTGCCCTTCTGTTGATTTCTCCAGTTTCGACTTTGTGACCAAACTCCCCCTAGAGTCTAAGCACTTTGATTTCTTGTAAGGGGCCAAGCAAGTTTAAAAAGAACGTTATCTAATCCCTAGTTAGTGTAGTTTTAGTATGTTTAAGACTATGACGGTATCTAATTGCCTTTAATCCCCCAACTTTTATTCCTGATGAATCAAAACCACCTTGGCAAATGTTCTTGCAGTAGTTAGCTTCAATAAATCCAAGAATTTCACCTCCGACAGTTGAATCAGGGCCAACCCTCGTAGGCTCAGCGAAATGTGTGTACTGTGATTGGTTCTTCAAATTGACACCGCAGTACACTAATTGGACCCTTGGCGTGTCTGGGCAGCTCTAATCCCAAGGTAGGCAACCTTCTTTTCTGTGGCGGCCAATGCGAGGATGCCGTCCGTCCGCTCGCCGCACACACCCCACGCGCGCACGTCAATCTTCACCATCCCAACTTTTAACTGACATGCATGAGTGAAAGGTGAGGCCAATGAACGAAGGCCTCCTTGTAGGTATTGTTGTACCTAATTAGTATTCAACGTCTAGCCTTGCCAGCCCGGGGCCGATGTGACGCAACCTCCCAACTCGGGCGTTTCTTACGGAACCTCGTCCCGTTGCTAGGCTCTCGCCTCACCGAGTTTACTGTGGTCTCGAGCTTCAAATATAAATGAGTCGAAGACGCGTATTCACAAAATCGACCCGGAGACATCTCTCGCAGATGCCCCCCGCCCCCCTTTTAGATGTCTATGGAAGCTTCCGTATCAGAACTAGGATGTAATCGTTCTTCCCCTCCAAACGCTAACTACTGGCCGCCAGCCTTGGAGCGCCGAATGCGGCAGCTGAGCCAGCGCGCCGGGACAGGCACATCACGGGGAACGACGCGGCGCAGGGCCGAACGACCCCGATCTCGTGGCGCGGAACCAACCGCATCCTTTGAGGCCTTATCAAGCCGGCAATACGTGATGAGGGGCCCCCCGTCTTTCTCCCCCCTCGTGTGCGGGACACGCCCGAGGACATGACTCTCGTGCCGAGCCGCCTGTCTGCCTTTGTCCAATCACAACTCCCTTGGCGCCCTCGGAGAGTACAGGGACGGAAACGCGAGGCTTTCTCTCCGCGCCGAAAGACATGCGCCGGGGAGGGGAAAAGAGCCTCGGTTCCGGAAACCAGCTCCCTTACTCGGGGGCCTTACCCGGTGAGCGCTTTCCGCCGGGTGGTCTTGTGGGAGGGAGGCTCTGTTCTTGTGGCGGACGAAGGTTCCCATGGGCTCAGCCATCACAAAGCTGGACGGGCGCAACACAGGAACATGCTCAGGTTGATGCTTGGCGTACCTGGCAGATGTATACTGCACTGCGGTCCACCATTGCGATTTCACCTCTTGAAGCAGCACGAGCACTGGGCTCTATGAGCGTGCTCTCGGCGAGCTGTGCGGTTGTGTTCCAACGTCCGTTATTTCATTCAGGAAACATAAGTTCCGGCAGAGACGAGAAACGGGGAAGCAAGATGCCCACGTAACCCCAACTGAAGTACCAGCCATCCTTCCATCACCCGCTTGGGGATATGTATGGTGATGGACGAGCAGGTTTGATATCACGGTTGTCGCCACCAATCAGGCCGGACCCAGCTTCAGGTGTAGTTAACCGTTATCTCGGCCTACAGGGCGGCCACGTCAGCAGACACTATGCCGTGAGAACTAGCGAGACCGAGCACCGCAGGATTACACTGAGCTCTCGCGATGCTTAGCTTCGTCATGTCACAAAAGAACATGTAGTGTCAAGACTACCTATGCCGTCGCGGCGAGTCACTTAGTCGGGCAAACGCCATTGCATAATGGACTTGGTATGAGCAGTTGGTTGCAACCTTTGCTCAGGAGAGTAGTGCGCCCGAGGAGCTCGTTGCAATTGACGCTTGCCAATGGGCTCACGGAGACACACCGGAGGCTGAGCAAGTATGGCTGGGTCAAAAACCTACCAGGGGTAACATAGCCAATCCAAGCTTGTTCTTGGACTTGATACTGGAAAGAGTCAATAACGCATGTTGACTGGTGTGTTGGAATAGGTGGGCAGACACCGTTTAGGCTTCTTGCCCTCCCCCCCCTTTTCTTCTTCTTCTATTTCCTCTGGAGAGCCGTTCTATTTCTGGGTAGCAAGCTGGGGCGGGAGTCAAGAAATGCATGTTGGATCGCCTTGTTTCTGGGTCCTGGCTGACTCGTCAACACGAGACAATGCAGCAGTCGGGGAGGGCTGCCGGGGACGGAGTAGCTGACACCGACAGGCAGAAACACGGCGTGGGCGATAGGCAGTGTCAAAGGACGACGGCGTGCACGGGGGCGAAGCTGTGGGTTGCCTGCGGCCCGAAGGCGTAGTGTGGTGATGACAGGAACGAGCGACAGGTGTGTGGCGCCGGAGCTGAAGCGTCGGGGGCCGATAGTCGGGGGCCGAGGACTTGAGTTGGATGCGAATCGCCGAGTAGCATCAATAGCTGGAAAGACGGGCTGAGCGCCATTTGAAGGGTGCAGTCGTCAAGGGGCAGCAGGCCCTGAAGATGGCTAAGAAAGCAAGGCTGGAAAGCCTCGAACAGAGGATCCTGTTTGAGGGACAGAACACGAAATTTTGTGATGTCATGCGCCGACATGGGTCAACGCTGCAGGGCAGGCGAAGATGCTTTATTGCGTATTGCGCATGTTTGGTGGTTTTGGTGAGGGGCGTTCGCAGACAACGGAGCAGCGGTATGAGACGACAGGACGGGTGAGACGAAAGGGGCCTCCCTGATGGTTTCAAGACGAGGAACCGCCTTGCAAGTGAATCTTGGTAGTTTCTTGTTTGTGAGGCGTTGACACCGGGTCGAGTAGTGCGTGGTTTAGGATTTGGACATCAATATCCTTTCGGTAGGAATAGTACGAAATACTCGGTGCAGCCAGTTAATGGCGGGAGACCGCGGTGTGTGGTGGCTGGATCGAGAGGACGTTTTGAAAAGCTTGTCTCTCTTTCAGTCTGGCTCGTTAGGCCTGACGATCTGCGTCATTGTGCCGCCTTTGCCGATTCCCCTGGTCAGTTGCACGGATGGGAGAATGAAGGAGGCTGTCATGGCCCTGCCTGGCCAACGGAGCGAATGCCCGGATCGGTGATGGAAGTCGACGGCGAGGATTTGCCGTGTCTGTTGGTCGAATCGTCCGTCACTCGGCGCGCGCTTCGCACCACGCTGCTGGGATGGGATTGTTAGTGATGGATCAGAAAGGCCGAGGCTGGGCTGTAGCAAATAGCGAAAGCAGCAGCAGCAGCAGCATCGACTGATGACGGAGTCGGTGGAATTCGACATGTTTGGGCATTCCCAAGCTGGTTTGAAGAGGAGGTCGGATTGATTGTCGCGGCGGGGGGCCCCCATCGTGACTAGGAGGAAACTGTGGGGGACGGAATGCGAAAAATTGTGCGAATTGCGGCGGCAGTTACCTGTGCCTATTCCTATTCGTACCTGCCTGCCTTCACTGAACGAAACGAGGAGGCGCGGGAGGGGCAGGCGCCTTCGTCTCTCAGCCAACCACGGCCGGCCCAGAGGATCCACCAACACACACACACACACCCCCGAGTGGGACAGGCGCCACCGATCCCAGGGCCCCCTCCTTCCTCTCTCTCCACCTCTCTCTGGAAGCACAACCACGCAAGAAACAGCGACTCAGAGCCACACACACAAATGCACACACACATACTCCGTACAATACATACATCACCACGCTCAGTCCAAGTCTCATCCACACGACGGGCCGTCTCACTCGGCATCCGGGACGAGCACCTGCGTCTCGAGTTGAGTCGGCGTTCAATCCACGGGAGATGCATGCAGATACGACGCCCAACGGAACAAACAACGACGGGAAACCATAAAATAAAAATAAAATAAAAATGGGCCGGCCGAGGGCGCATCCGTAACGCTACTACTACATAAGGTACAAGCAAGTACAGTACAATAGTGTTTTGCACAGCCGCCTTTAGAAAGGCACTAATGTCTCTGTCTCTCTCTCTCTCTCTCTCTCTCCATGCCCCTTGCTCGCTCGCTCTCACCTTGTTCTTTCACTCTCCTCGCGTCAATGGTTGTTGTTGTTGTTGAGCGGATGCATCGGCAGCACACTAGGCGTTGAAGAGAGGAAGCGGACTGACGTCGGGAGAAGCAACAATCATGGCCGGGGGGCCTGGCTTAATCGCCTGCCCTGATTTTTACCCTTGGATACCTACCTACCTAGATACCTGAGGTAGTTAGTACACACGTACGACGCATCTCAGTTCCCTTTCCCTGTGCCTCTTTATTCTTCCGAGGGATGCTTTTCCCTGCACCGCGGCTCGATTTTTAATCATTCGTTCATTGTCAGATGCTGGAAGCGCAATCGTCGGCAGTTTATCGGTCCTCTGCGTACCAGCACGAACAGGGCAGCACCGGGTGGACCGGGGAGCCGTGGAACCGGAACTGTGACTGGAAATGCGGTCGGCCAAGAGAAGGCACGCACGCACGTACGTACGGCAAGGTACCGCGCCCCCCAGATTCCCGTGTGGAGGTACAAGGCTTGGCCGTTGACATTCCGGTACTCCGTATGTCATTGTCCTCATTGTCATTGTCCTTATTGTCATTGCCCATGGGCATTGTGTTGTCTGGTGGTTACTGCGACGGCACCTACCTAGGTAGGTAACCTTACTTGAACTGGGTAGGTGGAAGGAGACGGTAGCCAATGGTACCTTCCTTCCTCATCCCATTGGGCGGCTCCTACTTACCACCGACGGATACACGTACCACACCACAGCGCCTACCTATGCATCACCAACTACGTAATACGATAGTTAGGTATTCGTAAACGTCCCTTCCATACGAGATGCCGACCAAGGTACACCCTTCCTTCGTGCAGTCCGTGTAACAGCCAGGTGGTATTGACATTTTGGCCACGGAACAAACACAAGGGAAAACGAAAGCAGAGGAAACAAAAGAATGGGTGGTGGGGTGAGGGGGAAGGTGTGGCTCCCTCTGTACCTGCTCTGCCTGCCCTGCTTGTCCTGTGTGCTGTGTGGAAGCAACGATCCTGCCATGTCACGGAAGGAGGGAAGCAAGGGTGGAAGGGATGCAAAGGGAAAACAACCGTATCCCTCCCGCCAGCTCGTCGTCCACTAAACCTACCTACCTACCAACATAGTACGACGTACTACATAGTATGTGTACATATGTACCTACCCTACCTGCCTAGGGTAAGGTGGTAGGTACCTGTCCCCGTTGCAGTTACCTGCCTAGGGTAAGGTGGCAGGTACCTGCCCCCGTTGCAGTTACCCTGTACGGGATAGCATAGTGTTCAACCCCTTGTCTCTTGCTGTTCCTGTTCCTGATTCTCGGTGCCTTCCTCTCTCGACCACACACCGTCACGGCGGCTCCTGCTGCTTCTAATTCTGACTCTGCTCTCTCTCTCTGTCTTCTGTCTTCTATCCTCCGTCCTCCGTCTTGTTCGAACTGCAACCGAACGACGACCGACTGACGAACCCGACGAGTGAGTAACGCGAATCACCCAGCCAGAAGAAACACGACCGGCGCCATTAGCAGCGCATATCTAAGAAAACCCGCGACCATCTTATCCATCACCCAAAGCAAAAAGGCCAAGACTGAAATAGTTTACCCAGCCAGGATCCAAGATCCAAGCCACCCTCCAACGTGCTGCAACCTTGCTTCGTACTGCATACGACACACCACATCTCTCTCGCCTGGGGGGTTCTGGCCTCTCCCAATTCCATCTCTCTCCTCTGTCTTGTTTTTTGACGGCTTCTCACTTTTCCGTTTCTTTTCCTCCCTCCAAAACCCAACCTGACCTTTCCCCATCCCGGGTCTTTTCTTCTCACAACACGACAACCGGACCAAATACAACGGTGCCTCGCTGGGCTCCTGCTCCTCCGTACCCCGCGGGCGAACACTCCAGAAAGAGTCTCGCTTCGACGGCAACAGAACACGGGTCGGAATACGAGCGATTACCACACAAGGGAGCCGCACGGAAGAACACAACACGATCCTCGAACCTGGCGCTGCTGTGGGCGAAACAACCCCCCCTCCACAAAAAACAACCCAATAGGCCGCTGTTGCACTCAAGCTCACTTGGCGGCTTACGCCCTCTCTCCTCCGCCTCCACCATACCTACTGCACCAACTCCCATCAGCCCTCTGCCTCCCGTCCGGCCTCCAAACAGTCTTCAAAACGATTCGTCGCAATAGGGGCTTCAAGACAACATCTTGCTGCGCCCGCGAGTGCGTGTCCCCTTCGCACCAACGACACTGTTGCACTTGCATTCGCTTCGTCCGCCCACCTACACGAGCAGACGCACACGCGATCTCGGGACCTTGCGCCCTACCGCAGTCACACTCTCCGAGGCTTGCATTAGTCGGAGGCACTTGACTTGCGTCGCTGTCGTACTCCGAGTTACTGGGCGACCTGTGGTGCACCGAGGTCAGTGTTTTCTTTTCTTTTGTTGTCTCTGCTTCCTCGTCTCTCTGTCCCATCCGGTCACGCACCCGTCGCATACCTGCAGTGGCTGGAATGACCAGACGGACACTGCCATAGTGTTTGCGGCAAGAACACCACGCTCACAATCAATCAGTCGTCGCCCCGAGACATCTAAAATTACATCCGCATTCCTTTTGCCCACGCTTCGCAATAGCCGCCCCCGATTCCGGGTCAACATCCCCGTCTCTTTCAACGGTTTCCACCTCCTACACCATCCTCGTTTACCCTCAACAGGAGGAGGTCCTGTTGGTCAGTCACCAACTCAGCCTACGAGGGTCGTGCGATCTTCCCCCTGATCTCTAATCTATATTCGAAACATGCCTCGATACGACCATGACGACGGCAGCGCCGAACGCGAGCCTTTGGACAATTCTTATCGGTCGCATACGCCCAACCCTCCTGAACATTACCAGGACCATCAGTACCACAACGGCGCGCCTCAGGCCTACTACCCCCAGCAGTATCCCGATGCCCACACCGACCCTAATTTTGCTCGCATGAGAGAAGAGCGGAGGAACGATCGGCAGGGCCCACCATCAGCTGCTGTGGGAGCTGTCGGCGGTGCTGCTGCTGGCTACAGCGCTCAGCGGGCCGTCTCGCCCATCGATTCCACCCCCCAAGTCCCCCCTCATCGTGAATGGGCCCCCGAACGCTACGCACCTCCGCAGCAGAGCAATCTCAACCCCAACATCACCCCTGGCGCAGATAACTTCAGTGACACTGCATCCGGTGGCATGGCCGGCATCGCTTACACGGTCGCCGAGCGCAACGCGAGGGAGAGCGGCGTCGATGCCATGAGAAACGTTGGCCAGGTGCCGCCGCCTCAGGCACGAGGACAGTTCCAGCAGCCCAACGTCCCACCACAGACATACAGCCAGCCGCGGGGGGACGCCTACGAGATGACCACCGCTCCGCGCTCATACCAAGGCAGTCTCCCGGATCGCAATTCTCACTCGAGTTTGACCGCTCTGGGAGCCGCGGCTGCGTCCCCGGCGAGGCTATCGCCGGCCTCGAGCCCGTACGGTTTCAGCGACTACTACAATGATAATACGTACTACCAGAGGCACCCCGACCATCTCGGTGTCGTAGACCCCAATTCGATCGCGGACGACGGTGACGACGGCTTGGAGTATGGTAGAAGCAGGAGCGGGAGAAACTCGATGCTCAGCCTGTCCAACAGCGACCGCACAGGCAGAAGTAAGGCCGGCCCTGGGGGCGCGGCGGCAGGAGGTGCCGCTGTTGGCCTGATGGCCAACCGAAACGCCAATGCATACTACGACCCAAAAGACTCGTCCTCGGGCTACCAAAATGGCGACGCGATTGATGCCGCAGGCCAAGAAAAGTACCAATGGGTAAGGAGCGAGAACAAGGGACGGAGAAAGTGGAAAATTTGCATAATTATCGGCGTCATCCTCGTCATTGCCGGCGCCATCATTGGCGGTACGGTGGGTGGTTTGATGTCGAGGAACAGCCGTGACGGTGGCTCAAGTCGACAAGGCCAGTCGGCGGACGACGATAAGAATTCCAACGGCGACCTGGACATCAACAGTGCCGAAATCAAGAAGCTCATGAACAACAAGGACCTGCACAAGGTGTTTCCCGGAATGGACTACACGCCTCTCAACACTCAGTATCCTGACTGCGTCCACGACCCACCATCGCAAAATAACGTTACGCGCGATCTCGCCGTGCTCAGCCAGCTCACCAACACGATCCGCCTGTACGGTACCGACTGCAACCAGACTCAGATGCTCATCCACTCGATTCAGAAACTGAAGATGGAGGACACGATCAAGATCTGGATGGGCGTTTGGCAGGACGGCAACACGACGACAAACGCACGACAGCTCCAGCAGATGTGGGATATTCTTGACGAGTACGGTGACAAGTACTTTGAGGGCATCATCGTTGCCAACGAGATCCTTTTCCGAAAGGAAATGACCGAGGCAGCACTGGGAAACCTCCTTGCCGAGGTGCGCACGAACCTGACGAGCAAGGGACTGAGCTTGCCAGTCGCCACATCTGATCTCGGCGACGACTGGACGGCTTCGCTGGCGGCGAAAAGCGACTACATCATGGCCAACATCCACCCCTTCTTCTCTGGCACCAACGCCAAAGAGGCAGCCGCGTGGACGACTACCTTTTGGGAGGGGCATGCCGGCAGTTTCTTCAAGACGGACAAGAAGAAGAACGTTATTGCCGAGATTGGCTGGCCTACCAAGGGCGGCACGAATTGTGGCTCCGGCACCACGGCCACAGATTGCCCCAATGCCTCGGTTGCTGGTATTGACGAGCTGAACACGCTTCTAGAAGACTGGGTGTGCGCCGCCCTGACCAACGGCACGAATTACTTTTGGTTCTCGGCCTTTGATGAGCCGTGGAAGATCAAGTTCAACGAGAAGGGCAAGGAATGGGAGGACCAGTGGGGCCTGATGACGGTTGACCGAAACATCAAGTCGGGCGTCACAATCCCAGACTGCGGCGGCAAGACAGTCTAAAGCAGACCTGGTGGCTGTTACGAATCGGATTGCTTGTTTACGGATGCACGAGGCGGACGTGCCTCTGGCCTGCTGCTCGGCAACTTTGGGCAACCTGCCGCAATGTATATGACGGAGTAATTATGGAGTTGAGGACTCAAAGCATGCCTGGCCTGATTGCCGCCGGCATCATGTGTATGATGTTTGATACCGTATATAACGTCGGTAAGGGTTCGGGCGGGTGGTTCCGCATTGTCATTGGTATTTGAACGGATAAGATGAATAGATTACTTACTCGACGTCTCGACTGCACACCGACACTCGATCTACTAATGGAGCTATTGAAACATGTGGCTTGCTGTTGAGGGATCTGTGCAGCCTCGTCCGATGCAGATGATGCAGGTAGCTTGAGTTCTTGGCCTGCGTAATGCGTGTATGGAGGACACGGATGACGCGGGCTGGGGCGGGGCGGGGGTGTCGGTCATGTGTGGCCAAAGACGTTTGCGCTACCAACGTTCTCCGGAACCTTACTTCCCGCAACTACATGATATCGAGGGCAACACATCAAATCGCTCCTTATCGATAAGGCTACCAATAAAAGATCTGCTCGTTCCATGTACTGACGCGAGCGATTGAACCTCGTTCCAGAATACGCACTCACGGCACGCCGGGGGAAATAGTCAACCACTGTGGAGAGAGGGAGAGAGAGAGAGAGAGAAAGAGGTAGGGAGGGGTTGTCATGAGATGCGCCACGCCATCCCAGCTCGTCACCTACGCCGCATTCATCCTCGGACTACTCGGCCCAGTAGGCAGTACGCAGGTCACGGGAAGCACGATGGCCGCGATGATGATGCCGACGGCGGCGACGTCGACGACGAGTGAGGCGAAGAAGAAGAACAACATGACGAGGCCCGACCCGACGATGCCGCTGGCGCCGATGCCGCTTCCGCCGTCGGGCGCCGGGCGGCACGGGGAGGAGATCGTGAGACAGCTGACGGGCCTCACGCGGTCCGGCATCAGCGGCGGGGGAGCAGGGCCGGGTGGCGGGAGCCGGTTACGATTCGTCAAGAGGGTGGAGCTGGAGGGGGAGCTGTGGGAGCCCGAGGGGATCGTGAGGCTGGCGGGAGGATCGGTATCCTCGTCGTCGTCGTCGTCTGCCGTTGACGCCGCCGGGGGAGACGAAGGGGACGGGCGGGATGAGAGGTTCTGGGTGTCGGCGGGGGAGTACACGGTCCCGACGGAGAAGTTCCCGGGGGGCGAGTGGGTAGACGGGACAGACCGCACCGCAGGGGCGGGGTTCGCGCACATGGTGGTGTTTGACGGGACGGGGCGGCGGTTGGCAGACTGGGTCGTCTCGGAGGAGGGGGACCTGGAGGTGAGTCTTTGCTGTTCTCCGTCGTTTGAGCTTCCGGCCCTGCATCGGGACAGAGGTAGGTGGAGAGGAGAAGGGGAAAGAGGAGAAAGCTGACGACGGAACCCACCCCAGTACCACAACGGCGGGCTCGACTACGACGGCCGGCACATCTGGGCGACTCTCTCGCAGTACCGGCCCAACACGACGGGGACGGTGGTGAGGATCGACCCGGCGGAGCTGACGACGGAGGCCGTGCTGCGGGTGGACGACCACCAGGGCGGGATCGTGCACGACGTCGAGACGGGGACGCTGACGACGCTGAACTGGGGCGGGAGGACGGCGAGGCGGTGGGACCTGGGGAGGACGAGAGTCGGGGCAGTAAGGGCGGGGGGCGATGGGGAGCAGCAGCAGCAGCAGCAGCAGGTCAGGCTCGGCGGCGGCGGTGACGGTGTTGGAGCAGCAGGAGGGGGAGGAGGAGGAGGAGGAGGAGGAGGAGAGCAAGGGGGCGGCGGGGGCTTCGACGAGCCGGAGAGGGAGACGGTGAACCCGTCGTACTGGGTCGACTACCAGGACTGCAAGTCGCTGGGCCGCGTGGGCGGGCGGTCGCTGATGCTGTGCTCGGGGATCGCGACGGCGGCGCCGGGCGTCGAGGTCGGCGGGCTGGCGGTCGTGGACGCGGAGGACATGGTGCCCGTGTGGGAGGCACCGTTCATGGAGAGGACGGGGGCGAGGGGGGGCGAAGGAGGCGGGGAGGGCGTGTTGATGACGAAGAACCCGATGGACGTCGCGCTCGTCGAGGGACGGGTGAGGTTGTACTTTGCGCCGGAGGAGGGGCGGAGCGCGGTGTACGTTTATGAGGTCTGCGAGGGGTGACCGTTGTCTCTCCAGATGAAATAGATGGTGTCTTGGGACGGTTGCACGGCCATGTCTTGCTGGGGGCCAGAAAGATGGGTGGGTCACGGTCGAATACAGTTTCACGGTAGATTGTCATAAGTTTCTGTGTTTATTAATATGTTCTCGATGACGGAGAGATGCATAGGGAGCGGAGAGGAAGACAGGAGAAGAGGGTGTCTATATGGTGCGTAATACGATGAGTCGACCTCCTCGACCAGATCCTGGGCCCTTGGTACAAGTGAATCAAACCCGGACCGGACTGCATAGGAAGAAGCTGTTCGCGGAACAGCAGATATGAGCGCGGTATTGGAACGAAGATGACGAGCAACAGTGATGCTAATCGTCAGCTGACGATGGATGGAGAGAGTTGTCCAGGAGCTGCGAGATGTACACGCCGAGTCGGGCGAGCCAGATCATCGGTCCGAAAAGGTGCCGCCGCATACGTGTGTGCGCAGAGCGTATAAGTCTCCCCCCGTACGAAATGAGTATCGGAGGCGTTAAAGGGCCGAATCAAGACGCCGGACTCGGGCTGCATGCGCGCTCTCGTTGCCGTGTATACTATATATGGTACATATGCATCCGTATATGGTGGATATGCATCCAACAAGCGCCTCCTCCCCTTACTCCTCTCCATGCCGTGGGCAATTGATGTGTCCGCGCTATATGTAACTGTTGAGCATCGGATTTGTATTGTGTGCAATTACGTAGTTATCTAGGAGCTTCCAACCCGAATCGATGCACCCGATCACCTTGCTTGTTGCTGAAAAGAAGAGTCCGGCGTAGTACGCGCTAGTGAAACCCCTTTGCTAGGCAAAATGCTATCTGGGCCTTATGTGAAAGTCACAAAAATCCCTCTCCCGTGGCCAACTCGATCTACCAATGACTACAGCAGAGTTTGCCAGACGGAGAGATAGATGAACTGGCGATATAGTGTGGGTTGGACTCATGTCCTTTTGCTGTCGCAGTCTGTGTCGCTCTAGCACCGGGCCGGCGGCTCAGCATTGCGAGATATATCCCTTTCGGCCTTCTCCGGCATACGGTCTGTGCCAGATCGTGAACCCAGTCCAAGTCTGGGGTGAGACTTTGTGCCGCTGACGCCGTTTATGACGCCATTCCCGCTAGCTAAGGCATTCCCGCTAGCTATTTGTGAGGCGCACTGTTCCACCTCGCCAAGTCGTTGCTGATGGCGTTGTGGAGGTCTAGGGCATAGACTGCGGTGGCACTGACGTTGGAATTTCGGTGTCTTACTGAACGACTCTTGGAATGCTACAGCTGAGATGTTGCGGTTATGACGATATCGCCAGATCGACATGGTTTGCTCGTTGCGCGTCCGTAGAAGCGTATATTAATGTCGATGTAGCCCACTGGCTTCATCCCGCCCTCTCGTCGTCGACTACTCCAAACCACCACTCACAAGCATAGTCTTGCTTACATCACAAAGAACATGAGATTCCATGCTGCAGTTCTGGCTTCGCTCGCCGCTTCCGCGGTAGCCTTCCCCTCGCTGGCCGTGAAAGAGGGCCTCGAGAAGCTCGAGAAGCGCAACCCAGCGCCGGAACCGCAGCTCCTCACAGGCGTGCTCGGCTCGCTCATAAACAGCATCAGCGGCCTCCTCGGGAGCGTCGTCCAAGGCGCCCTCAACCCGGACGACAAGCGTCCCGAGCCCGGGTATGAGTTCAGGGCTCCCGGTCCCGGCGACAGCAGAGGACCATGCCCGGGCCTGAACCTGCTCGCGAACCACGGCTACCTGCCCCGCAACGGACACGTCAACTTTGGCCAAGTCATCGAGGCCGCTGCCCGCGGCTTTAACATGGGTCCCGATGTGGCTACAGTATTGCTCGTCTTTGCCATCTTAACCGGCGGCGACATCGCCACCGAGTCGTTCTACTTGGGGGCCGGCCCAGGAGGCGTTGGAGGGTTGAACAGACACTCCACGGTCGAGGTAGGGGAGAGCACCTCCGTCAGGGCCATGGTCCCGTCTAACGTCCCCCTCTCCGTAGGCCGATATCTCCCCGAATCGTGAGGACTTCTACAACGGATGCGGCGACAACCACCACCTCTCGTCCCGCCTGTTCAAGCAGAACGTCGGCATCGTTGCCGAGAGCGGAACCAAGCAGTTCGACCTAACCAACATGGCCACCCAGTACCAGCAGTCCTCCATGTTCTCCCAGAAGAACAACCCTTACCTCTACTACTTCCCCTTCCCGATGATCGCCTCGCTCGGCGCTTTCGCGTTCTACCCCCAGGTGAGTCCCAGAAATGCCCTCGCCTCCAACAAGTGCGGCCGACGTTGACATCCGAACCCCCTCCCCTCCAGTTCTTCAGCAACGGCACGTACGGGGCCGGAGGAGTCGCCAACTACGAGTCCATCTCCTCCATCATCGGAGCCAAGTACGACAGCGAGACCGGCGAGTTCCAGTACGTCCCGGAGACCTGGCCGGAGAACTGGTACCGCCGCTCCACGCCGTACGGCGCGGTGCAGACCCTGCTGGATGGGCTCGGCGTCATCTACCCCCGCAACATCGTCGTGCCCGGCGCGGCCCAGCTCGGCACGGGCAACCTCAACGCCACGAGCCTGCTCTGCGACCTGTACCAGGCCGTCAACTCGTATACCCCCCTCTTCGTCTCCGGCACCGTCGCCGAAGTGGCCGCCGCCTCCGCGTGGGCGCTTTCGAAGCTCGACCCGTACTTTGGCAGCACCGCCCTCGGATGTCCGACCGGCACGCTGTCCCCCGACGCCCCCAGCCTTCTCTTTCCCAACGCGAGGAACGAGGGGGGTCCGCTCAACGCTCCGCCCAGCGTCGCGAGGAACGTTGGCGATAACGTCTATTACAAGACGTACTTCGCGACCGCCCCGGTCACCCCGGCGTGTTGAGGTGCCATGGTTTGGCGCCAGGGCGTAGTGTAACACATTCATCCGTTTCTCGGTCTAGGGGTCCATGTTGTATCAAGTCACAGCGTAATGACAATTTGGGCTTGGAGTGAGGTTGACAACAGTGTTATGTAGTTTGAATACATAAAACATCGTGTGTTGAGCGTGTTTCATTCATCTGGTCAACGATGCAACACGTCGTACCGGTTTTTGTCATAGGAGCCAAACGTAATAACGTAGAACTTTGGGATCAGCAAAACACCATCAGGAATAATAATCAATTATATCCTACGACGCAGATCCGCAGCCTAGTCTCTATTATCCGTCTGCAAGGTGGCCCCAGTCCCCTGCCAAAGCTCGAGTCCCTTACTCGTCTACTCGTCGCTGTACGATACGAGCTTTTCCATGAGAATCAAATGATAACAAGAAGCAAACAATGCCGGCTGATGACATGAGTTGCTCCGCTTCCCCCGCTTCTCCGCAATCCTCCATCATATTGCATCCTTGCCGAGAAGTGGGACGATCCTACGGTATCTCCAGGCCAAAAGATCCGCACCTATCACGGCCCTGGGGTTGGCTCTCTGATGCGACGATACGTTCGATGCCATCAGTGCCTTGCCTCGGCATGGCTATCGCCGTCCGGTATTAGCCCGCTTTTGCGAGTGCGGCCATGAATACCTGAATATATAGATGGGAAATAAGAAACACATGCCGATGCTCTTCGTTTTGCTGGGTGGCTCAACGTGAACCTTCACTGTTCGTGTGTTATCAACATGGGGCCTCTCTGGACCGCCACAGCTCTGCTAGCAGCCGGCGCAGCTCGAGCTCACCCCAGTGGAAGAAGCAGCTCAAACTCGACCAGATTGGACGTTCCGCGGAACGCAGACGGCGCTTCGATACCTCACGCCAACTCGTTTGCTTCCTTCTCGTTCGAACCGGCCTTTTGGGTCGAGTTCTTCGGTAACGCAAGCACGCCGAACAACCTCACATTCAGCCTGCTCAACCGGATTCATGAACATGGCGGGCATCCGATTATTCGGCCCGGTGGCATCACCATGGACAGCATGATATTCGACCCAGAAGGCGGAGACCCGGTCCGCACTACCAGCCCCGAGGGAGGCGTTTGGCGGACGACTGTCGGCCCGGACTACTACCACAGCTGGGACAACTTCCCCAACGGCACCAAGTTCATCTCGACGCTTAACTTTGGCAACGAGAGCTTGGATATCGCCAAGGGCCTGGCGGTCGCTTCCGTCAATTACCAGGGCGACAAAATTGCGTACTACGAGCTGGGCAACGAACCCACAAACTACAAGCAGAGCCGTTGGAACTTCTCGACGGATGCCTACGTCCACGAGTGGAAGGAATACGCGCGCGGGATTGACGCGGCCGTCAACGCCACCGGCCACTCCGACCTTCCCAGCGAGCGCTGGTGGGCCTCGTCGGCGACGACCGACGATTCCGGCCTGGAGGTGCGGCCCATCGCCCTCATCCCGGCCGGCATCGACTCGGAGCACCAGGTCGGCGTCTACTCGATCCATTCCTACGGGTTCTCCACCTGCGACCCGGCCCGCGCCGCCCTCGCGACCATCCCGAACATCCTGAACCACACCGAGCTCGTCCGGTACTGCGACGAGGAGATCTACCCGTCCGCCCGCGCGGCCCTCGACGTCGGCAAGCGCTGGAACATTGGCGAGTACAACTCCGTCAGCTGCTCGGGCGCGCCCAACGTCACCGACACCTTCGCCCAGGCCCTCTGGGTCGTCGACACCCAGCTCATCTACGCCACCCGCAACGCCTCGGCCGTCCACCTGCACCAGGGCGCCACCCTCGCCCTCCAATCCAGGGACCAGCTCAACACGCCCGGCGAGAACGGGACCCCGGGCTACAGCACGTACTCGATGCTCTACCCGCGCGACAGCTCCCTGCGCGGCCCCGCGCGCACCCTGCCCTCGTTCCTGGCGCAGCTGTTCATGGCCGAGGCCTTCGCCGTCCCGGACACCCGCGTCCGGGCCCTCTCGCCGCCGCCCGGCGTCAGCCCCGATTCCTTCGCCGCGTACGCCTTCTACGCGGGCGGCCGGGTATCCAAGCTCGCCCTCGTCAACATGAAGCCGTACTACGCCAACTCGACCTCGGACCACACCGTCCGTCTGGACCTGTCGGCCCTGGCGCGCGCAGGGAAAGGGGGCGGCGTGCGCGCCAAGAGAATGACGGCGCCTTACGTGAACACGGGCGACAGCAAGCTGGCGACCTGGGCCGGGCAAGCGTTCCCTCAAGGCGAGCCGGTGGGCGAGACGGCCATCGAGACCATCGGCGATGACGGGGCTGTGGAGGTCAGGGGAAGCCAGGCCGTCTTGGTGTTTTTCAACGACGAGGAAGTATACGGCTTGTAAAGACCAGAAATGGAATTGTCAAGTACCTCTAGTAACAATCACAAAAACGACGCCGTTTATCAATTCCATCGTATCGTAAGTGACATGCGCTGCCTGCCTTTTCCTTGTCTTTTTCTTTTTCTTTTTCTTTTCGTAATGAGATAACGATATATAAATGCGGCTGTAGCAGTAACAGCTGTAGTTCTGAGGCTCTACTTTTGTCATCACACTATCAAAGCCTTGCCGCTATTTTGGTACATGCTGGAGACGCCACACTCTGCCACTGTGTCTGATACACCAGACGCGCACTCCGATAGAGGTGTTGTAAGTATGAGTGGAAGTTGACAACAAGCAGGGGTTTTGAAATGACAATTTGGGAGTAGTACCAGGTTGCTCAGCATCATCGTTATGCTTGCTTTTGATGGCCTGGGTAATACCTCAGCTCACTGCGCTTTCATGCTACAGGCCGAACTTTGAAGCTGCACATGGCTAGTTGACTGTTGGACATATCACATTCACCGACGACTTGACCAACAAACCCCCATAAGACCACAGCATGCGACAAGAGACAAGCGAGTGTATCAAAGGCATACTCGAAGATCGCATAAGGGTCGAGCGAGATGCAGTAAAACAGTAATCAAGAAAAGAAAAGTCCATGAGCGAGAGTTGTCGTTGCTGTTGCTGAAAACCAATACGATAAGGAAACCCTCACGTGAGCTGACACTAATACACTTCACAAGATGTTTTGCCCCGCGCTAGGACGCCCATGGCGCTGTCATTACTGCTCCTTGAACTCCAGCGCGATACGACAGGTTGGAGAGTTTCACCCTTCAACATTTTAAACAGAGGCTTTCTTCTTCTTCTTCTTCTTCTCCTTGGGAGTGGGCGTCGTCCATCCACCATTATGAACAGCCGGCAGGTCCGCTGGTTCTCTAGCTGATTGTGCCTCTGCCTCTGCCCATTGCGCTGGTCCTGGCAGATCTGGCACTGGTTCAGGCTCTGCATCGATGGCCATCCTAGGGGCTTCCTCTTCAGGAGGACGTTCCCGTAGGCTTTCCATCGATTCCTTCCTGTCCGTCTTGGACATGGACGTCGGCCATCCAAGTTCATAAACAGTCTGTGGGTCTGGCGCTGCTTCCACCGCTGGTTCTGGCTCCGATTCCGTCCATCGCGCAGACGCGGGCGCTGGTTCTGGCTCTGGGTCCGCGATGGCCACGGGAGGGGCTTCCTCTTCAGCAGGATGTTCCCACGGGTTTCTCTTCTTTTTCTTCTTCTTGTATTTTGTAGAAAGTTCAGTGGGGTCGTACGGTTCCGGCAGTTCCGGTTCAGCCGGAGGCGTATTAGGCTGGGATTCAGGGCAGAAAGGGGCCGAGTTCCTGCAACATATCTCAACGATGAGTTTGACGAGCATCTTGGAGTATGGCGTCGCCGTGTCAAAACACGTCAAGAAGCGCGTTTTTTCCTGCGACGAAGCGTCTTGAAATAGCTCCTCAACACGCAGCTTGATGAACGTAGAGAACCAGAGGTCCCCCTCCCCCAAGAGTTGGCAAGCATCGGATGCTAATACAAGAACCTGCAAAGCAGGCAACGCCCCGGCATATTGAGAGATCTTCTGCTTGGAGAGCTCCGCCAAGCCTGGCAAGTTGTATGTTTGCGCCGTGCCGTATACGAGTAAGCTGACTTCTAGTCGTTTCGAAAGTCTCGCTGCACCGGGCAAGTCTGCATCGTCGAGGGTTTGCCATCTGCCAGTGTGAAGGTAGTGGATAACTACATGGCCGCATTCATCCAGCACGTTCTCGAGGCGTATTTCGTTCGACTTGTAGCAAATGCTCTCGAGCCCTTCGCGTAGTAGACCGCGCGGGACTATAAACGGCTGCCCGCTCCTGAAGTAGACCTTGCAGCTAGGGCTCGCATAAGGGCTTGAAACTACTTTAGTACATAACGGCACGCTGAAAGGAGTTGCAACCTACGACACTTTTGGTCCAATTTCGGGGGCGCGATCTTCTGAGGCTTCCGGTGGCAACCTCATCTTGATTGTCTCCATGTTTGGCAATAGCTTTCTGCTGTGTATTTTCCGCTTGCGTCTACAGGCTGCTCCAACGAAGCTTTAAGTCAAAGCACCCACTTATGGCCCCCCTACCCATATGGCCCACCCTAAAAATGCCGCCTAGCCACTGACTTTCTAGATAACCTCTAACTTTAAACTATTACAATATTTTCTATTCTTTATTAAATTACTTTATTTTTTTAGGATATACTCTTTAATATACTATAACCTAATATACTAAAGATAAGATCTAAGGGGCACTTGCTAATATTAAAAACAGTGTATCTTCTTAGGTTACCTCTAGGCAATAGGGTATACTATAATTAACACTTTAGTATTATATAAATAGTTATTAACAGAGGTTAATTACCTTTAAGGATCTCTAGTAACTATTAACTGCCTAGGAGGCTAGGCTAGCTACTTAAGTAACTAGCTAGGCTAACCTTAGGCTACTACTAACCTATTAATAACTAAAGGACTTTACCTATTATATCCTCTATACTATAGGGGATACTTAACCTCTAGGTAAAAGGTAGGTAGATAGCTTTATTTAAAAGAACCTATCTATTAAGGTCTAGAGAAGTTAATTTATTAATTTAAGGCGTATTAATAGGGCATCTACTAAAGTTATTAAAGACTAGTTTAAATATCTTACTATACCTTATATCTAGGCTATTAAACTAGCTAATAGATATAATATAGATAAGACTAGTATCCTTAAGGGTAAAAGTAATAATAGGTTAATACTAAGTAAAGCTAAAACAAAGGCAGTAAAGAAAAAGTAGCCTAGATTATATACCTAGGTATCTATTATTAAGTGTATATCTACTAAAGGTATTCTTATTTATCCTTTAGTTATATATAAGGGTAAAATAGTCTAGTAGTAGTAGTTCCCTCTAAATTTTACCCTATATAATAAATAAAAGTTTATAGTAATAAAGAATAAATAGACTACTAATAATACTACTATTAAATAGCTATAAAAGGTCTTTCTTTTTTAGACTAAGCCTTTTTAGCCTAATTAGGCTAAACTACTTATCTTAGATAAGTATAAGAGCTATATAATAATAGATTTTATATAGTTATACTATATTAATAATGTCTATCTCTTATTCCTACTACTATATACCTCTTATATCCTCTAGCTACTTAATTAGTTAGTCTTTAGTCTTATAAAGGTAGCCTATTATAAGGAGCTTAGGTATCTTAGTTAGTAAAATAATTTAACTATTATTAGCAAAAGGAACTTTATTAGCTATTATTAGAAGGCTTATTAGGCTAGTTTAACTATAGGTAATATTAAGAGTAGCTAGAAATACACTAGGTTATAGCCTATTAGTGTTATAAAGCTACTAATAAATAGGCTACTAGTTTAGAAGGCAATATTATTAACACTAACACTATTAACACTACTTAAAGCAGCTACTAAAGATACCTATAAGGGCTAAGATGCCTAGGATATAGATATATAGGCATCTAGTGTAAAGTAGTCTACGCTAAGGAAGGTAAAGGACCTTAAGGACTAACTATAGCTCTTTAGCTAACTAGACTAGCTAGAATAAAATATTACTATATAACGCTAGCTCTTTAGAAAGGTTAAAAAAGGCTTCTAAAAATAGTCCTATATACTAGCTACTGCCTAGCAAAAAATAGGCCTTCTAGAAGCCTAGGTTACTAATAGTAAACCTAGGAAACAGAAGGCTATTTATATAGATACTAACATAAAGTTTATAATAATTAAAGAGGTACAGTAAGCCTAGATAGAGGTAGGCAAGGTTAAAAGTAATATAGATAAATCTAGCGTATTAGAATTACCTAGTAAGGCCAAAAGCTACATTATTATAGTATCACAAGGTTGTTAATAGTTAATTAAATAAAGTGGTAGTGTTGTAATAGCATCGTTCTTGAGGTGGGCCATATGGGTGGGGGGGCCATAAGTGGGTGCTTTGACTTATAAGGAATTGCGCGTTCTTACCTGTACTGCCCTGCTGTTTGTCGCACCAACAGTCGACCGCCTTATCCTTGCATGGGCGAATGAATCAGCGACGACCACGCGCGACAGTCTTGGACTGTTTGCTTTGGGCAGCAAGGCGCTTGTCGGAGGCATCCAAAGCTTTCCCCGCTGTGATTACAACATTGAAGTGCAGTGGTTCGTCCAGCTGCCTGCAAAGGTTCGAGAAGCGTTGGTTCAGACAACAACATGGACGTCTTAGAAAGCCCTTCATTGGCCCTTGATATTCTGCGTGAGGAGATTGCGTTGGACTTGCAGACGATGAATGCAGTTATTATGCAGGCTGTCCGCCGCTGCAACCAAATTAGTGGCTAGGCGTTCCCCACGTCGTTGCGGTATGTGTTGCCCTCGCATCTGCGCCTGGCGTAAACAGCTGGGCACTCGATAGATGTCGCTGTGCTTCACAAAAGCGGCATACCGGGCTTGCTTGTCTCTATTGGCAAATTTGGGGTCGGCTTCTCACAATGGCCGCCCGAGTTCAACGTTTTCTTGGATGCGTATATGCTTGACCAAGACATGGATGATATGAAGGTCTTCTATACACCCCCGTCTCAACTCAACCAACCAATAGTAGTTGACCAGGAAGAGCATCTATAAAGGATCTTCCAGCTGCTTCGATCCCAAATCGATGCAATTCACAAAAAAAAAAAAAAAAAAAAAAAAAAAGCGAATAGGGCTGGCTTGCCGGGGGGACACCCGAGATAACATCTCATTCGACGGAGGCCAGCACCGGCAACCCCACGGATACTTTGTGCTGCTGGAATGTATTCGTCCAGAACGGAGTCGTGTGGCTTTCAGGAACGGTGTTTCAAATTATACAAGAAGATTCGTTACAGATGGCTACCGAAGCGATGACTGCAAGCACGGCGCCGCCGCACCCCGATGCGTCAGGATCAAACTGGCACCCAAAGGGGGCTGTGGAGCTCGGTATGGCACTAGATTACACGGATTCTGCGTTCAAAGCCCTCTCGAGGCTCACCCACCGACGCTGCTTTGAGAAAGGACAGCATGAAGAAAAGAAGATTGATACAAATAAGAAGAAGGTATGAACATCATGGGTGAGGCAGCGGGTGAGTGAGTGTGAGCTAGGGTCTGTGCATCATTGGTCCCTTCCATCCTCCGACCCTCACCCATTCCTAATGGGATCCGGTCTATACCTCGTTGAAACGCATTGACCGATCAGGACGGTCAGGGGATTCCACTAGGCTTACTGTGCTTACGCTGCGGAGCTCGCGGAGGGGGACGGGTTTGTTGGTGTCGTCGACCATACGCAACACCCAGGATTTTCGTTCGGCGGGCTGCTTCTTGGCGTAGCCTGCCGTCCCGTGGGAATTGGTGCCGGGGGTCGAGGACTTTGAGGCCGCCGACTTGGAACCGATGTTCGTCAAGTTGGACAAGGTCGGGACTGTCGTCTTCCAGAGCTGTCGCGTGGAAGGGAGACAGGCCACGAATACGCCCGTGCAAAGCTCGACGTTGGACCATATGGCGGTTTCGTACGTGTTGACTTGAAAGAGAGCGCGGTTTTAGTCAGGAATCCTGGTGGTCGACGGGGCGCGTGAATCTGTTGCAAGAGAGGAGAGAACCAACATACCTGTGGGGTTGGTAGACGTCGTCAACATGGCAAGCGCTCTGATCCGGTAAGCGCCGACGGCTGTGAGGCTATTCCTCTTTGGTTAGCAACAGAAGGGGGATGGGGGGGGTCCTGCGCTTACAAGATGCCGGTGCCAAAGATGAGGTACACGCCAATCTTCTTCTTGAGGCTCATGTTGAGGTTCCAGATCTGTGTTGCTGGGGTCACCAGCAGGATAACGTCAAGAATAAGCTGGAAGGTGCTATAGGAGATAGTCGAGACGTTGTAGTCAATACACTGGCCCTCTGACTCCTTCATCCAGCCGTCCCAGAAGTAGCTGATAGGGCGGCAGACGAAGATAGCCGGGGGCAGGTAGGCAACCCAGAGCACAATATTTAACGCCAGTGTAGCCCACAGGATCTTCCTAACTGACCGGTCAGGGAAGATACGCAGATACATTAGGATAAGGGAGGCCTTGATAAGTGTCAGGCAGGTAAAGTAGAGTAGGTTAAAGATGTATATAATCTGTTACCACCTCCCCTCATATTGTTAGCTTTCTGTCTAGTGTAACAGACAAGGGGAAGGGGGAAGACCTTACTAGGAGGACCCGAGAGATCTGGTTAGGAGTGAGCGTCCACATGTCTCTTCCTGAGCCGGCTGCTGTAACTATACATAATATGTTTGAGTTTTCCGGTGTATATGCTAGATTATAACCAGTTTTCAAAACTTACTAAGAAAGTTTGCTGGCATGAAGCCTACGAGGATAACCTGTGAGGAGACTAGTTAGCTACTATTCAAGTAGTACAAGGGGGGGGGGCTGTACATAGGCAAACATGATAGTTACGTCGTCCCAGCCCCAGGTCGAGAGCTTTAGGATTTTGCTCGTTAGGCGTACGCCAATAAAGAAGGTTGGGAGGATAAAGAGGGTTACGCGCAGCCACTTGAGGGTGCTGTCTGTCTGGGTTACCGATATCTTCCCGCAGGCCGCCATGGTCTGGTTCTTGGTTACTGTAAAAAGAAAAAAACACGCAAACATCAGTTAGCAAAACTTCCAACACCACTCCCACCACGCCTCTCTCTCTCTCTCTCTCTCACTCTCTCTCTCACTCACCAAGCTGTTGTTTGACTGTGCAGTTTCCCATAACACACGTTGTGACGAGGTCGTTGTAGGCCTCGTCGGCGCAGAGACACGTCTGGTTGCCAAAGCCGCACTCGGATCGTCCCATCTGTTGCAATATGCAAGTGGCCTGTTCGCGCGGGTAAGCAGGGGGCCACCCCGCGGTGGTTTCTCACTTACAGCGCAACCTGGCAAGGCTGTAATGTTTAACATTGTCACCGTCGACGCACAGACGAAGCTCGCCAGCCCGAGGAGGCAGGCGAACAGGGCGAGGAGCCGAGTTGTTGCAGCCATGTCGAGAACAATAGGGCGGGGAGGGGTTTCATCACCAAAGTCTCCTGGGGGTTCTACGCTTTCATGTTTCTTATATGTTGTGCGGGATCTGGCTCCTGAGGGTCCGACGGGCGAAGGAAGACTACTATGTAGTAGTAGTAGTAGTAGTAGTATGGAATCAGGGTCTGGGTAGTTTCATTACCCTAGTTGCACTGCTACGATGGTTACCCATTTTGCTCTAGGCCTCCATGTACTTGACTCGCTTATCTTTCCAGCCAATTATACGGGTATGTCCACATTCTTGATACGGCCACGAGTCAATGGCACCACAATCCGGTTAGATGGCGAGTCAATGGCATCAGAATTTGGTTAGATCAACTCCCGGCCGGATGGAAAACGTGGCCGAACGCGTGGCCGAACGGACGTGACAATCCTACCATCCTAGTTAGAGACCGTGCTGCGCATGGGCAAAGCATCTCCCCGCGAAGCATCTCCCTACGAAGCATTACTCTGACGAGATTTCCCGTTGCAGTGCATGTCCGTCTCGGGGTTCTGCATCATCGACTTCTCATGGTGGTGGTTGGGGGCAGACTACAGGGTACAGGTTCCACAATCTGCAGCGCGACTACGGAGTACCGGCAGGAAGATTGGGCGGGTCTCGTACGCAGTATTATACGGTGTGTGTGGCTCTGCCGGCGGCAAATCGTCGTTGTCAGACTCCCCTCTCCTAGGCTCCGAAAGGGAGAGGGGCTACTATTGCCCCTCCTTTTACGATGTTTTACTAGTGTTGGAATATCAATGTCACCTAACCGTACGACATCTCATGATTCCGTACATAGGAACGAAGGACATCAGACCGGGTATTCATACCTCAGGTAGCAGTCGGTGTATGATCGAGCCGAACTGACTCAAACACATACAAAAGTCTGGGCTCAACCACTAACTTCCCCGCTGGCGGGCCGAGCCCAGACTTTTGTCAAGTGACTGACGGTACGTAATCCTCGTGCCTTTAGTTCGCCCCTGCGTTTTGAGTACATGCACGTACAGAGCCTATTTAACCACTAGGCTTTATAATCAACTAAGCTAAGCTCTCTTTGTATAGTGTTAAACGTTAGGTCGGTGAACTAGTAGTAGTTTTGTGACAAAGTCCCCTGTAAAACCTCGGGCTTTGAAATAGATTTCAAGTAGTCACTAATTGCTATTACCATGGAATTGCACTAGTCTATTCTACCAAGCCTGTCTCCTTTTTATATAGGGCTCCTCTTCGGCAATTCCAAGCGGATCACTCTAGTTTTACCCAGGCCTTACGCTGGCCTCATGCAGGTTCCCGTGGAACGCGAGCAAAAGCGGCAAGACTCACCCAGCTTCCCCTATTGGCTAAAGGTGAGGACCGAAGAAGCTCCGAACGCAGATTCTACGTAGCGGTCGATAGTTCGTAATCTTATACATGTTTTATAGCCTCAATAGATTTATCGTTCCACAAACTACTTTAGCACACTTTAGCGCACTTTAGCTTAGTTGTCTTCACAAAGCAAGATAAAATTTTGTCATCACGACACCTTCCCCTTCGAGGTATTTTTGTATACCCAGCTCATCCGTGTTATTTCACCGGGCGTTGTAGCACTCTATGATATAGCTTCAGCTTAATCCGAGTCCGGTAGAAAGAATGAATGGGGTGCAAGTTGCAACAGTTGGCTTATTAATGCGAAACAGGTGTCCGCTTCCTTTCAATCCCGGCTCTAACCGGGAGGGTCACAAAGTATCGCAGGGTGTTGCAGGGTATGTATTTTAGGTGTTAACTACTGCCTGCAATTGACGGCCTCGTTTTTATAACAGTTATAAGCCCAGGTAGTCCTATAAGTGTTTATGCCTTGGTGGTATAAGTGTAGCTCTAACGTCTGAGCGGCATGCTTATTGTGGGTTCGGTTCCCGTGTAGACCCCTAGTCGTACCTGGAGAAGAGTGATGGCTACCGGTAGACCACCAAGCTTTCGGCGAGATGTACCCGATCGGAAGGTTAGAGGTCTATACATAGAGGGTATTTAAGTGCCGCAGTTCACACCTTGTCTGTAGCTGTGGTGCGAACTGGGGGGGTGTATCGCAGGGTGTGCCAGGGTATATCAGGCGTTATTGATTGCCCCCCCGCAATTAACGGCGTCGTTTTGGCCACACAAAGCTATATTATTACTGATCGTCCGGCACACGCTACCGGCATAGAAGTAGAAGCCTTTATATGAAACTACGATTGCATCTCTTAAACCTTCCAGCCACCTTGCCTGACGCTTCTGTTGCTCTTTTGGAGTCCTTCCTACGGCATCCTTTGCCTCTTGTTTACCTGTCTAATACGAGCCCTGAGTTGTTGATAGGAAGTTGCTCTAGAACAGCTTCAATAGGCCTGAAATGAAACATTTAAAGCACCCTTGTTACCACTAGTGCTCTCAGCACAGTTGATATAACCCTGTCCACAAACACACTCAATTACGGCATCTTTTCTATCTTTCCCCAAGTTCTGCAGTCGCTTCCCATATTCCCAGAATTGATCTATCTAGCGCCTACGCAAACCGTGCAGAATCGCCTATGGTCGGTCAAGAAGCTATCTGTTCATCAATGTACCAGAAAGAACAACGATCGAGCCTTCTTCCTGTACGTTGACAGGTTTTGGCTAGACCATTCCTCAATGTGCCAATATAACAGCTGGTGGGGGACGCGAATTGAAAAAAAAGAAAAAAAATTGGAAAAAATTGGAAAAAAAAATTTGCAGACAAGATGGCAGAGAGAGAATTAAAACTGGATTATTTGCATTGGACTTATGCTGCTAAGGTGTGTTGGATGTGATACCATCCGTCTATTAGACATCAACAGTCCACATAATAGCTCTGTATTTGGTTGCATCCGATACAGAGATGAGAAAATACAAGTCGTGGCACAGGAGCCCGAATAGTGTCATGCAATGTGATGCGGGGAAGAACGGGAGCTTAGCGCTGGAACTTTCGTATCATGCAGTTTACTACCATGGATTAGGCACCGCGTCGACATGCACTGCAATCTGAAATCAATGGGGGATGGGAGCTATTTCGAGACCAGTGCAGCCGCTATTGGAATGAATTATGCCAAGTTATGCAGAGCCGGAATCCTCGGTTATCTACATCATGCGCTTCAGCTGGCTCAAGCGGCTCTCATAGTTCCATAGATGCAGCAAAGGAGGCCTCGGGCTCCTCCCTCTGCCCTAGTTCCGTCGGGGTGCCGGTAGGTTGAAGTGTCCGTAGAAGCTCCGCCGCAAAGGGAAAAGGCGTTCAGCGACTGGCCCGCGTAACCTCTGGTGGTCAGATCCGGATAGGAGGCCAAGAGTGGCTCACGATGATTCATCCACGCTAGCAGGGATTCATGCGTCTGGAGAGGGGCATTGTCTGGAATGCTCCTTAGTTTCTCACTGGCCCGCACGAACGCGCGCCGATGCTCATTCCCCTCTCGCTCCTTCGAAGGACGCGGAGCTAGGGAGACAGGTCGGTGGGATCCTGGCTGGTCAATCAGTGACCAACTCTAGATTAAGCTTCTGTCACTGCGTTACGCTTCGCCTAGGTTTTTGGGTTGGCTGGATGGGCCATCCGCGGACATGAGTTTATTGAGATCCTAGAGCCTTCCAGTGATCCAGCGGAACAGAATACCCGCCAGCAGAAACCATTTACCCCTCAGGCACTTGGTGGGAAAAGAATGTTGCATGATGGATGAGCCATATGTGATCAACTCTAGATCATACTGCAATTATCATGGCATGGGACTAGTAAATATAGTAGCTCATCTCCTGCTATCCGTCCATAAGATGGCACTGACAAACATGTGATGCATGCATGCATGCAGCACATCGTCACATTGGATGCAAGGCAAGTAAGTGATTGAGAACCATTTTATTCAAAGACTACGACTTGAAAACGACGCCAGCCGTCTTACCAGAACCAACCCCCCCCTCGTCCATTCGCAACACATATAAACCCGAGTTGAAGCTGACTCCAAGCTACTTCTTCGCGTCCCTTTCCATGATGCTCTTAAGAGCCTCGGTCTCGGCCTCCTGACGAGCGAGACGGATACGTAAGTCGTCTCTCTCGCGCGTCATTTCCTTGAGCAAGTTCTCGAGCTCGTCGATGCGGTCGACTTTCTTTTGTCTGTACTTGCGCGCGGCGATAGTGTTCCGCTGCCGGCGGAGAACTTTGTCGGCGTGGGGTGTAGCGATCTCGGAGTCGCGGCCGTCCGAGTTGGGAGAGGGTCGGTGGGATGGAGGGGCCCCCGAGGGGACAGTGGTGCGCACTGACATGTCCAGGGGCGGAGGCTGGTTGGGGCTGTTGGAGTTGGAGCTATCGCTGGACCCGAAGGCGGGATCCAGCCGGACCGAGAGCAAGGCGTCGGGGAATGTGTCGAAGAGGTTTGGTGGCGGGGTGTCGATGAACGGGAACGCTGGAGGATATATAGTTAGCAACCCGAGGCTTGACTCATACGGGTTTCGATATGCGAAGAAGAGCAGGGCAGACTCACGTTGACCAATCGAGTTGTCGAGGGGACTGGCACCAACGTGAGGCGTCGCAGAAGCGGCCGACGTCCACGGCAGCGTGTCCCAAGGTGACGGATCGAGAAAAGCGAGGCTGGGATCGTGGACGGATTCTGGACCGAAGAGCCCGAAATCCGTACCCGGGAGGCCAACGTCCGGCGACGACAACTGCGATAGCGGCTGCTGTTGCTGAGGTTGATACTGCTGGAGGTCATGTATCAGGCTGGCCTCGTCGGGCAGATTGGAACTATCTTGCGCCCAATGCGACAGCCCGCTGGGCAGGCTTGAAGTACATTGGGGCGGTCTGGCGCGCGGCGCTGCTTGCTGTTGCAGTTGCGCCCGGCATTGTTGCAGAGTGTAGCGGCCCCGTTAACTAGGGGGCCAGTAGTTGGCAATTCAAAGATTGAAGAAGGGGGGGTTTCTCGACAGGCGAGAGAGTCGTTGCGTGAAGAGAGAAAGGCCGGGAGAAGATGGGATGCGGGGACCGGCGTGTTATATGGACTTTGCGAGATGCCACATGCGTAACTCGACAGAGAGGCAAAGTACTCCGTAAAGGGAGGGGAAGAAACGCCCGCTTGCTGGTTGGTTTACTGTACGACGGCTGCATAGACTAAAACGAACTAACCTCAACTTGGAGAATGCAAGTCAGATAGAATACATCCATACTATCCGTACACTACGGATACTCCGTACACACTACACAAAAGCAGGGGAGACGGCATAGCGTACTCTGGCTCGGCGAATGGCTTGGAATGCAAGGATAAGCCTCTTTGCAACTAAGGGGGGTTGCACGAGAGACGATTGCGTTGCACAACTTTCATATGCATAAAGACCACTTCATCGTATAATCCAGGATCAACATCCGCCCGCCGCGTGATCACTGCCCAAGAGCCTATGGTATTATGGTATGGCCCCCCCAACTCGGGGCCAAGCTGACAACAAGTGGCGCTGTTTTATCGTTAGAGTTGTCCTGACCTGGAGAAGGAATCGTACGTCGGTTCGTCAAGAAACAGCCAGTCCATTTCGGCACATACCCATCCCTAATAACATATTTCACTGCTGGCATCGCCGCAGTCGCATTTCCCCGACTCCAGACGACGGAACTGTAATCCTGCAGGACTGCCCAAACGGGAATCTGACGCTGTTACCCTCGGGCTCCTATTGGCTTTGCTTAGTTGAATCCGTCGGCGGCACCCAGCCGCATGAGCCAAACGCAAGCGCGAGCCATACATACCGGCCGAAAGCTTGCCCTGCCTAGACCCAGTCACCCTCGGACGATCCCCCCCCCATCGTGACCCGTTATGGATCCCGGTCTTCCTGTAGATACGGCGTCGACATCAGCCGCCTCTACCTTCTCCCCAGGGACCGCTCCTCCCTCCGAGGGATCTCTCGAGAGCGAAAACAGTACGGGCAAACGCCTCCTCTCCCACCGCCCTCGACAAACCCGCACCAGTACCCCTAAAGTGAGGACAGGCTGTGTTACCTGTTAGTGGCCCCCTTTTCCCTGATGATGCGTACATGTGGAACGCTGCTCACGCTCAGCAGGCAAGTGAGTTGCTTATCAGACTTACAAACATGCTGCCGCTCGTTGACGTTGTTTTAATCCTCATCCCTCTAGGAAACGGCACATCAAATGCGATGAAGCTAAGCCGTATTGCATGAACTGCCTCAAGACCCGCGGTGTCTGCGATGGATATGCTGCGAAGCCGCGCAAGAACAGGAGCCGTGCCCTCCTCAAGGAGGTCGAGAGGCTGAACCCAGGGAACCCATGCCGTCCAGGCAGTCCGCGTGGGCTTATCAGGGAGCCCAACGTGAACACACTCGACTTCACCACCGACTTACAGAGCGTCTATTTCAACGACTGGAACGAGCTGTTGCGCAGTTCGCTCGGCGGCGCGTCCTTCTCGAGGACGAAGCTGTGGACGACGACGATACCCCAGCTCAGCCGCCAGAACCCCGCGCTGCGGCACGCGGCCATCAGTATCGGCGCCATCAGCAGAGCGCTCTCCTCGCACAGCTCCTACGTCGTTGCGAGGAACTTCCACAACGTCGCCAACCTTTTGCAGAGCCCGCACTATCAGAACGCCATCGTCCACTACTGCAAGGCGCTGCGGCTCCAGGGCAAGGCCGACTTCCAGACGGCCAGCATCCAGGAGGTGGTGCTGCTGTCCATCCTTTTCGTGGCCTTTGAGGCCCTGCGCGGCAACCGGCACTCGGCACTCCAGCACGTCAAGTTCGGCTTCATGATGCTGCACGAGCTCTTGATCAGCGAAGACTCGGAACAGCTGATCTGGAACCTCGCACCGGACCCGAGGCAGCTCGTCACCGAGGTCTTGGAGATGTACACCCAGCTCGACGTGCAGAGCCGCACGGTACTCAGCGGCCGCGTCGCGTCGAGCCGCTCGCCCGCCTACGAGCTCGCCCAGGGCCTCAAAGCCCGCGGGCACACGATCGAGACGTACAACATGCAGATCCAGCGATACACCGACCCCGGGGACTGGAGGAAGGACATGCCGGAGGTGTTCAACGACGCCGACGACGCGTACGCGTGGTGGAAGACCTGCCAGGCACGCATTGCCAAGCTGGCCCCCCTCCTTCTGAACGTCGTCGACGATATCAAGTTTGGGGACATCAAGGACGAGCAAGACATCGACCGCGCCCTCGAGCTGATACAGAACCAGCCGGAGCTGCTGGCGTACTGCGAGAAGTCCGTCGCGAACCTGCAGCAGTGGCGGCAATCCTTCGAGCCGCTGTACAACAGGACGCTGTCCGACCCCAACGTCCCCAGGAAGGAGTACCTGAGACTGCTGCACATGAGGATGCACTACCTCGTCCTGCTCCTGTACAGCTTCTTCCCGAGGTACGCCGACGAGGCGACCATCGCGTCCATGACGCCGTACTGCCGCGAGGTCAACGACGTGGTGGAGATACTCCTCCGCGAGCAGCAGAAGGACATCAAGTCGGCCGCGCACATCTTCTCGATGGACTTTGGGCTCGCGTGGCAGCTGACCATCGTGGCCATGACGTGCCGCGACCCGCTCGTGCGGGACAACTCGACGCGCATCCTCGAGGCGTACCCGAGGCGCGAGGGGCTGTGGGACAGCGTGGCGTTCCTGGCGGTGCTGCGGAAGAACCGGGAGCTGGAGGCGGAGAACGCACGCGAGGGCACGCCGGCGGAGCAGTGGCGGCGGCTGTGCCGGCGGGAGTTCGTCTTCGAGGACGCCGGGGAGACCATCATCTTCCGCTCGCTCAAGAAGGACGGGGCCACGGGCAAATGGGACCTCGTCGAGGAGGCGGCCGAGTTCAAAGGCAAGGCCGAGGGGTTGGAGTGGAAGACGCGGCCGCTGAGCGTGCCGGGTTTCATGATGAGCAATGCGATATTGGACGATTGTGCTTCGAGGACGTGAGCTTAATAGCTTGGCTTGGATTTGCCAAGCCGAAATGAAGTGATGGACGGAAGCGAGCCATGTGGTTTCTAAGGGCACCTCCGTCTCTCGGATAGGCCCGAGAGTGTGAACCAACTCATACGCAACTCTATATATTCCTCTGGAGGGATATCCTTCCGCTTAAGCCTCGGACACTGAGGTACGCATCCAAAGCACAAAGATACCTTAACACACTATAACCTCCATGCCCGATAGCCGACGCCGTAATGGAAGGTTTCTAGAAAGAAACACAGTGGCATGGAACCTCGTAACTGAACCACCTTGAGCCTCAGACACTGAGGTACGCATCCAAAGCACAAAGATACCTTAACACACTATAACCTCCACGCCCGATAGCCGACACCGTAATGGAAGGTTTCTAGAAAGAAACACAGTGGCATGGAACCTCGTAACTGAACCGCCTTGAGCCTCAGACACGAGATCCGCGGGATCTATCTTCCGTCCTAACGGAGCCCAAACCCCCCCTTCCACGTGGGTCTAGCGGAGCTTCTGTCTCTTTAGCCCGAACAAAAGGGTCCCGCTGTTTCGAGAAGCTTCAGTGTTTGGAGCGGTAGAGAGCGGTCGGGAAATGTTGATGGAGCAGCTAGACAATCTCTAGCCAATGAGCGATTAAACTAGCGATAATAATGACGTGAACGATAGACGTGCAAGCTTCTTTGCAACGCTGGATTATCAATCAGTGACGATTCTGTCAATTATCTGATGTATTATATCGGTTGCGTTTCCCTGTTCAGGTTGCGCGTATGGCGACACGAAAACTAGGGTCTTATAAGTCGACGCCGACACGTGCATATAATAAGATATAAGAGTCTTACAACCAACTACTTGCTTGCATCAACACCCGACCCTAATTCTCTCGTTCAAGACAACTTTCAAACGTCTGATCAAACTCTCAAAGACACTCGCAATGTCGACGACACATCACAACATCCACAGGAAGGCGGAAACCCTGCATGGCTACGTCAACGAGCCGGCCCCGGGAGTTCCGTACTTCACGCCCAAGCAAGACCCGCCAGCAGGCACCGCCCTGCTGCCCGAGGGTCAGAAGGACATTCCCAAGCTCTTCCGCCCTCTCAAGCTGCGAGGCTTGGTATGTCGCATTGAGACGAACGGTTAGCTCCAAACTTGCGCTGACCGTCTCAGGTCCTCCAAAACCGCATCGGGCTGAGCCCGCTGTGCCAGTACTCCGCCCAGGATGGTCACTACACGATGGTAAGCCAACCGCGGCACTCGACGCACGACGCGCGCCTTGCTAACCCCCCGCCCCTTGGAAAGTGGCACGAAACCCACATGGGAGGAATCGTCCAGCGCGGCCCGGGCATTGCCTGCGTCGAGGCCACGGCGGTCCAGCCCCGCGGCCGGATCACGCCCGAGGACGTCGGCCTCTGGAAGGATAGCCAGATCGAGCCCCTGCGCAAAGTCGTCGAGTTCGCCCACAGCCAGAGCCAGAAGATCATGGTCCAGCTCGCCCACGCCGGCCGCAAGGCCAGCACCGTCGCCCCGTGGCTGAGCTCCGGCGCCGTCGCCGGCAAGGAGCTCAACGGCTGGCCGGACGATGTGCACGCCCCCAGCGCCATCGCCTGGAACGAGCATCACGCCAGCCCGAAGGAGATGTCGATCCGCGACATTGAGGAGTTCAAGGCAGCTTTCGCGGACGCCGTTCGCAGGGCTTTGAAGGCTGGCTTCGACGCGATTGAGATCCACAATGGTAAGTTGATACGAGACTCGCCCCTCGCAGCGTGCTGCACGATCCTGGCGCTCACAATTGCATCGCAGCGCACGGCTACCTTCTCCACGAGTTCCTCTCGCCTGTTAGCAACAAGCGGACTGACAAGTATGGTGGAAGCTGGTAAGTTCTTGGAGCCTCAAAGCATCGTCTGGATGAAGCTGACATTTGCATGAATCAAGGGAGAACCGAGTCAGGCTGACATTGGAGATCGTAAGTCCTAACTCTTAAGGGCACAACACATGCAAGCCCTCCAGTCACACTAACCTAGAGCGCAGGTCGAACAAACCCGCGCCATCATTCCCGAGGACATGCCGCTCTTCCTCCGCATCAGCGCCACCGACTGGCTGGAAGAGCAGAAGGACATCCCCGAGTCCTGGACCGGCGAAGACACCGTCCGGCTCGCCCCCCTGCTCGCGGAGCGGGGCGTCGACCTCCTGGACGTGAGCACCGGCGGCAACCACGAGCGCCAGCACCCGCACGTCGCGCCGGCGTACCAGGCCCCCTTCGCCATCAAGGTCAAACAGGCCGTCGGCAGCAGGATGGCCGTCAGCTCCGTCGGCGCCATCGAGAACGCCAGGCTCGCCAACGACCTGCTGGAGAAGGACGGCCTCGACGCCGTCTTCGTCGGCCGCGGGTTCCAGAAGAACCCCGGCCTCGTCTTCGGCTGGGCGGACGAGCTCGGCGTGCAGATCAGCATGCCCAACCAGATCCGCTGGGGCTTCGGCGGCAGAGGCAAGAAGAGCAGCAGGGCTGTTACCGACATCCCTGAGCTCATCGGAAAGCCTTGAAGTGGCCGTGTAAGAGGCATAGGAGCTGTTGTTGTTAGCCTAACGTAGACTATGCGGCACGATACATATTAGAACCAAATAAAGCGACAAAAGCATGTATATTACATGATTATCGGACCGTTCCTCAAAAAGGCCGAGCAGCATCACCCGTATATTGCAACACTACATGTGCTCCGGATGACACGGGCGTATAATCTGCATCATTGTATTTCGGGCACAAAACATGGTCGCATGCGGTATAGTTACTGTATCATCAATGGGGAGATTTGGTAGATGCTGCGTGGAAATACAGCCGCTCGAATTCTAAATACATCTACTCTACCAACACAGGGAGTTGAATAGAAGAACCGCGTTCATCGCAGTTGCTAATGTCCAACTAGCTCTCCACCTCTGAACGCCGCTTCTGCATTTCAAAGCGGCGGCGCGTTCGGGTCCTCCATGCACTGGTCGATGCGCATGATTTGCTTCCCGGTCGCCTTGGCTTGCCTGATGAACTCGGGGAAGTAGTTGACCGTCGAGTTGTACGAAAAGTGCATGACGACGAGGTTGCCCCCCTTGGCGACGTCGGCCCTGAAGGCGTCGACCTGCTTCTCCGGCGTGCTCGTCTCGGCCCACAGCCAGTCCTGGACGTCGACGCTCCAGTTGATCAGGTACGCCTTGGCCGCGCCCGAGGCGGCCGCCCAGCGCTGCCGCATGCGCGCGCCCTCGACGCCGTAGGGCGGGCGGAAGTAGTTGGACTTCTCGCCAAAGATGCCCGTCATCACCCGGTAGTCCTCGCTGTACTCCCAGTCGATGCTCTCGGTGCTCGCGAGCCCCTCCATGCGCGGGTGCGTGTACGAGTGCAACGCGATCTGGTGGCCCTCGCTCCGCAGCTGCCGGTAGAGGTCGGCCATGCCCGTGGCGTTGTTCTCGAGCACCGCGCCGACAGCGAAGAAGGTCACCTTGATGCCCGCCTCGCGGATGATCTGCGCCAGCCGGGCGGCGTACCTCGGGTTGCCGTCGTCGATCCCGAACGCGAACGAGTTGGGCCGGGTGCAGGAGAAGACGAGGGTGCCGGAAGGCAGCTTGCGGGGTATGCTCACCCCCGACGGGATCGAGGGGACGATCTCAATCTTGCTCAGAATCACGGGCTCGGAGCTGTATATGCCTCTGACGGCGACGCTGCTGACGCGCTGTAGGTCGATGGCAAAGTGCGAGATGGGTATATAGATGTCGTTTCCCGTCGCGTACCGGCCCGCCTCGAGGCTGTCCCTTGTCATCGGGTACGGCGCGACTCCCGAGTCGCACTGCGAGTTGTGCTGCTGCAGCGAGACGGAGAACTTTGTGTGACCCGAGTAGGCGATGTGCAAGTACGAGCCGCTGTGGCTGCGCAGGTCTCGGCAGCCGTTGCTCATAAGCGTTGTGAAGGCGTAGTCAGAAGCTGAGGCAACAATGCTAAGGCGGTTTTGGCCCCAGCTGAGACTCAGGTCCTCGCCGCCGTGCCAGAACCCGAGCGATTTAGTGCTCGGATTATTGAAAGCATCGACAATGAACGCCGAAGCCGTAGCGGCTGGTGCCTCCACGGTTTGTGTTGGCGCCGCCGGGCCTGTGGCCGAGGGCACAACCCAGCCACTCGGGGTGCTGCCGCAGTAGAATGCCAGGGGGCCCAGTTTGAGCGGCTGGCTGGGCGCCGAGATCACGATGGATCTCAGCTTGGTCAGGTTGATGCCGCTGACCTTTGACCAGGGGAAGCTGTACAGCTTCTCGGTTCCGTCGAATGTCCAACCCAGTTGAGCTGTCGTCTGGACCGACAATGCCGTCGCCGCGCCGTCGCACGTCGTCTTGGAAGACAGCTCGATTTTGAACGTCGTCCCAGCCGGGGCCGTGACCCAGAGCGACATGCCACCATACCTTGTGGCATCTACACATCCTACCTGGGAGTAGAAGTACGATGAGGTGGACTTTGGCGTCAGCGTCACGTGGTGGTTGTCCACGACCACGGATTGCATCGTCCCATCGTCACCAGTCGGTAGTAAGAGAGCGTTGTATGCCAGGAAGCTAAGACGTGACTGCGACGCCCAGTCATCCACCAGCAGCGGCGAGCATGATGACGGAGGTGTGGATAGCGGGGTGGATGATGCTGGAATGGTAGGAGCCTGGGCAGACGTAGTGCCTATGAGACATGGTCAATACCAATCTAATGAAGACCGTGTAAGGACTGGCCAGTTCAAACTCACCAGCAGAAGTTGTGGTGGCCCGGCCGCAGACGAATTGCACCTTATCCAATTGCCATTGCTGCGTAGACGAGAAGGACCCAATGACAACGGATAGGGCCGCGTTGAGGTTCGCCCCGGCAAAGCTGCTCAATGGAATGCGGAGCGTCTGCCATCCGCCGGTAAGACTGGTGACCCGGAAAGCTGTCTTCGTAGTGGCCGTCGCCGAACAGGTCGAGGCCCAGCTGAGCTCAGCTGTAAAGGCCGCGTCCGATGCGGGTGCCTTGATGTCGAGCTGTATGTGCGTGTACGAGTCTGTCTGCAACGCCTGGCAGGGGAACGTCTCGTAAAAGTACGCTCCACTCTTAGGGGTGAAGCTGAGGATGCCCCCGGAGGCTGAAATACTGGCCATGCTACCATCGTCTATCGAAGTCGGTCAACAGCAAGTTTGTGAGGACAGCTGGAGACTGGCACATTGGGGTGGATCTTACCTGAAGTCCAAGAACCGAGGTTGTTTCGGTTTGTTGAGAGCGAATTGGATAAGTCATCCACCAGGAGGTCGGAGGAGCACGCGGCAGCAGCAACTACTGCGCTAATATAGGCTGTTGCCAACAGGCACCGCGTTCCAAGGTGCACCATGTTTTTTTGCAAGGCAGTGCTCTCAGTCTTTATTAACCTGATGAGCTTGTTATAGAGAAATGAGAGACCTTGGTAAACCCCTGTCACAACAGATGAGAAGGTGGATGCGAGCGGCGACAACAGGCGGAACACCCCCATCCTATATGTGATCTAGAGCATAGCAGCCACGCCAAGAAAGAAAATTGTGCCATGCCCTCGAATTCTTGTGCTTACGTCCCGTAATATGGTCCAGAAGCCCTCGGCTGAAAACATGCCACCCGGGCACAGTGAGGATGTCGCCAAGCAGTAACATTGGTATGGCATCCGGTTGGCGCGGGCGGGGCCGCTGCGGCACCAATTGGTCCCTGATGCCGTTCGCACTTGGCATTGCCCAACGATTTCCCTCCCCCTTGCTTTGGCTCACAGTAGGTCGCTCGCGGGGAAGTTCTGCTAACCACCTTCGGGTACCAGAGCTGATGGCTTCTCGACGCTCCAGCGCTACCGTGTTTTACCCCGAGATCCAGCTCTTCGGCAAGGTGCGTTCTTGCGTTGGTAGTACGGTCCGGGGACCCAAGGTTGTTTTAGCCGCTTATGGTGATCCAGGGCCCCTCACCATGTCGTGCGTCAATAGCCCGCCTCATCAGCACTCGGTCCAACGTGGATTCAGTATCCTCCAGGCTTATGTGAGCTGCCATGGCGCTAGCGGAGGTTATATTGCCCTAGCAACCGATATTCTTGGAATACAATGCTTGGCTGCACCAGGTTCTCATGCCCATTTGCTGGACGAGGGTACCGGGAAGGACAAGACAAACGAGAGGCAGAAATGCATGATATATGTTCGTATTCACCCCGCACGCGGATCGGCGGTTCCTTTTGAGTTTCTCAGTGGAGGAAAAGAAAAAGAAAATCATGCAGGCCGTCGGGTGAGGTTACTTAGGGACCCGGACATAGGCCTCGTCCTGACACGGGGTATGTTCCCTTTGAATAAATGGCGCTACACCAATTAGTTTAATGCTTTGTGGGGTCAGGATTATACAGGTGTAGGCACCGGGGCCTCTTCAAGAATTCTAGACTTTCAGTTGTAGCGGCATATAGCGCCCAGGTTCAGGCTTGGCATGGCTATGGATGCAAATGGAGTCCCAAGGTGAATGGTGAGCTCCCTGAAGTACGCATTCAATCAAGTTGGAATGAAGGAGAGAATTTAACCGGAATCGTATTCAGAATATTGTGCGTAGATATACCTGACGTTAGGAGTTGGATAATTACGGATCAAACGGTCAAGGGTGACTTGGATCGTATGATCCTGTAGAGATGTGAGCGCTGCGTTGGGCTTATAGCGGGGTAACGCTAACTGTGCTAGGAACAGTCAAAGAACAGGAACCGGAAATGAAAAGCAGTTCTTTTCCTTCTGCACAGGTCAATGCCAGTCGTCGTCGCAGATTGGAAGACGTCTGAATGGCTCCTTGGCAGAGTTTTGCAAAATCAATCTTTGGGGTCTAGATACCATGGGCAGTGTTTGTCATTGTAGAAGGTTGTACAACGTCTACTTACCATTTTGCTCCCAAGAGGAATGCTCGCCGTTTCGTACATATAAACTCACCCACCTTTAATAGACTCCTACCGCGGCGACCTCCACCTGCATACTCTTTTGTAACCAACTACTAGCGTTGCGCTACCGGGCCTGGCCGGAACATGGCCGATCCATACGAGGTGAATTACAGGGCGATGGTACAAGGCTTTGCAAGAAACGTGTCTGGCGGTGGGAGGATGGGAGTAGTGGCGATGGAGATGTAATTCTTCTGAAGATCTTCTAGGGTGCTTGTTTGTGTAGCTATGCGTACATTCCTCTCAATTCGGAACATCAATCATTTCAGATACATCACTCCGATAACTGTGATATGTCGCATTATCTAGTGTGAATCCGGGTATGTCTCAAATATCATTATTGGTGCACCGTTCCTCGACTCTGCCAGCCGCATCCTTTTGCCTGCGCCTATTTAAAAAGATCCGTTCCTGTTGCCTAGTCACTTCGCAAGAGAGTTTTCCTTCTCCTTCGCAGCCTTTTCCGCCTCCAGCGTTTCCTTCCAGGTCATCTTCGACACCCGTGGTGGGGGCTCACTTTTGCCTTTGCCTTTGGATGGCAGAAGGCAGCCATCGGCCGGGACACAGTCAACTCCATCGGCGTAAGAGGCACGGCTCATCGCTGAAACAAACGTATTCAGCACTTCACAGGACTTTCTAACAGAGGCCTCAGGGACTTGTGCATACCGGCAGAGTTAACAGCATGCATTGCAAACTTGTCGGCCACATTGCCCAGCGACTTAAACTTATGAAGTTAGTGAAAACGAGAGTATGCGGTGGATTGCGGTACCTACAAAACCCATTATGACGTCTATAAGAAGATGTATTACTTCACACGATATCATTCAAGGTTGGAAACTGAATATGCACGAGATAGCACGAATTAGATCGATCTTTGGTCGCTGAGAGTCATCTATGTTAACTCCCAACGTAGTTTTCGAGCAGCACATTGCAGCCAAAACTTCACTTTATGGCTGAGCAACTCGTGTGTCATCAAAGCAGATCATTGACCATTGTCAACCAGGTCTGGACACCCATGGATTTTCGCGGACACTTGGATGAGCGCCTCTGACGATGACGTACAGTCTATCCGTTAGAAATGATCTCTTTGGTTTATGCCAACCCGAAGTGGCTGGCCACATAACTCGGGCGTATCGGTTATGCACGTTATCTTGGCACATCATATAGCCATCGAGGGCTTCCCCCGACGCCCTGCCACAGCCTCATGGTAGCCAATGACAGCTCCGAGAGTGAGCGCAAGGCGCGAAATACGCTCATTCCCTCACGTCACAGCTAGCCTAGCTCGTAGACTAGCAAGGCAAGCTCTCGCGAACCCCACGTGGGATTGGCGGGCAAATTGTTTCCGCGCCAAGTTGGTGTACTGGAGGCTGACGGTCATGTGGTCACCGATGGCGATAAACCATTTCTTGTCATTGGCTTGGTTGCTTGCCGCAACTAAGGCGCAATTTTAGAGATACTAGGCCCTGTTATAAAGCTTCGAGGATGCTTGAAGTCTCAATACTGCTGTTTTATTCCTATTTCTGCTGTAGGATAGTATGTCGCGAAAATAACTTCGCTGCCGTGAGTAAACTCATGCTCGCGCGGATCGAGGGCCAGTCTGATGATGTGAAGCAGTGCGCTTTATTATCTGTATCAGAGGATTGACAGATTAGTGTAATAATACTGCTGCCTAAGCAGATATTTGTGCATTGATTACCCAACAAGGTGTTAGTGAAAACTTAGCTGGCCTCTGTGGACAAGGAGGGGTCCGTTATACGATCTAGTGGAATTTATTACAGTGACACTCAATATCGCCTGTTATTCTTCAACCAAATGACCTACCGAAGAGTGAGACGACACCCATTAACCATAGATTTGGGTGCTTCTCACAGTACGAGTCTGTTTTCGGCATACGTAAGCTGAAGCGTTCATTTCTTGGAAAGCCCCATCGCTAGAGGCTCATGGGACAAGCCCCGTCACGTGTTTCTACATCTGTTTCACTCATTACCTAGTCAAATCTATAAAGCCACTCCACTGCTCAGCAGTATTTCCTATACTTGAGCATCTTTCACCCTATTTCTTCTTGCCTCTATTGTGTGCTCTGACTGGTGAATTCATTCAATAATGGTGGCGAAAAGCCAGGCTTTGCTCTCGGCCTTAAGGGAATCGCAGAGATACCAAGGTGCGTGTGATTCTGTCAGTCATGACACTGATGAAGCGAGCAGGGGGCGAGGTGACGCTGACTTATCCTCATCCAGGCTCTGTTATCAAAGAAATAAGGCATATCACTCGGCTAGACTAAAACCGCGGTGTCGGCATAAATACGACGTTTCTCTAGGACAAACATCTGGCCACGGCGAATTCCATGAACTTGGATGTCACTGATCCAAGGAAAAGCCGTGCTCACTGGGCTTGGAAGTAAAACTGAAACTAAAGACATATCAACTGTCCCCACCACAATATCTTGAATACGTACGGACCACTTAGGCCAATTGCGCAATACCGCTGGCTGGAAGTGCAATCCGACATCGGAAAATCCTTTCAGAGCAGCTACCCGTTTTCAAATCCCTTAGCATCAGGATCATTACGGTCAGGATGTCCCTGAGTCGAGGGGGTCGTCCTATGGAAAAGCTTAGCGTAGTACTTGTGATTGCTGTTTGGTTTCTAAGCCCCGCAGGTACTACGCTAGCCCCTAAAATGGCGGAGATTCACCTTCGTTAGGAATAGCATTTTGAGGTTATCGTCACAGACTGATGACTGTCGGGTTTAATCATAGCCAAGCAATCCGACACGTTTCCAGCCACTCTATTTTAAGATCCCGTGATTCTTTGCCAGGATCCATCGTGAATAATGCCAATACACCTGACGTCTAACGTCACACTATACACCTTCTTTAGATAGCAATCTACCGCTCCAACAAATCCCAATACAAGACAATCTCTTCCCAACAAATGACTAATAACGCTCCTTGCGTCTTAGTGAAGAACCCTTAGCAAACCCACTTAAAGTGTATTATACCATCGAGATGCTATATTTGATAACGCCGGCAAGTATATGCTGTGCCACTCCAGTCTGTGTAATAATATGACCATGAGATCTGCAAAAGTATATTGATGCTGAGCTTCCAAATGAGGAAAAGCCACCAGACGATCTCGTCAACGACCTATAGCGATTATGGCCGAGATTTTCGACGCGTGTGGAGTAGACATATGGCGCTTGCAAATCAATAAACTGTGGTAGAATACGAGCGTACGCATGTATTCGGGGTGTGAATTAGAACTCTCTGCACGTAGTCGAATTTGGACAGTGACCCAGACATCCTTGAATATTATCACACCCAGAGGTTCGACAGCGAAACTTTAAGGTCAAATCGTGTCATGGACTTTCTGGGGCCGGCTCACATCTTGTAATAATACAGTACCAGCTTACGATAGCGAGAGAGTAGATACCGCCTATCAACGCGCCGTCATCTTGTTATAAGATTTGCATTCTGCGCATTTCCATGCATCCATCGACCGTATAGACACCGGAAACTGGATTTAGAATCTTGCAAAACAAAGGCCTAGTCCGCGAAAACATTCTCATCCGAGAAGGACGTTGTTTCTGCGCTTAAGAGATATTATTAGACCTCTTGGATAGGTACTTGCACGATCCAAGGCATTTGTTAGCGTATTGCGGCACCACGTGCCGACCGCGGATGTCTCCTTATTGTACTACTCCCTGTGCGACCTCCCAGCCTTTCGTTTTGATGTTGACTAACAGGGACAATGGCCAAGATCTAGGGAGAACCGCAACCTTGACCACGTGCAAAACGCCGTCCATTCAACCCGTTCAATAGCAACAAATATCAACAAGGATTGAACGTTTGTTCGAAGCACGTGCTTAGCGAACTGCCAGGCACATGGCGTCGAGGAAGGTCAAGAATGGTGTTATGTGGTGGTATTATAATCTATGGATAGATCCCCGCCAATGAGTTTGAAGCGTGCTCAATAACTAGGGACATGACTCGAGAATTCCGGGCTTGAACGGCTTTCTCCTCACCAATCAATGGGTATGACCCGCTGTATCTCCAGGTTCCAATGATAGTTGGCGGAGAATGGCAGCGACACGTGCGGTGAGGACGGGATAAAGGTGGACCGAGATCCTAAATAGACTGAACTTCTGTGTACTCCGACCCGAACTAGGGAATTACAAGCCATCTGTCAAAGGGAAACGTTCCCTAATATCTGCTCCTACATCTAGAGCTGGCTAGAATACCGACCTACTGTTTTGGGCTATTATAATAACACAAGCTTCTCTTACGGCAAAGTGCGGTGAGGCGACATTCAGAATTACTCCACTTGTCACGTGAAGTTTGTCTTCTTATCAGCAAGAGTTACGGTGCATAGCATCTTCGCAACAGGATTGAGTCAAGCAGGTGAACAGACCCGAGGAACATGGGTTCCTTTCGGTATGGCGTTGCTTGGCATAATTGTAATTGATCTTGGCTCTCTGCCGAAAGATAGCACACCCCGAACCCCCACAGGCGCTCCGTGCTATCCCAACTAGTACTCCGTATGCAGATACACGATAGCGGTCGGCCCTATCAGAACAACTGGGAATATGATGACCGAGCCGACATCCAACAGGGAGGTTGCATGGGGAATCCATCTAGGACCCTAGGTAGGCATCTCGAAACTCAAATCACTAGACCCTGGCCTGAGCCGAGCCAACACGACGGGAGACCCATAGATAAATAATCCCTGACTAGCGCTAATCCGTCGGCGATACCGTCGCCGAAATATAATGGCTACTGGCACCCAATTCTACACCGTACATCGTGTAGTTCAATGCACGAAAGTGGCACTGGAGTTCCCATCCAGCTGGGGCGGTTCAGTACGAATCGGACAGAAACTCAGAAGCTTCGCTACCAACAGTTCCGCTCTTGTGATGGACAGGGCTCAATGGACCACAGTCGTCGTTGGCCCAGACACCCAGTTGGCTTGGCATACCCTTCTATGCAATGTAGAATGCCTGGTCCGAGGAGAAGCTTATTCACCATCTGGGATGCCCCTGGTTGGAGATTAACGACAAACACGCCCAAAGCGCCGGAAGATCGCCTCCACTGGATGTGGAAAGCCAGTCTAGGGTCGACAACCAATGAATTGCAACAACCAATGAATGCAACAACCAAAAGACCCAAACGTTGCCTGATAGCCGTGTTTTCCGTCTTGACTAAGCCATACTAGAAGTGTTATGAGATGAGATCTGTAAGGGCCCACAGTGAATACACTCATCGGGACCATTAAGAGTCCAAGACTTGAACACGTGTGGCGAAAAGAAGAAGTTCAAGATCACGGCAATAAGATCAGATTCAATAACGTCTATGTATCCGTACAGGTCTCAGAAAGGAATACCAAAATTCAATATGAACAATATGGGGTATTGCCATGCACTCTCATTATGAAGAGCGATTGGTGTTTGCGTCCTCGGCAACGCACTTCTCTATGTAATTATAGGCTATCTTGTCACCGCCAATGTGCTAGCCCGTCGGCATCCTCCTAGTGGAGTAAGGACAGATAATGTATGCTGGGGCCTCGGTCCGGCTCTCGGCGCCAATTGCCTGGGAGGATCCTCAGTGGGTATCAACTCGTAAGAACGACCTGGTACTGTAGCATTCGTGGCGTTTGTGACCGCACAAAGCTCATAAAAAGGAAATGAGGGGTATAGTAGTAGGGAATCCCTTATCTATAAGAATAGGTAGCACTCAAATTGCCTCTAAGATTAGTCAGCGCCGTGGTGCTGGTACAAGCGGGTCCGTCTTTCTAGTCCGGGTCCGGGTCCGGGTCCGGGCGCCGCTTATGCCTCCCATGGAATTTCAAGCCGGCGCGGGGACGGCGGGACATACGGAAGCGCCGACGCAGCAGGATCAAGAATGAGATGTTGACCTACATACTGTTTTCGGCTCGTATTGAGACGCCAACATTCCTCACGCACGACTTGTGCTTTGGTGTATAACTGCATCCATCACTTCATCAAAGCCCAAGTCATGACGTCAGCGCTCATCATGGACAGTGTGTCACGTCAGCCCAGTGACGCGACGAATATGCGCACGACGGTTATTTGACATTGACGACATACCAACGTCGCTCTCTCACTCAGTCACCCCTCATTACCCCCCCAAAACTCCTGACAAGCAAGTCCCTGACTCTTGTTTGATCTCTTCCTCTCATCTTCGTCATCGCCTTCATGCACTCATCCGCGAGACACATCGCAAAGCAGATCGCTACTCACCCAGAGACCAAGTCGTTCGCAAAGCAAGTCCAGAGAAACATGGCTTCGGGCACCCCCTCCGAGACGGCCAAGGCGCAGGCCTCCGCCGACTCCAAGGCGCCCAGCTTCGAGTCCATCGGCATCAAGAACAACGACATCGTTCAGAAGTCCGGCGTCTCGCTCTCGCAGCAGCAGAAGGTTTTGGTTGGCAGCGTTCTCGATGTATGACCCCTGCTCCTCCCCCGCTTGCACACGATTGATTTGCATGATCGACGGGCTAATCAACGCCTGCCTTTAGCTCTTCGAGGGCAACCCCACGTTGAAGCACCTGTCGTTGTGGTCCAGGAACGCCACCTTCCAGGACAACATCACCGTCGCCGAGGGCTATGACAAGTTCGCTGCCCAATGGTACGGCCTCCCGGCGCTGTTCAACCCCATCAAGATTCAGTCGCACACTGTCACGTCCGCCGGTAACCCGATTGAGCTCGAACTGAAGAACAGCTACACTGTCAAGGGCGTCAAGACGGAGCAGACCATGGAGAGCGTCGTGCAGATCGAGGTCGGGGACGACGGCAAGATCGTCAAGGTCAACGACAAGTGGAACAACAACCTGCCCGACGGGGCTTTCTCGCAGGTACGTGACTCCTTTCAGGTCTCTTTTCGTACCGCTGCCCGGACGCTCGCCTGGCTCGTGAGTCAAGCGGGTGTTGCCGTGTTCTGCCGTGTTTCGCAGTGGCGGTTGTTTTGGGTAGGCGGTCTCGCATCTATCATCGGGCGCGCCTCTAACCCATTTTCTAGGCATTGCGCAAGCTGAATGCTGTCACCGTACCGGCCTTTGTCAAGGTGCCCAAGAATGAGGAGGAGGACCAGAAGCTGAAAGCGGAGCGGGAGAAGCAGTAAATCACGAGCATGACATCTTGCTACGATGCAGTGTCACCACTCTTTTCAACAGATGATCACTGTAAAATGAATAATTAACTGTGTAGGCGAATTAAGAAAACCACATCTAAACCAGTTTCCAGAGGTGAAACAAGCCCACTGTTGGTTTCTAGTGCAGACCCTTGTGCGGCGAAAGCGGGTTTGTGACGACTCAAGATCATTGTAAAAATAACGCGCAATTAAATGTCGGTCAAGACCGTCAATGAGGGTTTTACTGTATCTCAACCAAGGGACTCACCTGCGTCGCAATTACTCGAGGAATGGGGTTCCCAAAAGGGCAAGGTCCTGAAGAAGGTTCACGAGCAACCATTGGCCCAGGGTTTAGATAACCACCACTTGAGTGATTTATACATATGTATTATATGCGGGAGCGTGCTAAGGAACCACGACTGAATCATTGTTTCACATACGGAAAGTCCGGTACTGGGCGCACAATGTCGACTTGTAATGAGGGAGCACGAAATGGATGTTTGAGCAAGTTTGAAATGTTTTCAGTATTTGATTTGTTTGTTTAATAAAGGGAGATAGACCCTTTCTGGCCCCAACATGGGCCCATGGCAGACTGGTATCGTTATCGCTAAATCGCTAAAACACATGGCCGTCAAAAACCGTCGTCCAAGCCGCCTGCAACGGCTTGCTGCTCCAAAATGGATATAGTAGGTGTAAAAGAAAATAGACCGTAAACAGAACTCGTAAGACGTTTCCGCTAAAGTGGTATAGTAAAACATGCTGTGCAGGAAGGTGATGACATGATATCGCGCTGCGTTAACACAGTTTCAGGCTTGGCCTCTAGAGAACCCTTTGCGTGCCAGACGTGGGGGGGGTCGTGCGCAAGATTAATCAGAGCGGTCGCGGACCTCGACCTCCGGGGTGCGTGGCGCACCAAGGGTAGCGGAGGGGAGCCGCTCAGGAGTGCGTACCCTCGCCGGAGCAGAAGGGGACTGGGTATACGGTGCTGTTGCAGAGGCGGATGACTCCCTTGACCCAGTTGAGGTGGCCGTAGGACTGGTCCGTGTAGGTGTCGGAGACAAAGGGTGTGACGGTGGGCTTGTCTGCGCAGCCAGAGAGCATGTTGCCGGTGACGCGGCGGACGTTGGGCTGGGAGACGACGAGGCCGTAGTTGTTCGCCGACATGGTGAAACGGAGGGTCTGGGTCTCGGTCGTAGTCCAACTGTAGGCGTAGCTGACCGAAAGGGTCACAGAGAGGACCTTCTCGATAAGGAAGGCTTCCGCGCCGGACGTGACGGTGACGGTGTTTGAAATTGAGTAACCGCTGGCGACCGAGACGTCGGAAATGGCGCCGAACGAGCTGACGACGGGCGAGACGGCAACGTCCGCGCCCAGGAACTCCTCGTCGGTGAGGATCTGGGCCTCGGCCGACCACTTACAGTCGCGGCGGGTGATGTTGTTCTCGGGGGCTTTGCGCACAGGGGTGGTGCTGAAGCCTTCGGGGATGGGGGGCAGCGGTGCGCGGCGTTCGATCTCGGCCCACTTGTCGGCCTTCATCACCTTGGTGCTGCCGTCGTCCATGACGATGACGACGTCGTCCCAGTTGAGAGCGGCCGGCTCGGGAGTGGGAGCCGCGGTGGCGCCGGCGACGAGGAGTCCCGCGGCGGCGAGGATGGAGAAACGCATTGGATTATTTGGTTGTGACGGGGCTGGTCTTCTTTTAGTTTGCCATACGACTGCATTAAAAGTAGGTTTGAGGATGTTTCGTTTTAGCGGGAAACGTAGGCGTTCGAGGCGGAGAGAATTATAATAAGTAAAATGGACTGGCCGTTGCTAGTGAGTGAAGCTCTCAAGCTAGGGATGTGTGGGAGGCTGTCGCGAGTAATTATAAGCCGGCTGGGCCAAGAGCATCGACGAGATGATAACGAACATGGTTCCCGTGCTCAACCTCGAAGTTCGTTGAGCCAGGGCCGCACGAGAGTGACTACGGCCTCCTACGAGTCCACAATCTATCTCATAATTTCCGGAGTCACTGGAACTGCGGAGACTCTGCTTATCTCGCCCACGCCCTGACTCCCTGGTCGCCCGGCTGCAGACATACTCGGCAATGCTTCTGATAGCCATTCGTGTGTCCTCGCCAGCCGGCCAGGGCAGCGTATCATTGCGCCTCATGCCCCGCGGCCTTGGAAGCCAATAGCAATCGAGCTGGGCCAATCTGCGCCATGGGGGACCCAGCGCCGGTACGACTTCGTACTGACTCGATACCTCTACGATGCTGGCCGAGGCGGTCAGGGATCATTGGATGGGGCACCGAAAGGGTAAAGATCACACCTCCGTATCTCAGATACAGAAGATATTACACGTGTAGGTGACCAATGACGGATGGGGCCCTACTCGCGTCTGAGCGTCTAAAGTCATTCCTTGATTCGACAAACGCGCACAGAGTAGATAACGAAGCGGGTTTCCTACGTGGTATGTCTTCTAGACTATCACAGCCTCGTCCCGCATCACTTTCCTATTTCCATCCCCTCCCTCGCCCAGGTTCCGCGAAACACTCCCATGCGGGAACAACGCATTTCAGCTACCGTCGCCACGCGCCGAGCGACAGCCGCCAGCAAGCGCATGGCCCTGCCGACTCTGCGCCGCCCAGTGCGCTCACATTCCCACATCCTTCGCAGTCGGCCAGACTTCACCCTAGTCCGCCCACTCTAGGCTGGCCTGCTCCTGTTGTGGGCCTCGGCTGCACTTAGAGCCGGCGGAAGGGGGGACCTGGCAGAGTTAGATGATCTCTGCCGGTACGCAAAGGAGATGAACTGCATCTGAACGCAGCTGTGCAGCGTGAAGACGTGCTATCCCCAGTAGGCTGGTTAATTGCCATCAATGGATAATATAAACCAGAATCGATTCCACCCGTTTGTTTGCCTTGGCATTCTCCGGCCTTATCTACCCACCGTTCACGCCCTTTTTTTGTTTTTTGTTTTTTGCCCTCGGGTCTTGGTCTCATCATCGGTCGCGATATATTCTCGCTCGTCGACAGAAGAATCTCCGTCGTCACAGTCACTTCCACTGACTGCCCAGTCAAATCATCGTCGCCCCCGCCACCGCCACCGACAAGATGCAGTTCTCCGTCTCCAAGATCGCCGTGGCGCTCCTCTTTGTTTCCTTCGCGTGAGTCCACTGTCTCCCCGACCCCATCTCTCCAGAGAACTAACACCGCCCGCCAGTTCCGCGAATCTTCATGAGAGCTGCGCATGTCACAACAGCAAAATCTATAACTGGCGCATCACCACCAAGGCTTGCACGCTCTACGCCTCCAAGAACTACGAGTGGGGATCGGCTTCGTACAATGCTACCAGCGGACGAGTGAGTGACTGACCCTCTGGTTGGCATACCAGGCCAGACCAGAGAAGATGCGACCTTGCAAATGCTGACTCAGTCCTTTCCAGTGCGTGGCAAGCGGTGAAGGTGTCGCCGGCGACCAGTGGGAGGACGCCTGCCGCGAGATCGCAAAGTCGGGCTTCGACTGCGTCGACGGCAGGGGCCATTGCACGGCGAACCCGGACGACGTCCGCGGCTCGTGCTAAGCCAAGCCTTGCCAAGTGGAAATGGCCTGAGCCGAGGAGGGGGGGATCTCTCGCTCCCCCAAGCCTGGCCAGCACTCACCTCACCCACCCCCCTTTAGCCTCTCTTGCTAGTCAGGCATGCCTGTTCATAAGGCTGGACCCCTGGCTATGCACCCTTGACACCACCATTCATCCTGGGCCGCTCATCAGATAACGACAGGCCATCCTTGGCACAGAGGCAGGGGAGAGAGACCCTGTTTGCGCCGAGTGTCTTGTCCCTTCTCAGGGGATCTATCATGACGGAACTGTCCGCCATATCATTTTACAAACATGTCAGCGTTGTTAGTGTTTTAAGTCTATACCCAGAAGATACCGTACTCATGTAGGAGGATTGGAATATGAATGATAGTCTCGAACATAATAAATTCACTCATCAAACGTCCCTCAATCTACCCCGCTCCGCTTATCTTCGCATATGACCGTTCTCCCATTTCCCGCTCCCGACGTTTCTACCATCAGTGGATGTTGACAAATAACCGTGGTGTTCCCGAACAAGGAGGGATTGTTGGAGTCAACGACAATCTCACGTAATCTCGCCAACTGAGATGACTACCCAGCCCGGTCCCTCTGAAAGGCGGCACAGGTACACAATGATTATCTTGAAACAGTCGGGGGAAAAGATACAGTATCGGTACCACGCGCGATGCTCAACACAACGGAATGTTTCTAAAAGAAACACACAACCTCACCATACCGGCCACAGGCACCAACCACGCGATTTACGAAATCTTGCTTTCTGAACCGTATTGGGCACAAATGGCGTAGCGATCTTCAAGAACCAACCATGGGGGAGGGGGGTAGAGGGTGGCATCCCGCCGTGCAGCGCAGCATTTCCCCCGCGCGCGTAGTCACGCCCATCGGTGAAGACGGCGCTACCCAGTAAACCTTGTACGCGCAGTAGCGTGGCCGACGTGAAGGGTGGGATAGAGAGGCGAGCCTACGTAAGCCACTTTTGCGAAGGTTGCCGGCGGCCCGACCTTCCACTGGTTATCGTGAGGATAAGAGAAGGGATGATATGAGGGGGGGGGGGGGGGGGGGGGGGTGCGTCGCGACTCGGGCACCCCCCGGTGTCTTATCTGTGGTAAGATTTCGTGTAAATTGCATCGTAAATAGGAACGTTATGCACACACACACACACAAGAGGGTAGTATATTGGGCAGAAAATGGCAAAGATCGACAACGGCAGCTGTGGTTGGGTGTGTGTCTTGAGTCGTGGACGCTGGCCGATGCCGCATTGCCGCATCTCTTGAAGGGGGTTGGGGCTCGTCCCAAGGGAGGACCTTCGCGAGCGGATCGGGTCCGTCTGTGATTGGGTACCGTTGCCACGGGCTTCTGGGGCCGGTGGCTGGGGCAAGCGTGACTAAAGCGAGATGGTCCCTGCCGGAACCATGGGAAGGGCTGGGGAGGACATGATCCCAACCGGGCTCACCCCCGGTCTGATCTCCCTCCTCACCCTCCTCTGCCGCGTGCGGTGCTGTGGTTGCGGCAGGCAGGCAGGCAGGCAGAACTTCCCCTCCACCCCGCCTGGAACCCTGTATTCAATGGAGTCTATGTGTATTCCGGCCTTTCAGCCGGGGCAATCTCTTTTACTGTAAACGATATACAATGTGGACACCCTTAGGACCATGGTCCGTTCACAATGATGGCCTCAACACCAACATTCCGGTCTTCTTCCGACCGCGGTGCACCGGCGTTCATGACGAACTCGGAACTAGGCCGATCTCCTGACACCAGACCAATATAGAACCGTTGTATCGTGTGTCATCAGCTCCGCTCAAACAGGATAAACAGCCTGCGGCTGACGGCCATGTGACATAATGGACCGGGGGCGGCACCCTAATACCCACGTGTAGTAAACTTGGAACTAGGGACGATCTCGACCCTGCCCTGTCTGCTCAGATCTTAGCAATATGTGCACATAACCCCTGACAACTTGATACATGACATACAGCACCGTCATACGCCATATACGTACAATCCACGTCATTCGGTACCAAACAAAACAGTAATAAACAGAAGCTTCTTACTCGTAATAACCAAAGCTTGGCATCGAACGCACAACTTGGCTTTTGAACGTGCACCTTGACCTTGTCTCCACAGAATGACGCGAGAAGGTCACGGGGCTCTTAGTTGCAACTTCTAAGAGCGTGCCCACCCGCGTGTTGACCAACTCAAGGTCCACGTGCCAGCGCGGTTCTGTATTAGTGGTGTGCACCTCCGTGTTTGCGGAGCTGACCAGACAGATGTCGATTATCGACAGGTCCGTGATGACGAGTCAGTCAGAGAAGGAACATAAGGGAAGGGGGAATAGGGGCTTGAGCGATGGATGTTCCAGAAAGCAACACTTCACCCCGATACAGCCTACGCATACGAAAACGACGTCTTGGCGGACGTGAAGGCGTCCGGCAGCCATTTGGTCCGGTGACGCATCGCCAGCTGCATCCGACCGAGGAGCGGGTCCGATTCCCCAACACCTGAATCCGCGGCTGGTCGGCGGCGGCCGGATCGGGTATGTTGTCAACGGCTGCGAGGCTGAGCCACCGCGTCAACTCCTGCGGCTCATCCGGTCTGTTTCTCAGCGCCCGGCGGAGCTGACTGATGCTCTTATCACTATGCAGCTGGAGAGACTACTCCTGCCCACGCAGTGCTCGTCAGCTGAAGATCGGTAACGGATAAAAATAAGTAGACAGTACTAGCTGCTAAGGGCAGCTGGGAATACCTGTACATCACGCAAATGCTAACCCTAACCCTAAGTAACCCTACGTGTCTGTACTAAGATACATATGTAGTCTGAGGTGGGGCTAGGATGCGCATGTATTAGTAAGACTACTTAGTTCACGTGATATGATACGGTATCTTCCGCGGCCCTCAGAGGCTAGTACTACCGTAGATACTGGGATAATTTGTCTTTGGCTAATGAATGGGCTAACGAGAAGAGGTACGGCGGCCGCCTATCAACTAAGCCTATTAAGGAGGGCGGTCAACCACCTACTCACTACACCTACTGCTATAATTAACTTTGAAACCCTATCAACTAACCAACTAACCCTGTTTCTGCCAGTACGCCAGCCCTTATTCGGCGGCCGCCATACCTCATCTCGTTAGCCCATACATTCTTAGCCAAAGACGAATTATCCCAGTGTCTACGGAGTACGGTACCTACTTCTCGATTAGGTTAGGCAGTCTCAAACGCCCTCCGTCACTTCGCCCACCACCCTGAAGGTCGGTGCCATGGTGTGGCAGAGGCGGCCACGCCGCCCCGAGTCCGAGACAACCACTCCGACATGGGATCCTTGAGTAGTAGGGTGGGGGCCGGCGATGCCGCGGGCGTCGAGACTCTTGGACAACTCCGGGTATCTCGCTTCGTGAATTGTCTTCCCAGTGGCACCTGTAGTCACGATAGCTCGCCTTGCACGATGGCGACGACCAGTCCGTGTCGTTTACGGAGTTTATGAAGCCCATCTGGTAGACGGACGCTCGTTCTACGTTCCCCCCCGCAACTTCATCGTTAGCTTGTATCGTTAGCTGCTGGTAACAATACTCCATTTTGAATAATCACGTGAACTTTCGGTTCCCTTGAGCCTCCTCCACCAGCCGCCCACACATATACCCATCTTCTTCGGGACGAGCATTATGAACATCGCCACCAATGCTGTAAGAGGTTCATGGTCTGAGGCTTGTTACCCAGAGCTTGGGCTCTGGGTACTTGGAGTGCGGATGGGATGATTGTTGTGGAAGCAGCAACCCAAAATGTAGGTAGAGGAGAGGTTGTAACTGCTGGTGTACATTTCAGACAAAAAATAGGTTGGCTTTGCCTAAGGGTGGAGACAAGTATACTAGGTATGAAAGCACGCACGCTGTTTTCATCAACATTTCACGCCTTGTCGGTGAGCAGTTCATCGTTTTTTTTTTTCTTCCCTTTCTCATTATTACGGTGTTCCATCCAGAGAAATTATGCATCGCTCAATCGCGTCCTTATCGTGCTCCGCCAACGCAGAATTCGCGAGCTCAGCCCTCATACCCGATGCAGCAGCCTCTTATACTAGAGCAGCATATAAGCAGATACGTTGCCCAATCACCAAAGCTTTCCATTCATTCTGTCGGGGCTACGAGACAAGGACCGAGGCCCGCTACTGGTTTCTGGCGGGCTATCAACTGACTTTCCGGCCACTGTGTCCTCTTCCGGCCTGCAACGTCCCGGATATCCGGCTTGTTGGCCACACCGGCCCAGCGGCGACGTGTTGCCGGTGGCCCCCACGCAATCCACCACCCGAAAGCTTATTCGATGTTCGCGAGCCAAGAGACCCACGTGGCCTGCCCGGCCCGCGGGCATCGGGTCGTTCGCAAAGACCGCAGTACCGCGATCCACGACGCCGTTATAAAGCCGGCGTCCAGAGGCGGATTGGTCAGGAATAAAGCCAATGGCAGACCAGATATTGCGAGTCGCGATAATGAGCCCTTGTAAAGTAGTCAGCTTGTGAGGTAGATCTGTCCAGGGAGGTTTCGTAATGAACAAATGATAGATGACCAAATATCGTACCTCAAAATAGAATCAAGGGTACCACCATAGCACTCCTCGCCGTACACTAGATGTACCTATAATAAGGGATCTGCGCTTGTACCACATATAGATTCTCAGGGTAACCTCTTAGAAGTAAAATGGGGAGACAGTGCTCGTAGGGACATCCAATCAATAGCGGGTGCGTTTCGTTATTTGACGTTAGTCTCATCTCCGCCTCCTTGATCATGGGTGGGCCCTGATTTGACAATCTCTCTCACTCTTTTGTGCGTCTTTCCTCTGCTATCAGCTGATATAGCACTAACGAATGTCATCATATCATATCTTGGTGGATGCACTGTGCTTGTTCTTTCCATCGAGTTCAAGCAACCATCGAAACGACGCTGTCGGCAAGCTCGGAACGTGCAGGACCAAGATTCGACGCCCAAGATTGTGTCAATTTGTACCAAGGGCAGAGCTCGCCTGCTCCCCAAAGTGCGCTTGAAACACTAGCAATCGATGCTACTCAATAATTCCTTCTCCACCACCTTGAGTAGGTGCTATAGTCTGCACCGGTAGATTGTCAGTCTCTGCATCAGAACTGAAGAATGTATTCATGCGAGCTTACCCCTCTGAGTACTGATACCCAGCTGATCGGCGACGTTGACGTAGCCTTCGTGGGTGATTTTGCCTCCCCCCTTGATCCTCTTCACCATATCATCGTCGCCTTGCCAGATGCTCCGGCAGAAGGGACAAGTGACGTCACCTGCCCCGGAACCGCGACGTTTTGTAGCAGCCCACGTCTCGAAACAGTCCTTGTGCATGTTCTGACCGCATGCTGCGCGACACCACACAATGGTTTCGTTGCTCCCGGTCTCGAACGCCGAGAAGCAGATGGGGCAATCGCCCTCTACAGGTTTGCGATTCTTGTCTTGGGACCCCTCTGACGAGGCATCAATGGGCGGGGCGTTCGCAAAGATGTCCCTGAGTTCACCGGGAACAAGGGCCAGTTGGTACGTGAGCTCGTACTTGGCGCGGAGGACTCGCGACATGACCTGGAAAACGTTAGTCCTGGTGCGGACAGGCGGCTGCGGCGGCAACCTACATAGAGCCAATGCTTGCATTGATGGCCCTTTAGCCAGTGTGGGCAGGTGCAAGACGGAGTCTGGCAGATATGAACAGTATAAACATTGCCGGTAGAGCCCGTCAGCTGGACCTTCTCCTCAGGGATCTCTGTAGTGCCACAACGATATCGGTCAAGGACGTAAAACCTCTGGGTCATGGCACGATGATAGACTTCATGGAAGCTTTGGGGTGCTGTGGGTCGGTATCGACGCAGTCGCTTCTCTTTTTTGGCGGTGGCAGCAGCAGTCTTTGGCTTCTTTACCTGGTCAGAGCTGTCTGGTTGCGATACATCGTCCGTGAGGCTGGCTTTTCTTTTCCGGCTCGGTGAGGCCAGCGAGGCCGCCGGCTTCCTCACGGCCGTCGATGCTGCTTCTGTGGTGGAGCTTCGCAGCCTCTGAGGATGTCCGGACACGGAGCGGGTCACTCTATTGGGAGCGCCGGGACCCACCATTGCGAAGGAGTGGCGGTCTTTGTGGCGTCGATGATGTATCAAGAGATGTAGACGTGATGAATGAGATGCGTCGCAAAGAGTTCTAATGACGCTGTCGATGGTTGAAGAGACCAGCGCGGAGTTGTGGTGTTTATGAATTTGGTTCAGGAGCCTTAAGTCGTGAAGTGAAGTATCCGTAAAGGTAGGCAAGAACGGCTGGCTCAGCGAACTTTCCACCACAATCCACACCGTCAATGACGGAAGCTACTTCGCACGCCACACCAGCAGATGAAAGTCATGTGATTTGAGGATGTCCATCAGTCACGTGACTGGTGTGGCTGGACATGCTGATTGAAACACCAGACATCAATATCTACCTATGACGAATGAGAATGGGGCACTAGGACACAAAAGCGGGCCCGTGATTACTGTGTTGCAATTGTGGCTTATCCCTGTCAGCCCAAGAGTACCGTGCACGATAACAGCGTTAAACCTCATATCCTAAAGGCTACAGGTTCAAATCCCTCATATCCTAAAGGCTGCAGGTTCAAATCTAGTTTTCTTAGACTTTTTAGTTCCAAAACGGCTCCGCCAGGGAGGGTTGGATCAGTACTACCCGGGGGCAACTTAGTCAGCGCTGTGAGCTAAATACCCCCTCCTCACGGAATAACCCACCCTGCTTCCTATGCTGCGCTCTGGGTCGGGATGGGCCAAGACCATCCCTTTTGCCTCTAAGATAGTTGTGTTATCACTAAGTCCACTGCCGAGGTCTATCACAGTTATCGTCCACGGTACTCTCGGGTGGACAGGGGGGACACTATCAGCTTGTCTGATCACTCCGTTGCAAACCGAGCCCACTAACCCCCGTGAGGGATAGGGGCAAACCAGGCCACAGCAATTAACGACAAAAGCCAATACTTTCAAAGTGCTTCTATTTATATAGCAATTTACCTATGCCATAGATACCAACAATCTCTACCTTTTTATAAAGGTATATTACAGTCTAAGTAGCCCTACTAGGTCCCTTGTTAGGCTAGACTGTTGCGTTATTGCACTGCTCTAGGATACAGTTATCTAGGTAGGCAGCAGCAAGGTCCCCTAGAAGGACCTCTGGTAGTACTATAAATAGAGGTGTCTAAATTAATAGACATCGTGATTTTAATAATGGTCTTAGCAACAAGATAAGATTCTAAGCAATGTATCGTCATGTATCTCCGAAAGTGAGGGGCAAAAGCAGGGGTGTGACCACCTAGGGGTTAGTAGGGTCCGTTTGCAACTAAAGGGATATCACATTGTGACAATATCCATACTGCATCAGTATGGGGAGAGCTAGTACAGGATGAGCTTGATAACTTTCACATCTAACCACAGCAACTACTCGAACCACTTAACATCCTGTTGGTATTTGTGCATTTCAACCTTGTTCCAGAGAGAATAGAGCGAGCACTCTATACCTTGTACAGTAACTACAAATGTTAGTGCAGAATTCGCGACTACTTTCAAGACTTAAAACGGTCAATAAACTGATTATAAACAGTACATCATCTGCTATAGAAGTCCCTAAGCCCACAATTAAACTTAGATATATCTATTTGGAGACGCTATTGGAGATAGATAGTAGTATCTGTATTGACACTATATCAAAGCGTATAGTATATTCGACGATGTAACTCTCAGACAAGATCCTCAGGGACTTTCACTTGACTAGATCAGATAACAGACATGCCAGCAAGATTCAATCTACCCTCGGTACAACCAATACATTATTATCTACAAGGGGTCGCATTTTTTGCGTAAGGCCAACCTACCCAGACAAAGATCATGCCAACCGAGATCCAACCCATTCATGGACACGACGTCACGTGGCATCGCATGTTCTCCGTCAGTACAAATGATTTCCAAGATAACTAGGCTTAAATCCACAGCCCGAGAAATAAATATTTGCTAATCATTCATTATGCGTAAAGAAGTTGGTGCGGAAAAGCCCCGTTATCGCTCGGCAATTCATAGACAGGAATACCGCCGTAGGAGTATCAGTGTCAGGCGCCTGGAGGAGATTGGAATAATAGTCATGACTGACACCTAACTACCCCTGTTGTTGCCTCCTTTACTCCGTGCGATCGCAGCTTCTGACAGCCAGCCACACCCATGAGACTGCGGGCCCAATTCAAGATGTTTGCCAGTAATGGCACGCTGGATACCTTAGCCCAGTTCGTAGCACGCAGCACCAGCAAATTTCCTAATTAAAGAAATGGCAACTTCGTACTGAGGACTCATTTCTTCAGCGCGTCACACAATGGACTCTGACGGCTTCTACATCCGGCATCCACCGGATCCACACCTCCTTGACGCATTCATCACGCCCGACTATCGGCTATTCCAGACGATTCCTGTGGGCGCTGCGGTCGTGAACAACACAGAATGGATTCTGGTGATTGACGGCCTGGTCGCGCGACCCTTTGAGCTGTGCCTCGATCAGTTGAAGCACCTATGGCGCAAACCCGTGGCAGCGTTCCATGAGTGCTACGGTAGCCCACTAAACCCACCGAACAACGAAGTTCGCCGGGTAGGAAACGTGGCATGGATCGGTGTCCCTCTGTTTCATCTTCTCGCCCTTGCACGGCCACTCCGCGAAGCTGCGTACCTGTGGTACAGCGGGCTTGACCGTGGTACCTTCGGCGGCATCGTGGCTGACGGCTATCGCAAAGACCTGCCAATTGAAAAGGGGCTCGCCCGGAAATCCTTGTCGCGTATGAGATGAACAGAGAACCGCTCAACAAGGAGCGAGGAGGCTCCGTCAGAGTGGCGAAGTTGCGAGGAGTGTAGAGATAACTGATGCTAGAAATCTTTTTGTAAGAAAGTTCGAAATGACCGAGATGCTACGGTCGTACAGTCATGTGATATTGGTTTTCCAACACATCTCACTCTATATAAGTTAACACCCTCGTACCCTCACTTTATACACCCCCTGTAAGATAGGCCAGAGGTGCTGCGTATCGGGCTATACGTATCGTAATATCCATGTCCCGTGTGAACTGGGCTAGGCCGAAGGTTTAATATCCCTTATCAGCGTAAGATACTTTACATAATACAGTCTCCGTAATGATATATTAGAGATGACGAGTGGAATCTGAGAAGTAGCTTAGTGTTAGGCTGTCACTCAGCCTCTGTTCCGGTGTCGATACTTAACCAGAAAGATTACGAGTGTGCAGTCGGTATCGATTTGACCAACCATTTTGTAATTGCAACTGCCAGGTCATCACTGCATAAAAGTAACAAATGAGCAGTCTCCATTTCGTTTGATAATTGCGCAAAGCCATAAAAACGGTTGCCTTGCCACCAAAACATGATACGATATACCCCGCGCGTGCTAGTCTGTCTGCCTTATGCCCGACGTTGCCTCATGGAGATGGTCAGTATAATGGTTCGCCATTCTCAAACCACATGGTGTTGAGCTAGATTTCATAAAGTCGGACCCATCAAATCTGCACGGTACTTTCTTGTGAGTGGTGCATGCTCGCTGCACTTCATAACCCTTGTCGAGGTGTCTCAACGCCATTGGGTCGTTGGACAAATCTCACCATGCAGCTCATCGTTGGCTGCTTCATTGGGCTTGGACAAGTCCGCAGTGGGTGTTGCACAATTCATAAAGCTCACCCCCATGTCCATGCGCGTGGCCGCCGCCATGTCTGGCACCCATCGCCCTCCCCCGCCTCCTGACTCTCTCGTCAAACTGTTCTGTGCCGCCTTGCGCCGCTATTAACGACCGTTGCCGATAGTCGAACGGACTCGAGCCCCGCTGTCATGCCTGTTGAGCCGCCGACCGCAGAGGAATGGGAGAAGCATCGGAAGCTCATTGCGGACCTGTACACGCGCCGGACCCTCAAGGTCATCAGGGCGCACCTCAAAGATGTTCATGGGTTCAATGCGACGTGAGCACTCTACTGGTGTGTGTTGATGTTGTAACTGTAACTGATGGGATCGTAGGGAGCGTATGTACAAGGGCCGTTTGAAAACCTGGGGCATCGAGAAGAATAAACGGCATAAGACGAGACCACTGCAAGACAGAACAGGCTCTTCCGAAGAGACTTCACAACCAAAGCTCCCTGTCACGATCTCCAGTGACAACAATTGTAGCGAGACTCATGGCCAAACCCCCCCGGGTTTCCCATCCGCATTAAAACCACCCTTGGCATCTCCCTACCCCATTGACACCGGGGTAGATTCCCGCTCTACGACCTACGTCGGTACCCCGGGACCGGCATCGTTCCCACCAACACCAGTGTCAACCTTGGGGTACAGATCACCTACCGTCTACGAGTCGGAGGACATAAATGTGGATCCGGACGTACTATGCATCGAGATTGTCAACATTGCAATTTCGATACTGTCCAGACTAGTTCAAGAAAGGCCTGTCGGCACGGGTTTCGAAGGTTGCACACCGACGGAGGATCATATCACGATATATCGGACACTACAGGAGGACCTCAAGCACGAAAGCTATATAAGAGGCTGCCTTGTAAACAACACATCTGCGGCGCCCACTTCCTCCTTGGGAGAGCGAGTTAAAGACCTATTGAAATCATACCATCCGGCAATGCCGATCGGCCTGTTGAGCGCCGTCAACCAGTGTATGGACCACAACACCATTCAAGAACTGGTCTTTTGCCTCACCAGCTCTTCCGCCGCTGTTCTCCCACGGGACGACGACTTTATCCACCTAGCGCACAGGCTCCGTCGGCTGCTGGCCATTACAAGCTTCGAAAAGTTCCAACAATTCATGGAGCAAATCTGCCAAAGCCTCGAGTCAGAGGTCGTCAAAGTCCTCGGGAGAAGAAGCCTGGTGACGATCTACCTGATGTTCCTGCTCAGCGCCAAGAAGGCGAAGCGCGAGCGCAAGCCGGACAACAAAATCCTGACCATGGCTTTGGAGAGCATGGCCCACGTTCAACATGCATATCAAGACGACCCGAAGCTGATCATGCAGTTCAGCCTCTTCATCACCGGCTACTGCGCCCTTGCCGGGCCGGAGGGGAAGTTCGATCGAGGCGTCCTCGACATGGCCGAAGACTGCTGCGACCGGGCGGAAAAGTATCTTATCAAACTGGAATCGACCGATGGGAGCAAGCAAGCCGACATCAGGGACGCCAAGTCCCACTATGGGAAAAGCTGCTCGTTGTTGGCAGACTGCCGCTATGCGCAAGGCAACGAGTCGTACGTAGAGCATCGCGAAGAGCTTCACAGATCCTCGCGTAGGCTGCTGATGCTGGCAATCGCGTGCCATGTCGATTGCTCGCTGGGGACCATGGCGCAGTTTGAGCGACACAAGCAGAAGTTGGAGCGGTGGTGTCATGATGCAAATGACACTCCGCGGCTGCAGCAGCTAAAGGTCGTCGAGAACCTTATCACTGAGTACAAACAACGGCCAAAGGACGGGCCTCTGGTTCCAAGGCTGCCGGTCTTGCAGTTGATCGAAGGCACAACAGAGAACGCCTCGCCTCGCCTTGGTGATGGGGGAGGCTTTTTGAACCGGCAATTGGTAGCCACGAAGATAACACCATAAGATCTGTCATGGTGAACACGTTGCGATGTGCCCGGCGGAGAAGTTGCAATCGCTGCTGGACAGAACAGCCGAAGAGTCTCGAGGCTTCACGGCCCACTGATTAGACTGAGCTGTCCGAGCTGGCAGCCCGCGGATCTGCTGTGAGTGAAACATTTTGTACGTCATACCCGCTCATTCTGCAATTTGCCCCATCTCGGTGTGGTGCGGAGGAAGCCAGTGAGCCCATCAAGACACGCCGAGAGCAGCCGGAGAAAACCTTCCGCATCACGGCACAGATCTCGGACACCTCCGTGGGCCGTGTCGATCTGAACGCAACCTCGCCCATCCACCCCAGAACACTGGATCCTGCATCGGATTTTCGATTTCGATTTGCCAAAGTCTGTTCATCCCTTACTATCTTTCCTTCTCAGACTGTTTGGTCTGACATCCTTCGGGGGTTCTCCCTTAGTTTCCCTCATATTCTCCACGCAAAAAGTGGCGCTGTTATGTCATCTGCTTCGGCCGTGATGTAATATCAAGGTGACATCATACATACCTCAACTACGCTCACCGTGGCGTTCTGGCCGTCGACATGAGATACTTAAGCGTGCAGTAATTGCCGGATGAGAAGGGATTTCTAGATCAGTCGATACAGTTCTACGAACAACATAAGAGATACCCATCCATCGAACAAAATCTTCAAATTCTTTCAAAAAAAAGGATTTCGACATTTCCTCCCCAGTACAAACGATCAAAATGTCTGCCACTCGCAACATCGATTCCATCAATCCTAAGCAGGGCGAGATCCATCCTAGAGTCCCCCGCTCTGAGCCTCTCACCACCAAGGGCGTAAGTTTCGGTTCTACTAGGGTCACCCTCAATCAAAACCTAACGACAAAGCAGCACAAACCGGGCGTCAAGGTCGGCAACGATGCCTACCCCGAGTTCCACGCCCAGACCTACCCCGCCGGCACCGCGCCCAAGGAGAACACCTTTCAGCCCGATCTTAAGCATGCCATCCCCGGCCAGGCCCTGAACCCCGACGCCGAGACCTACACTGCACCCGACGACTTCCCCGGCGCCACCAGCGCGGACCTCAACACCGGCCTCGGCAAGCCCCTGCAGGGTCAGACCAGCAACGAGCTGCACGGCCTCCACCCCCGCCACCGCAAGAAGGAGAGAGCGGGACTCGAGGGCGTCGGCGCGTCCGCCGAAGACAGCTTCAAGCAACGCCACCTGGACCTCGATTACGACCCGGCCTCCCGCAGGAACGTCTCAGAGGTTCCCGGTGCGGAAGAGCGGTATCCCGCCACCGCTGAAGAGGTTGCCAGCGAGTTTCCATGAGACTTTCTATGAATCATGTATCATTATTATAACGTCACGAAAAGGATGTCTTCAGCGTCAAGCGGTTGGCATGGAATGATTGAATATGAATCGAAGAGTCTCACGCTAGTTATTTGAAATATGTACTCCGAATAAATCTTGCAACGCTCTGGTCCTAAAGTACCAAGTTTTGAACGAGAATGGAAAGAACATGACGATCCAGTGCGATCCGGAATATTAACCATTCGACGGCCAAAAGTGACCTTCAAAGACCGCGACTCCTAGGCTTGATGAATTGCTGGGAAGAGGGCGGTGGAAGGAACAGTCTTCTTTAGAGCGAGAACGATCTTATCCTCGGTCGAGTCGTCGGTCACGTTCCACTTGAGAGAGTAGATGCCCTCAACAGAGCTGGGCGTGGCGTACCACATAGACACCATGTTGCCCGATTCGCCCGAGACAAAGATGACGTTGCCGTAGGTAAGGAAACCGCTGGTCTGACGGTCAGAAGCAGTCGAGCTGGAGTTGAGGAAACCGACGCTGTGGTCAGAGGCGCCGTCGGTGGGAATGGAGAAGGTAACGTTGGACCAGGTGGGGGTGGTGGTGGAGTTGAGAGCCGTCGTATTCGGAGCCCCTTGCCAAGCATTGTTGGTAGGAGTGACTTGGCCCAGTTAGCTTCATCCATCTTGATAACGAGGACTGTGGACTGTACATGTTACGGGAGCTGCATTAGGGTCGTTGAAATTGGCATAATCACCTAAGAAAGCATCGCCTGTGCACAGTAACATTAGCTCAGGATTCATACTTCAGGGTAGCGAGACACGGGCCGGGTGTGCTATTCGTAACAAGAGACAGCTAGTCTTGGAAAGAAAAGGAGCAGAGCTTTTGAAGAACTCTCATCATTCTCCAATTACAAGGCGGGAAAATCAGCCTAGCGACTTACTTCCTGTAGAGAATAGGGGAAGGCCTCCGATTCCGTCGCCGTAGGCGTAGATCTGGAACGGAGCGCTGTTAGAGACAGAAGCGGCTCGCGGCAGGTTTCCCGCAGGAACCGCAGCTGCGACGGCTGCAAGCGACAACAAGAGAGCTCCAATGTGCTGCATTATGGTATGCGATGGCCGTTGGAACGGGATTATGGCTGTGGCTAAAAGAACGGATGAAACTTTGAAAGATTCAAAAGCGAATGATGAGCTGAAAGAGAGTAATCAGTGAGTGGGAGCTGGCGTGGTGAAGACATCCCAGGATTGAAGCAGAACCAGAGAGGGACTTGGTTAAATAAATGTCACGTATAATGATGATGCAGCGCTGGTCTTCCACGCAAGCCGCGAACCATCGGCGGTAGCATTGATTTCTTACTCGTACGAGTCCACACAGACTATCGCACTGATTCATGCCGTTGCTACGGGACATTCCCGAACTGCGTCCGGATTGCAACTCTACGGGGGAAAACACCACAATCGGAAACGAACCAGTGGCATCGCATGATAACGAGGCTCAGACTCCACCTCCCACTTTCCCGATATCCCACGAGTCAGAAACTATTCGTTGTTTGCTGACCGGAACGGGCCCTTTCAAAGGGGCGTTTCTTTCAGCCACGATTTTTCCTCCGATATGTAGAAGTGGCAAGGTTCTTGATGGGGCGCGGCTGAGAATTTCATCAATAATTGAGATGTTATAGATCTGGTCCCCCACCGCTAGTTCCCGATATGGTTAGTTTCTACATGGGACTACGTAAGGGGAACGGATTTGTAGCAGTTTACGTGTGCTGAGGTACGTGGACAAGGTGGTATACTCCGTACTTACTCTTAATACAGTTAGAAAGCGCACGTGTACGGTAAAGGGGCCACGAGATTAACCTCCACTGCAAGGACTAGGGATCTCTCGTTGAAGAACTGTGGGTGATCCGACTAAGGCAGCTCTCGGCCGAAATGGGCAAAGTCAGGAGGTAGAACGTTTGACATGACTGTCACAAATAAACACCGGACAACTTTATTTACGGGCCATTTACTCTTATTGCTAGACATTGGTAAGCCCAACGCAAAAAGAGCACTTGGGATTACCGTAACACACTGTATCAAACAAGAATTATTGCAGCAATGCTATTACAACATAGAGACCCTTTCGGATTTCATACGGAGGCGCCCGCCAATAATTTAGCAAAACGCCAAGACGTAAAATTGGAGCTCCCTAGGCGGAGTTCTTCCTAGAGGCCAGCCATGTGGTCTAGTCAGTTCGAAGATAGGGGTAACTGCGTACAATCTGGCATGATAAAGTTGATAGGGCGATTTCGCTTCTTTCGTCTTATTGTCGTGGGCAACGGCCATTGACGGCTCCTCCGCACATACTTGGTAGAAGTCGGCGAGACCGGCTATCGGGGGCTTGACTACATGTATGCACCGGCCGATCTCGCATGCTTACATCTGATAGTATGCAACCGATCCGCTGGAACGCTACTGCAGAGCCACGGCCCACGGCTCGTAGTGAGCCTTTACCCCTAGCATTCGTCTTGCATCACGATGTAGCATTAGCTGCTTGCAGACTAGTCTAGCTGAGGCTCAAGATACGCGTACTTGGCACCACTTTCGACTCCACTTGTTTACTCGTGCCCTCGGGACTTACTCACCCTGTACCAGGTGAAACTCCACAGCATCTCCATCACCGTGGAACGACGCTACCTCTTTCGGATGAATCATGCGATAAAATGACGATCTGCAACCTATCAGGGGCCAATGCGGGCGGCGAATGGGTACCGGATGTCACGTACTCGATTCAAGCCGCCTCGACCGGGGTCGACCGATTCGAAAGAGGAAGCACGTTGCAACAACTTCAACGGAAACACAGAGATTTGTCGTTGTAAACAGGTGAGGTTCTCGTGAGCCGCTCGTAAAGTCGACTTCACCTGCGGGATACTTAAGTTCCCGCCATCTGCCGCTCACTTAGTACTATTATCAACCACTCACTCACCAACACAGGTTGACTGCGCTTACATTCGCTACACTCTCATTCTTTACGCATCAACTTGTCAAACAGTCGTTCGTTTTGCCTTGCATTTGGCACACATACCAAATAATGTATCGATCTCTGCTCTTGGCCGGCGCCCTCGCGGGCTCCTTGGCCTCTGCCTTGCCTTCCTTCGGCTCCCTCCCCGAGCCAAAGTTATTCCCTCGTGCTGCTTGCAGCGGCAACACTGCGAGCACGAGAAGCGAGTGGTGCGACTACTCCGTCGACACTGACTACAACAATGTGGTGCCTGACACCGGCGTCACTCGCGAATACTGGCTGGAGCTGACGGACGTTACCGTTGCGCCTGATGGAGTTCCTCGGTCTGCAATGGCCGTGAACGGCTCCATCCCGGGACCTACCCTCTTTGCCGACTGGGGCGACACCGTCAAGGTTCACGTCATCAACTCTCTTACAACTTCTAACAACGGCACCAGCATTCACTTCCACGGCATCCGTCAAAACTACACCAACCAGAACGACGGCGTCAGCTCCATCACTCAGTGTCCCACTGCTCCCGGTGAAACCATTACCTACACCTGGCGCGCGACCCAGTACGGTTCGACTTGGTACCACTCTCACTTTGCTCTCCAGGCGTGGCAAGGTATCTTTGGCGGCATCGTCATCAATGGCCCTGCCACCGCCAACTACGATGAAGATCTCGGCATGCTCTTCCTGAACGACTGGGATCACCAGACGGTCGATGAGCTCTACTATAGCGCCCAGGCCGGCGGTCCCCCCACTTTGGACAACGGCCTCATCAACGGCACCAACGTCTATGGAGATGACGGCTCTTCCTCCCAGACCGGCCACCGCTACAACGTGACGTGGACCGCTGGCACATCCTACCGCATCAGACTCGTCAACGGTGCCGTCGACACGCACTGGAAATTCTCAATCGACAACCACACCATGACGGTCATCGCTGCTGACTTGGTTCCCATCACCCCCTTCACCACCACGGTCCTCAACTTGGGCATGGGACAGCGCTACGACGTCATCGTCACCGCGGACCAGGCCAGCACCGCTGACAGCTTCTGGATGCGTGCCATCCCCCAGTCCGCTTGTTCCGACAACGACAGCACCGACAACATCAAGGGTATCGTCTCGTACACCAGCACAATCACCACCCCCACCACTACTGGCTACTCGTATATGGACGGCTGTGACGACGAGACGGACAACCTCGTGCCCCATGTCGCCAAGAGTGTCTCCAACGCCGACATAACCAACCTCCAGACCGCTAGCGTGCAGAGCAACTCCGCCGGTCTCTTCAGGTGGACCCTCAACAGCACCAGCATGGTGGTCGACTGGGCGCACCCCACGCTGGAGTCCGTCATGGGCGGTGTTACCAGCTGGGAGAACGACGACGCCGTCGTCGAGCTCGCCGAGGCCAACCAGTGGGTCTATTTTGTCATCCAGACCACGATCCCCGTCCCTCACCCCATCCACCTTCACGGCCACGACTTCTTCGTTCTCGCCCAGGGCAGTGGCACCTACTCGGACTCCGTCGCGCTCAACACCGCCAACCCTGCCCGCAGGGACACAGCCATGCTGCCCTCCTCCGGATACATCGTCATGGCATGGGAGACCGACAACCCTGGCGCATGGCTCATGCACTGCCACATTGGCTGGCACACGTCCGAGGGCTTCTCGATGCAGTTTGTCGAGCGCTACAGCGAGATTGCGGCCATCACGGACAACTCCACTCTGACCGACACTTGCAGCGCTTGGACGACTTTCCAGGAGGAGCACGATATCGAGCAGGAGGACTCTGGCGTTTGATTCGCATGTTTTCAATCCTCGGAGCGGGTAGACCCCAGCTTGGACCGGCGCGATTTTCTTCAATGTCAATGATTCGAATAATGCATTGCTCTTTTTATTTCATTTGTGCTTTTACGGGCGATTTTTTTCAAATGTTAACGATTCGTATAAGGCATGGCTCCTTTTATTTCATTCATGCTTTTACGGGTTAGACAAGCAGACTCTGATCAGGGGAAGAAGGGAGATGTAAGATGTAAAAGGGAAGATATACAGCCTGTATCGCTAGATCTGAGGAGTCAGGCGGAAATTTGATAACGAATTATTACTTAAACCTTTACCCTTGTTCAAAGATGGTGAATTGCTAATACTAAGGGTGGCCATTGGCAGAAATCAATTGTTTTGCCACCATCACGCCACAGCTAAACTGGTGTCAATTTCAGTAACAGGATACATGAGTTTATTGTGAGAAATCTGCCTGAGGACGCCGAGAACGAAGAACATCAGAACGAGGCGTCAAGTTGGTGTTGTGCCATAAACTTTCATTAGGATAAGAGACTGGAATGTCAGGAACCATAAGTTCCAGACACCGACAGTCAACTTCTTTTTTTTTTTTTTTTTTTTTGATCAACTTTGGCCCTTCGGGTTACCTTAACTCAGTTTCACTTTGAGTTAGTTGTTAGGAAGATTCATCAACTGTCCTTTTTTATATGAGAACTTCTAATTACTAACCTGCCATGAGTAAACCAGTCTTGGAATCAAATTGGCCGTCATCATCAGACTCAACACAAGATGCACGCACTCGACTCATATCCATTTCTTACGAACATCCAGGGTTAACGCCAAGTCCTACAAGTATCACTCCAATTTCGGATGGAAATATATTCTATGAGATAGCTAGTCATAAATTCGCTATTAGTTCTTGTTCGCAAGACGCGTCATCACCATATTGAGCCTCTGAACGAAATGCATGCGTTGTCATGAAAGCGAAAACTCTTTTTCTTTTTTCTGTGCTTATAATGCTTTGGAAGTTGTGGTTTTTGCCTTGTTTACGCCGGAAAGGCTGGTAAACCTGGGTTCTTGACCTGGAGTTGATATGGTACTCGTCGTCGTGCAGATATTGTTAGCCATCCTGAGTGATACGGATGTTGGACTTTGTCTCTGAATGTCTGACGATGGCCTTGGAGCACAAGCGGTTAGATGGCTCCTGGCATGTGAAGATGCCGAGTGGATAAGTCAAAACATCCAGGATGTCCAACTCTGCCGTGACTGAGCAACCACCAATGGCTTTGCTAGCGCGAATGAGTTTATATGGCCGACGAATGATCGCCGAGCTGGGGGACTCTTAACGTGGTTCTTTGAGACGCTTTCTGGTAAAGCATGACGAATTCTTTAAGTCAAAAGTCGTGTCCGTCATGACGATCATCTAATTGTCTACGCGCCCCAATAGTTGGCTGTGCATACACCCATTCAATGGAGCGAAAACCGAGAAACCATCCTTCTTGTGTGTGAATCATCTGCTATCTAGTCAGACACAGGCTGAGCAGGATACACTGATCGAGGATAAAAGACATTGTCCAGCGGCGTCCAAAGCTTCACTTTCTTTTCTCTCGTCACTACCAACCGATTCGCACTTTTACCATTTACAAGATCCTCATTTAGCTCCCATGCACACATGTCCGCTCAGAAGAATCTCCGCTCTCTCGCCGTTGATAATGTGGCAGCTTGCCAGCAGCAACGCGAGGCTGGTGGCAGCTGTCAGAGCTTCGTTCTCAGAAAAGATCCATCGTGTAACACCTCGGTGACGGCTATACGTTTTCTCTGCTTCACACGCACACCCCACAGCCCAGAGTCAACCTGATGGCGCGAAAAGGGCTGCTTTGATGTCGCCGGGCCCATGATGCGCCGGCAGGATGACCGTCCCCCTTTCCTGAGATCATGCACATAGCGAATCGTCATGTTTTCCACGAAAAACTGTCTCTGCTCACACTGGAACATTGTTGAAAGCAAACGGCTTGCCGAAAGGGGCCAAAGGCGCTGGAAGTCGGGTTCATGGTAACAAGGGGACGCAGGTCTGTTGTCTGAGGTTAATAAGCTCCGCCGCCGATCGGTCGGCTAGGCCATCTCGGCTCCAATAGCGGTCAGACGGGGAAGCGCACATTCTAGCCGCAGAGACAAGAACTTTGGCCAAGTCGAAAAGGTGTGAGGAGGTTGCCCTTAACCTTAAATAAGCACAGCCAAGTCATTTAATATGATTCACCGGATGGGGAAGTTGGGGAACTTTGAGGGGCCGCAGTACTTGGTATATCCCAGTCGCTGATGTCGCCATCGATTTAAACATGTCGTGATTATTATCAACCAATCAGACCATGAGAAGACTTGCTTGATCCCCCATCGCTGTTGGAGCAATCCGCCCGGCAACGATAGCCTGCAACGGTAGCTAGGCGATTACAGGCATGAGCCGCCGGGGAATGTCATCATGGATTGATGATGCCATACGGGCCTGGGAAAACGGCACTCGAAAGTGCTGTCAACCTATCAGGGAGGTGATTAAACATCAGAGTTATCAAGGAGCCCATAGCAAAGTAAGCCCAGTCAAGCATCCTGTTCGCCATTATCACCCTGCATTATTAATATCTCATGAGGGCCTGATCCATTCATTTACATCGGGTCTCTTAGGAGTCGCATTGAAAAGCCGTGCGCAGCCACAGACTTTCTTCTTTCCACGACATTGCCAGTCTCAAACTCGACTTCAGGTGAAAACGAGACCGCTCCGTCAGCTGAGCGATACCGGACGTTCTTCCATCTTCCAACAACAAGCCAGCAAATAAAAAAAGGTATGGGGAAACCAAGCAGTGAACCAGGAACATCGCACACGCGCCTTACGATGAGCGCGACCGCGGCCCCCCCGCCTGAAAAGGCGCTGGACGCGCCAGCAAACGATAATACGAGTGGCGCGGACAGTCCTTCTGAATTCGAAGTCGGGGACGAGGGCGTCAACACGAAAGCGTTACTGAGAAAGATAGACGCCAAGCTTCTCCCAGCCGTAGGAATCCTGGTGAGTACCCCCGACGCGTCGTGTTACTTTGTGACGTGCACTAAAAAGAGACCACACAAGTATCTGCTTTCGTTCCTTGACAGATCCAACGGTAAATCCTTGAGCAAATCCTTAAGATGACCATGCGCAAGGTTCTGACACCATCGCAGTGGGCAACGCCAGAATCGAAGGGCTCACCGATGACTTGCACATGAGTAAGTAGCAGATGGTTGGACGATTGGGCATGTGTTCGGGTTATTTAACGAGCGATAGCTGGCAACCAGTACCTTACTGGGTTGACTTTGTATTTCATCGGTTACGTTTTATTTGAAGTGAGTTGTCGGTGCCTTCTTTGGAATCCATGTTCAGATGCGCTGACCACCCGTCTAGATCCCATGCAATATCATCCTCAAGAGGACCACGCCGAGATTCTGGCTTCCGTCACTAACAATTGCCTGGGGAATTGTTGCCACGCTCATGGGAATCGTGACGAACATGGCCGGATTCTTTGTTGCTCGCTTCTTTCTCGGCGTCACGGAGAGTGGGCTCTTCCCTGGTGTTGTGTACTACTTCTCCATGTGGTACAAGCGCCGCGAGAGACAGTATCGCATCTCACTCTTCTTCAGTGCTGCGTCTCTTGCCGGGGCTTTCGGTGGTATCCTAGCTTGGGTAACTGATAACCAAGTAAGTCATTTTGCAATGAGAATGCGTGCTGATTCGTCTTAGGGTATTGGTCACATGCGAGTTGTTTGGGATAACGGCTGGAGATGGATCTTCATTTTGGTCCAGAATCCCCTCCTCATGCCTTTCGAGGATGAGTGCTAACTATCAATAGGAGGGTATCGCGACGGTCGTCATCGCGATCGGCGCGTACTGGTTCATTCAGAACTACCCCGACACTGCCAAGTTCATATCCGAAAAGGAGCGTCACTTCATCCGAGCCCGGCTTGCCGCTGACAGCGATGCGACCCACAACGAGAAGTTCACTTGGGGAAACGTCGTGGAGGCGATCAAGGACCCCAAGTGCTGGTTATACGGTCTTGCTTTCCACACCATGAGCTTACCACTTTACACGTTCTCCCTCTTCATCGTACGTGTTCCGTGATGAATCTGCAAGTTACAGTGAGCAGAGTGCTGATCGCGCCTAGCCCACCATCATCAAGAATCTCGGCTACACCGCCGCCGTGGCGCAACTTCTGACCATACCGCCGTACGCCCTCGCCTTCCTCACGACCCTGACTGTCGCAATCTATTCTGAGCGCACAGGCCGCCGCGCGTTCTTCATCATGGGCTCGTCTGCCTTCGCCGCCGTAGGCTATATCATCCTCCTCGCCAACGGCGACCCGACCGGGAAGCCTGGCGTCTCCTACCTCGGCACCTTTTTCGCGGCGGGAGGGATCTACCCGGCCACCGCCCTCGTCCTCTCGTGGCCAGCCATCAACGTTTCCGGCCAGACCAAGCGGGCCGTCGGCAACGCCATGCAGATTACTATTGGAAACTTGGGCGCTGTTCTCGGGACGCAGCTCTACCGTTCCAACGATGGGCCGAGATACTTCGTCGGGCACTCTTTTGCGCTGGGATACCTCCTTGCCAATGTTGTTGTCTGCGGCATCTTGTACGTCGTGCTCAAGCGCGAGAACACGAGGAGGGAGGCCATCGCCCCGGAGGTCCAGGCGATCGGCGACTTGACGGATTGGCCTGGAGACAAAGATCCCAGATGGAGGTTCCAGTACTAGAGACAACATAACTTCTTGAATGGCAGGACTGATGTTAGATTCAACAGGAAGGGGCTGGATTCTTGCGGAAGGCTGCGAATCATAAAGATCGATTGTCTCTGTAGCTAAGAACATGCTTTGACGATAACTAGATGTAGTTATATCTCATAGAGCTCGTCCTAGATGCCAAATCCTAGCCATTGAAAGTCCCAAGGGCCTCTAGAGGAACCACATCGGTCAAATGACACAACACATTTCAAACAGGGTCCCGAGCTCGGAGGCCCGGAGGCCACGGGATAAAAGACTTTTGATGATGTTGACGCATCGACATATGTCCTCAAGCTGCAAAATAAAACCCCTTTTCATAGCTCGGAACCATTTACTCTGTTGAAAGGCAATGTTTTGTCGAGGAGAGGGTTGGATAGCCAGGCAAGGCTAAGAACCAACAGAGGATACCCATCCGTCAAAGTTGAGAACATACAGACAGACAACAAAAGCCAACCTTTGAGGGGCATCGGATTTCTCAGGATCATGCGCCGACGTATCCAGGAAGGCCATACTTATCTTTCCAGCAGTACCACGGCATGGCGTATTTTTCATGACAGGTGTACCATTTCGGTTCATCTTGCGGGTCATAACCTCCGATGGGCTTCCAATAGGGAGGTTCGAAACAGAGATTTCGGGAACCGGGTTTGACCCTTTCCGGAACGTTAGAGTCCATACCACTAAACATATTACATAAAGACAGAGTAATAATGACTTACTTGTATCTCCAATTCCAGTATGTATGCACACCGCCCCGGTCAGGCTTGCACATCAGCTCTTTTTTCATTCCATCCATACACTCTTCGATATCGATTTCGCGCGTCTCACCAGCGCCAATCATCTGAGATAATAACGGTTAGTGAGTGCTCATCAAACTCCAAATTTAGCAGTATAAGTGATGCTCATGCTGGCAACGGTCTTGGAATGACGCCACAAGGGAATGGTGTAAAGGAGGCATAGTTGGGGTACAGTGACTACCTTGAGTTCAAAACTCCAAGACACATCGATTTTGTCCGTCACACAGACTCTCTGGGCTTCCAGCCTGTTGTATTTGCCGCTTAACTGGCGGCATACATCGCCAAGGTCGAGAATGCTTTGATTTCTACTGTAAGATCCTTGCCTTCCGTTCGTGTAGCATAATCCAAAGGCAATGGAGAAGTAAGAAGTGATGGCCAGTAAGATGTAGCGGACGTGCATTCTGCTAGAAAATGGGTCGGAGCGTGCAGCTTGCAAGTGACTGAGTATGATTATCTGGTAATCCCAGATGGCTCTATGGAATCAAGGAGGGTATCGTGATCGCTTAAGTGCTATCTGGACCCTTACTATACTGATGGTAATCGTTTCAAGGCGGTTCCTTCATCTCAAAGGCATCTCCGGTATAGTAAAGGGATTTAGCCACGCGGTAATTCATTGCTTCTTTTGACAAAAGAAATGTGAGACTAATCAGCAAGGGAAGATATGTATTCTACATCGTGAAAGGCAGAGCTGCTACTCTCGGTCGATCTTAGCAAGGGAAAAGTAACCATCAAAGGTATTGGTGTTCCAATTCAATCGGCAGGGGTGAAATCCCTCAGAGATAGGACGTTTGTGTGCTTGCAAGCAAGGGCAAGCAAGGGGCATTCGGAGGTGATGTCTAAAGGCTTAACAAATAATACACCCTCCCTGGACATATGCAGTAACCAACAGCAAACTTGTTCTTTAATATAGGACCCCTAGGGCTGATGTTTTCAATGTGATTCATTGAAAACAATTACCTGATGAATCGCTATCCAGCTTAAACGACCGAGGGTTGTTTCTCTTTCAAAGACATCTTTGAACTCGAAGCACAGATAGAAAACATATAAGCTTTGTGAGCGGGAAAACTTCAGAGCTAGTCCCGAGAACGAGAAGAACCAGGTCCAAGTCTTTAAAGAACGTTGCGGAAATAGCAACAAGAAACTACACAACTTGTTGCCGAAAACATACAAACATATACTCATTGCGATCTCCAACAACCAAGTGCAGATGTTCATATCCATTTGCACAAGATGAGGTTGATTGGAAGATTCAAGTATCATATCTCTGATCTGACAATCAACCTCGTAACGAGAGCAATGGTCGTTTCTCGCAGTCTGTAGGTAATTAACGCAACTAAAGGAGTGTCATCTTATGATTTGACGTTTTCCTCATAGCCTGAGTTTCTATGTTCTCCTTATTGTACTCCGCCCTGTTATGCTTTGCGGTTATGTGTGGCCGATCTCAGTGTAGCTCACCTCAAATCAGTAGCATCTCAACCGGCATAATTATCCTGCGTGTGTGACATCCACATGTCTGACAATCCTTCGGTGAAGAACAGCTACACCAGCTTGCCCTGTCGTTCACTTTGAAAGTCAGGTACAAGGTTGGAGATGGACCTGGCCACCCAAATAAGACAATTGGAATGCCCGTGGCATGTACCTGACCCCTCCACAAAGAGCAATACCAACAACCACATTCACAGCGGTTGAACAATACGAAGGACGATCCATAAAATTAATCATATGAGTCTTGGCATTCCAACCAAGAAATAAATTCGCCACTTCACCACCATCCCCTACACTCTCTTTTGGCCTCGGAAGACCTCCCGCCAACATATTTATTATTGTTTTGTATGTACATATGCTCAGTGTAAACACCTGTCACGATGTGATATAAAGCGTTAGTTGTGTTGCTGCGACTAACGGCGTCGTTTTTAGCGCGACAACAGCCTTACAATAAGGTGAAGATCGGAAGTCTTGCCAGCAAGATCAGGACGGAGCACTCAAAAGCCCAATATACACGTGCCACTGTTGCTCTCAACGTCGCTTGCACTCACCTGGCTAATTTCTTGTGCTTGGAATTGTGGCTGTGATCCTTCGTTTCGGTGCTCCAGCTGCGTTACAGACACCAGCTGCCTCGATGCCTGGAAAGCGATGTCAAGAGCTCATGCTTCCATTCGCGCGGCAGCATTTCTTCTCGATAATGTATTTCAGCTCGTCAGAATAGATACACGCTCCTTATTTAGCTAGCGCAGCTAAACAAGGTTTGCTACCCTTGAACATTCGTGTCTTCTACCGCCGGGCTCTAAACGATCTGTGGAGTAAAGATTCAAGCGCAACTACAGGGAATCGATGGCCTGTGCTGGCTCGAACACTGTTGTCTTAGACAACCTCGTTTGATCAAACGCCTTTCTGTGAACGATTCGACGAAACGCTACGGGCGAGGTCAATAGATCCTTTGCCAAGTCTTCGTGTAGCCGGCTATATTAATCTCCTGACTTCAAGACTTGTTTGGCGCAAGTCCATGCTGTTGTGTGTGGGGCAGTCGAATGGATGGATTAATCTAGGCCCGTGACTCAATATTTATGTGGCGATGCCTCCACGCACCATCGTGACATCGAGAATATGCTCTGTAAATTTCTGAGTGGAGCGGCTGGCCTCTACCTATCGGAACCGGGTAATTGAGCTGATATTTGAGTGGCACCTGGGTAAAGTCCCTCGCTTTCTCCATCGGTCTTGGGAGTTGGAGTGACAACCTATGGTAGCATGGGTTGGTGTTCATTTGCCTGGCAGGTTTTTATTGGTGCAGAAACAGTCTGCCATCTGAGATGGCCACGCAAACTACACAAGTTTCCTGCGCCCAGCTTTCAATTTGGAAGCACTCTTCGGGGACCATGCGTCCGTCGCTCTTCTATGGCCTTTCTGCGGGGGATACCTCGTGCTCTGTACCGATAGATTGGCTTGAATCTGCGCAGAGCGCCTCCCGGACTATACGAGGCGTTCGTTTAGGCTTCGCGGCCGCAATTCGTGCAATTCGCAAACCTCATTCGTGCAAACAACAAGTCACCGGAGCAATTTAACCTACAAGGCACAGAAGAGCCTCCGTGGAACCATGGATCGGCTTTATAAAGACCATCATCGTCTTCTATATGAGCTCGCCCAAGGAGTCGGATAGCGTCGAGCCCTTGTCAACTCATCATTGTACCCTCCGAGCCAACTCACCGCAATGAGACTTTTTCAGTCCAACGCCGACTTCCTGTCGGCTGGCATCGCGCTCCTCGCTTCGGCGGGAGCTGCCGTGGCGCAATGTAGCCTTCCCTCGACGTACCGCTGGTCATCTAGCGGCGTACTGGCCACTCCGAAGTCCGGATGGGTCTCGCTCAAGGACTTCACAACCGCTCCGTACAACGGCCAGCATCTCGTCTATGCCACAACCCACAACTTCGGGGACTCCTGGGGCTCGATGAACTTTGGTCTCGTCTCCAGCTTCTCGCAACTGGGCTCGGCCGCCCAGAACACAATGAGCTACGGGACTGTTGCGCCGTCGCTCTTCTACTTCGCCCCGAAGAGCATCTGGGTCCTCGCCTACCAGTGGGGAGGGAATGGTGCGTTCTCGTACCGGACGTCCACGAACCCCACCAATGCGAACGGCTGGGGAGCCGTGCAACCGCTGTTTACCGGCACCATTTCGGGATCCGGCACGGGTCCGATCGACCAGGCAGTCATTGGTGACAGCACTACCATGTACCTGTTCTTCTGTGGCGATAACGGCAAGATTTACCGCGCGAGCATGCCTATTGGCAATTTCCCCGGCAACTTTGGCTCGGCATCGACAGTCGTTCTGAGCGACACCCAGAACAACCTCTTTGAGGCAGTCCAGGTGTACACGCTGCAGGGCCAGCAAAGATACCTCATGATCGTCGAGGCGATCGGTTCCCAGGGACGCTACTTCCGTTCGTTCACGGCCACCAGCCTTGGCGGTGCCTGGACTGTCCAGGCTGGTAGCGAGAGCAACCCCTTCGCCGGCAAGGCCAACAGCGGAGCTACTTGGACCAACGATATCAGCCACGGCGAGCTGATCCGCGTCAGCGCCGACCAGACCATGACCATTGATCCCTGCAAGCTCCAGCTTCTCTACCAGGGACGCTCGCCCTCCTCTAATGGAGTCGATTATGGTCTTCTGCCTTACCGCCCTGGCCTGCTTACTCTTACGAACCCTACTGGAAGCTCTCCTCCCAGCACTCCTCCCAGCACTCCTCCCAGCACCCCGCCCTCCACTCCACCGTCCACACCTCCCCCTAGTAGCGGCACCGTTCCTCAGTTTGGACAGTGTGGCGGCGAGGGCTGGACCGGAGGAACTGTTTGCCAGGTATTTGAGCAGCCTCCTCGCAATGCATTGACTAGTTGCTAACGTATAAACAGAGCCCTTACAAGTGTACCGTATCTAACCAGTGGTACTCTCAGTGTCTTTAAAGGATAAGTAGAGCAAAGATATGTGTATCGAAGGGTCGTTCAGTGGAGGTTCCCTCGTTATGGTAAATCTCTGTAGAGGAACATCTGATGGGAGGCATGATTGGAGCGAGGAGTCAACTTGTCACGTACACTACGATATATGGGCAATGTGTCATCGTATGTTGATAGTGAGCGAGCGGGTACTTATTGAACTGTCTCCTTGTACTGGACGTTCCTAGGTGCGATTGGAGAAGCACCTTGCCTATTTGAAGTTGATCCCAGTACAGTCTATATGATGGGAGTTTCCTCTGCACCAGATTCTTCCTTACGCCACGTGAGGTGCGTGTATCTCTCTACCAAACTCCGTGTTGCGAAAGAGGTTTTATAATATTTGCCATGTACGATCCATATTTACGCTCGATCAGTTTGAATCATGATGCATAAACCCGTGATTGACCGTATGGGAGGAGGCGTCGATGGTAACCCAACAGGTCCGGACGGGATGCTCCAACTGAGCGTTGCAATCTACTGTGCCGGTTCACCGTTTGTATCCAGGTTGCTAATTACATAGAAAACATAGTTCCTCACTGGAAATCTACGGCTAAATGAAAACGGTTTGCTGGCTGGGGTGTGTTTGCTCTCCATGTTGCGGCAAGCAAGGGGTACGCTGGATGTTTGCAGCTTCTTATCGACCGAGGAGCCGATGCCTTAGTCCAGTCTCGACCAGGAAACATTTCAAGACCTGCTGTACGCATCGTAAAGAACATCCAATAAAACAACGGTTGGACGAGAGGTCCAAAAGTTTATTATTACATGTTGTTGACAATGCCGCTTGCGTCGCCACCCTCCTCGGGGTCTAGACGCATGTCAGTGGACCACAAAGAACACGTCCTATTTCTTTGGGCTGCGGAAGATGATTAAAATGAATTAATGGGACTGCTTCGGCCCCATGTAATTTCTGTTGGCGATTCTAGAGAAGATAGCGGCACGGCTCTGGGCATTTTTTGCCCAACTTGAAAAGAGAGTCAACCGGGAGAGGACTCGTTCGCTTAGTAAAAAATTGCCATGTTATGCAGAACCATTGGTTCTGTGTACTCTCAAACTCGATTCCCGAATTGGAAATGACTACATGTATTAATGTAAGAATGAAGGAAAACATGTGTGCCGCTGTTCAAAGAACAGACCTTGAGTGAGTCGTAGTCATTGGGTTTCACACTTTGAATGTCGGTTTCTGGCGAGAAGCAATCCTTTCAACAAGAGAATGGAAATGAATGGTTCCTCCCACCAACTCTGACCTTTAGTAGCCAAAGATACAAATAGCGTACCGTCCTTCTGCTGTTGGACACTGCGAACTAGGCTGTCCCATCTTGACAATGCAGTTATCTGAAGCTCACATTGTATTAAACAGAAGGACCTTTCTTCTTCTCCTCCGTAGGTTGTTCACTAGGGGTCTGTTGCAAAGACCTTCCCACTTGATCATGGGTTGCATCCCATTCGGCGAGCTCGGCAAAAGGCACCTTGACGAGCTTGTGGCTCTGTGCGCCATCCGCCAGCTCCAAGACTTGCTGACGAATTTCGTATCCCTTCAGCTTGGGAACAGCATAAATCCAGAGCCAATAGTAGACGCCACAACCCACCAGGCTAGTACTTCACGTTAGTCTTGTGGGAACGCCAAGGAGAGAGGTGCCCCCAAATTATCAGCACTCACATCCCAATGCCAGCGACAACGTAAGTCGCGTACCAGAAGCTGACGTCGCCGGCAAACGGACCGCCGTCAGGCGGATACCAGGGCATGACAAGGAGGTAAACATCCTTGGCGATATTGAAGATAACGATAACATCCCACGTTTTGAAAGCAGGCGGGGGCAGGTTAAAACTTTTGCGCCGCCATCGGACTACGTACAGGCCGGCCGACATCAAGAACCCGAAGAAGGCTGACGGGTACACTTTCAAATCAGCAACTGGGTCATGGTTAGCGCATGGGGGATAATTATTTGTCAACGGTGTGACTGACTAAAGTCAAAGGCATCACCAGCGGGCGGTGCGACGACCATGATGACAGTCAACATCCACTTAACAAGATACGGGCCCAGAGTTGTACCGAACGGCCTCGTGGAGGCCCAAAATCTGGGATATGGCAGAACTCCCTGTCTGTAAAGTCTGATTAGTAACTGGCACCGGGTGTTGACCTCGGAGCACTCGTACCTCCCACACTCCCGAAGCATGCGAGAAGATCCGATCAGGACAGTCAGGAGGTTGCCGAAAGAACTCAAGGCAATCAAGAAGTTGAGACCCCTGACGGCCCGGCCGGAGCCGAACACATTCCCGAAGAACAAGCTTGCAGCAATTTGTTTGGCAGCGGCGAGATCTGCTTTTGGAACTGAGGTGTGCCTGTCAGTACTTGAGTCTTGGCCAGAGGGATTTCAGTCACATCAGCTTACCAGCAGCGAAGTAGGCTATATTGGCCAACAAGTAGAGTACAGTAACAATTGACAATGCGATCCACCCGTTCTTTCTAATTTGACGAACCGGATCCTGGGAAGCTAGTCAGTATAGCCCCGGTAAACAGAAGAAAGGTCCAGGTCTGGGTTTCGTGGTTCAGCATACCTTCACTTCATTCACCACATTGAAAGCGTTCTCGTATCCCGAGTACGAAAATATGATTCTGTAAAGTGCATTCGTCAGACCGTACGCCGTTGCCTCTCCTTCGAACGGGTTTTTGAAATTGGCATGCGGCTCGGGAACCCTGGTGTGTCCTCCGAGAACCACCAGACCCGTGATCGAGATGAAGACCAATGTAGCGAGTTTGACAACGCCGATTCCATTGGAAAATCGGTAGGCGAAGGTATTATCGAGTGCGACAACTGGCAAGTTGATGTTAGCGTTGGTGACATTGACACCACGTTCAAATGGAAGGCTTACCTAGAGTGGCGACTGTGAACCCAGCCACAGCAACACCTTTAAGCTGCCATGGGCTAGGTTCTACACCCGCTACCCTGAAAAGGTATTGCGAGAGTACTGTGATAACTCAGTGTTCGCCACGAGCAGTCTTTTCTGCATGGAAGGGATTACTGATTGCATTGCCACTGCTGAACGATAGAGCAACAGACTGAAAAGCAAAGGCAGTTGGGAACAGCCATTTCGGTCGCGGCCAAGCTTGCTCGAGGTAGACGACTTCGGATCCAGACCGGTTGGGGAAGTACGAAGCGAACTCGAGGTATACCGAAAACGAGGCGATCGAGGTCAGGAAACCAAGAGCCCAGTAGACCATGCTGAGACCCACAGACCCTGTGCCCTTGAGGATGGACGAAGCTTCGCGCCCGGCCTCATCAGCAACGCACACTGCGAAACCTGGGGATGCGGCTCACGAGTAGAGTATACTCCAGTACCGATCATCATGCCAATGTTAAGAAAGATGATCGTGATCGGACCAACGCCGTATCCAAGAGGAGAGCTGGTTTCGACCGGTGCCCCGGAGGCTTCCTGGTAGGAGGGGCCAGAGTTGTTGCCGCCCTTCTCGACGACATAGTGAAGACTGCCATCCGTGACATCAGGCCCGCGTCCCGAAGTGTCGTCGGGACTGACATTGTGAGTCCGGCGATTCAAAGGCCGTCTCAGGACCGACATCGTGAGAACCTGAGCTTGGCCCGCGCAAGCCGATATCAAGAGAGAGCAAAAGAAGTAAAAGGAAGGAATCTCAATGATGCTATTTTCATCTGCCAAGTATTATTCATGAAACCTGCTCGGATACCGAGCTTGTGAAACAAGATGGGACGGCTGGACCATATAAACAAGCTCATGCCGTCGCGTGGGGGATCCCGTCGTGTTTGGTCCCAAGCCCACCTCACAGACCCCCTCTTCACACGTGCCTAACATGCTTGGACCGATTTTCATCCCCATAAGCATCAGAAAATTTCCTATGGGGCTGTTTTGTCTCATCCTAACTCGTATTTCCGACGGCACGAGCCCATCAGTTAGTGAGGGATTGCAATTCCCTCACAGCTGCGAAAAGATGGCCTCTGGAGTCGCTATACACTTCTCTATGTCCGACGTGATGATGGCTGTCCGTTCTATAGTCACTCTCCAAGATACCAACGACGTTGACAATCCAGCCAGAGGCGACTCATTCTGGACAATGCCATCCAGTGACGACAAGTCGGTGCAGCTCCATTGGCTCAGCAGTCGTCTGACAAGCGTAATGAAGGACGCATCCCTTGATTCTGTCGGCGTCGGGATCAACATAAACTCGTGGAGACACATCGCGATTGCCTGGAAAAAGCGGTCTATTACCCACGTGGGGCCTTCAGGTGACGAATCATTCCCAAAGGCATATGCCAACAGTCACAGAGACGACATAATGGGTGCTCAGCTTGCAATCTGGAGTTCCAATAACATGACTGAGGAGATGTGGCGATAAGACAAGTTAAGTGTAACGGCGCGCCTGCGCAGGATGATGAGTTCGGCAGCTGTCGGTCTAGATGCCATTCTTGCTACGCGCAAGTCATTTGTTTGACGGAAGCGGTCGGTTGAGCAACTGGTATGGTCATTGTTGGTTGCCGATTCGAACCCCCCTTGTCTTGACCTGGTCTTCTACCACTTCCCACGTCGACGTCATTCAACCCTAGCAAGATGTCATTGGGTTCAGTGGAACCAACAGTACGATGTTCAGGCCAGGGCCTGAGCTCCGAGGTTGATGTGCGGTTTGGCTACTCAGATATCACGATAAACCCGTCTTTACGATAAAACAAGTCATGAACTATGCGATTGCGAATCAAGTGTCTATTTGCACCACAACATTGATGGAAGGTTTTGGAATAGCACGATGTAAAGCAGAATTCTTGCATTGTATGTCTTGGCCAGACGCGTGGTCTAGATAGGTATACAAATGAATAGCCGGGTATCAAAAGGATACCTGATGGAAGATCCGTCCATCAGAATGCCGAACTAGTAATATCCTCCTCAGGCTTGGACTCCCCTCGGCTTGCGCTGCGGATCTGGGGCTCAATGGGGAAAACAGACTTCTCCGGGGTCACGCCGGAGTAGACGCGATCCCAGCGGTCTCTCAGCGCCTCGGGGGTCTCCCAAGCGTTCTGGGGGTCTCGAAGCCAGAGTCGGATCAGATGAGGCCTTGTATAAACAGTCAGCACTCGGGTACTCTTTGCCTGTTGTTATGTGCCACTTACTGCTTATCGTCAGAGTTCAACTTCACAAAACCCCCGCGGGCGTGGAAGATGCTCAAGTTGTTGGCGTACTGGATATCGCCCTTGTGAAAATCCAGGGAGGCGGCGGACTTCTCGGCGAGAAAGTGGAGGGCATCCAGGGCCTCGGCCTGCGCCTCCGCGATGGTCGGGATGTCGGCCGACCGCGGCAGGCCCCAGTAGCCGGTGAAGACTCGCCGAGCGTATTGAATGATGAGGCGCTCGGACTTGCCATCAGCTGCCGGTTGATGGTGCAGGAGGGTTCTGCTGCTGTACGCCCTGCCGTCCTTCCCGAACCTAATCCAGGTTTTAGCCAGATCCCTACAATGCACATCAGACGAAAAAGGACTTACTCATCAGATCCGGCCTGGTCCTTGCCAGCTCGTTGTAGACGTGCCAGCTGCTCGACAGAAAACTCTGGCCGCCTTCGGCGGCTTCGCCGAGGGCGAAGAGCGCAATCACATCGCCCGCGTCTGTGTGGAAGACCTGCTTCTCCGTGGTGTACGCCGGCGCCCCGATCCGGTGGGACAGAATAGGCGATCTGCTACAGACCCATTTCAGAAGTTAGAATAGGTTATAGGGCCCAGGGAGATCCAAGTCTTCTGTCACGATGCGGAACAGGTGTAGCAATCCACCGTAGGGGTCGGAACGGATGAGGTGTTCGACATGTTCACGTCCAAGATTGACGATATCCTCATCAGGCTCTCCCTCAGGGTGGACCGGAACACCACCCTCTTCGGTGCCTTCAGGGCGAGTGCCGGAAGGGTCTAGAGTATCAGCAACCCCCTTTGCGGCGAATGTCTTCTGACGTTGGACGAGGGAATCGATAGTACTATCGGCAATGACTTCAAGGGCTTGGGCCTCTTCGGTTTCGACTTTCTAAAGGACGATGTTGTGGACGTCAAAGGACACGAGCATGCCCTCGCGCATCGTGGTGTTGGTGCCGAGGAAAGGGAAAGTCTCTTGGCTAATCTCGCCCAGTGGCTTCTTCAAAGCTGAGTTTTAAGTGAGTGACTGATACGTCGATTTTGTAACGCGAATGTGGAGTTCACCTACACTTGAAGTGGTTGAGTGCCTCGTCGATCTCTTTTTGATCGTCCTCCGTGAGAACACAGTTCCAGTCATAGTGCTCAGCCAATGTCTTGCCATCCCAGACCAGCTTTGACTCCAGGTTCTGGGGGAAGCCATCTGGCAATTGTCTTGTTGAGTCTCTCCTGCTCCTGACGACGTTTTATCCGAGCCAAGTAGTTCTCGTAATTAGGGGTGTATGCGATGTCTGGCTGGCCCGGAGGACCAGGAAGTGATGGTGGCTGAACTGCAGCGGCTGCCATGGTATGTATGTACTCAGGTTATAGTCTTTGAAATATGATTTCATTTAATTTCCCACGTTGAATGGGATTTAAATGGGAATTTAACCGCTTTTATCACTGGCCGGGTCAGATGAGAAGCGGGCACGAGACGACGCCCTAAGCTTCATTCGAACGTTCGTAGGTGGAGAGCATCAAATGACGAAATGGCTCGGAGGCCTATCCCGTGGTAAGGGCCTTGTATAAACGTCGTGGCACTCGTCAGGTGAGCCAATGAGAAAGTATCATCATGGGAATTGCATTTGTCAGACAACCTCCTAGCTGCACCGAGCACGCGAACCAAGCAGCTGTTCTTGAGCTCTCAATGGCTGCAATAGGCCTTGCTCACTTTTGCCATTCGGCCCTGAGAAGGCGTCGTGCCGCGTTGTGTTGCGGCTTTGCGGGGAAGACTGAAACACGATTCGACGGCGTCATCCTCCCGCTGACGTCGCAATCGGAAGCCAATCTCCTTGCGTGCAACGGGACGGGCGATCGTCTGCGGCGCACAGTCGGAGTTTATTCGCAAGATGTGGCTTGGGAACAGGGCCAAGCTCCGAGATGATGGCCCGGCTGGCTGTGGAGGCAAACCAAGCCCTGGCCGTAATCCGCCTAACCAACGGGTCCGCATATATCGTAACGGAGAACCGCCGTCCCCACCCGGTCCGGTCCGGGTATTCCGGTCGCGACCCACCAAAACGGCCGAATGGGGTCGTTTCCGGCGCGGAGTGAGCTCCCGCTCCTGACATAAATATGCCGCTGCATGCTCGGTAGTCGTCAGACATTACGGTCCATCAGTCAGGTCCATTTTCCAGGCTCTCTTTCAGCATGGAGGCAGTGGAAAAAGGGGACAAGAAACCCCAAGAGAATGCAATCCGCCAAACTGCAGAGTGTCAAGTCACCGAATCCACGAATCCGTCACCGCGTGGGCTGACGTACAAAAAAAGCCGACTTCTGGCCCTCGACTGCGACTAAAATAGCTGTTGGGGGGGGGGGGGGATTACCTTTGGCCCTCAACGGATGATACATTAGGAGCGGAATCCTCGCCTCGCCTCTTTGATTCGCCAAAGCATCGCGTCGTTCCGACGGAGACCCGTATCACAACCCAACCCAACCCCTTTCGTCCATCGTTATTTGGCTTTCGCAAGCATCACTTCGCTCAGATGGGGGGTCGTGACACGGGTAGTGTAGGCTTCTCCAGCCGAGTCTTGGCCCTCGTCCGACCTTTTCGTCGACCCCGCACCCCCCCCCCCCCCCCCCCCCCAGCCCCTGTACCTTTCCTCCGCAGCCGATACGGCTTCTGCAAACCAGATAAGACTCTCTTGGCAGTGCGACTCGCTCGGCATACGACGAGACGATGGTGATTCACTGGCGATTGACGTGCCCAAGTAGGAAGGTGCTGACGGGAGAGGGAGCGGGGAAGAGTTGACAATGGGTAAATATAATGTAGCTCACCATTGCCGACTGAACGTTATCGAGGTTGCTATCCTCTCTGTGGCCCCTCCTGCTTGTCAATCTCTTCTGCGGACGCGCCAAGATGAAGTCTCGGCTGTCCATCCTCGCCCTCGCCGGCACGCTTCTCCGCTCCTCGGTGGCCCAGTTTCCCCCGAGGCCCGAAGGACTCACGGTGCTGCGATCCAAGTTCGGTCAAGGGATCGAGATCAGTTACAAAGAGGTACGTGTTTCCCTGTCCGAAGCCACAAGCGGGCGCGAAAGGGTCTGACAACGCCGCCAGCCCGGTCTGTGTGAAGAGGCCAAGGGCGTCAAGTCCTACGCCGGGTACATCAAGCTCCCGGCCGGGACCCTCGAAGGCGTCGGCCAGGCGCAAGACTACGAGATCAATACTTTCTTCTGGTTCTTCGAGGCCAAAGAAGACGCCCAGAACGCCCCCCTGTCCATCTGGATGAATGGCGGGCCCGGCAGTTCGTCGATGCCCGGCATCTTCAACGAGAACGGCCCGTGCTACATCAACAAAGACTCCAACTCGACCCGGCCGAGCGAGTGGTCTTGGAACAACAAAGGTAAGGAAAGGAGCGCTCTTTGACACGGCGATCCTCCGCCGCTCACACTTCTCCCAGTCAACATGTTGTACATCGACCAGCCGGTCCAAGTTGGCTTCTCGTACGACTCGCTGCGCAACGTCACCGTCGACCTCTTCGGAGGCACCCAGACGCTCAACGCGTCCAGCCCCGTGCCGCCGCAGAACGCGACCCTCAGGACGGGGACCCTGCCGAGCGGGAACAGGAACGCCACGAGCTGGGGGAGCCGCAACGCCGCCATCGCGCTGTGGCACTTCTCCCAGGTCTGGTTCCAGGAGTTCCCCGGCTACCACCCCAGCGACGGCCGCATCAGCATCGCGACGCAGTCGTACGGCGGCCGGTACGGCCCCGCGTTCGCGGCCTACTTCCAGGAGCAGAACGAGAAGATCAGGAACGGCACCTGGAACGGCACCGCGGGCGAGAGGCACATCCTCAAGCTCGACACCCTCCTCATCGTCAACGGGTGCGTCGACCGGCAGGTCCAGTGGCCGTCGTACCCGCGCATGGCCTTCAACAACACGTACGGCGTCGCGGCGGTCAACGAGACGGTGTACCGGGGCATGGTCGACGCCTACGGCAGGGCGGGCGGGTGCCGCGACCAGATCGACGACTGCCGCAGGGTCTCGGCGGTCTACGACCGGGAGAACACGGGCGCCAACGCCACGGTGAACGGCATCTGCCAGGCGGCCGAGTCGTACTGCACGCGGCACGTCCGCGACCCGTACCTCGACGTGTCCGGCCGCGACTACTACGACGTCACCCAGGTCGACCCGACCCCGTTCCCGCCGCCGTTCTCGGCCGGCTTCCTCAACCGGCCGCACGTGCAGGCCGCCCTCGGCGTGCCGCTGAACTGGACGGGCAGCTCGGGCGCGTCGGCGGCCGCCTTCCGCGGCATCGGCGACTACCCGCGCCCCGGCTGGCTCGAAGACCTCGCCCGCCTGCTGCACGGCGGCGTCAAAGTCGCGCTCATGTACGGCGACCGCGACTTCGCGTGCAACTGGATCGGCGGCGAGGACGTCGCGCTCGCGATCCCCTGGGCCGGCCAGAAGAACTTCGCCGCCGCGGGCTACGCGCCCCTCCAGACGAACTGCACCCACGAGGGCGGCCGGGTCCGGCAGTACGGGAACCTGTCCTACATCCGGGTGTACCAGGCCGGGCACGCCGTCCCGGCCTACCAGCCCGAGTCGGCGTACCGCGTCTTCAACCGCGCCCTGTCCAACAGGGACATCGCCACCGGGAGCGTCGACACGGCCCGGAACCAGACGTACAGCACGCAGGGGCCCGCCGACACGTTCGGCATCAGGAGCGAGGCGCCGCCCCAGTACGAGGACTTTTGCTACGTGCTCGACACGAGCACCTGCAGCCCGGAGCAGGTGGCGGCGCTCCGCGCGGGGACCGCCGTCATCGAGAACTACATCATGATCGAGCCCGCGAGCGAGCGGGGCGCCGCCCCGGGAATCGAGGCGAGGGACATGTAAGTCACGCCCGCCCGTGTGGAGTGCGCTCGATGTGTATGCTGACTACCGTGCTACAGCCTCGATGAGTAATAGAGACTTGGTTGTTGAGAAGAGCCGTTGGGGTGTAGAGAGCATGGGTTGATTGACGAGTCTTGCAGATTCATGCCGGGCCAGCCGCGCGCTCGTAGAGTAACGATTCTAACCGAGGCGGGCGTGTGAGTTGCAGAGGTCCCCGGAGAAACAATGCATCCCACCACCGCACCTCTATCGAGATATGTGCCCGGAGGTGCACCAATAACAATCGCATTAACTCTTTCACTATACTCTGATACTCTTCTTGAGTGGTCCGCTCAAGCAAATAATCAGGAAATCGTAGTCGGGTCGTTTTATTTTCCAAGCCGTCGGATTAGACAGGGACTTAGTATGGCCTCTATAACACGCTCTGAGCATCATCTTCCCAATATCCGCCTCCGGTCATCATCCAGCGCGGCTCTCTGCAGTGCGAGGTTAGACAGCCATGCTGCCACGGGTATGGGGACACGGCCCTTCTGCGGCATCTGCCCAGATGTCATTGGTGTAGGCGCACACCAATATCCCATTCCTGTCGGTTTTCTTGTTAGATCGGATGTGGTCATGTTGCGTTGGGTGCTCACGTGAATGAAGCGGCCCAACTCGATCCAGTTCTCCCAAGTTGTCGTCTTCGAGGGAGCAGCTCACCCAGCGAAGCCGGCTTCTTGTACGGGTTAATACGTATGTGAAAAGTCCGTGAGCAACGGGATCGACTTGGAGTCACGATGAACATACGAAGCATCATGTGTTTTTAACCCAATTTTTTTTTTTTTTGGCTCTTCTATTACGAGTTTTGCCTGGGACACTTCCCCCCATCTCGGAATACAAAAGCCCGCCCCCCCCTTACAACCCAGCAGCGAGCGTATACCCGCCGTCCACAGCGAGCGTCTGGCCGTTGAGGTACTGGTTGCACGCGAAGAACAGCACCGTCGCGGCCATGTCCTCGTCCTTGCCGGGCCTCCCCGCGGGCACCTTGTCGGCGTACTTGCTCTTCGGGATGGCGCTCTTCTGCTCCTCGTCGGCCGGCTCCTTGGTGGTCATCTCGCTCGGGAAGACGCCGGGGGCGATGCTGTTGACGCGCACCTTGAGCCCGTTGGCGGCGACCTCCTCGGCCAGCATGCGGTTGACGTGGATGGCGGCGGCCTTGGAGGCGTTGTAGGAGAAGTGGTGCTGCGACTTCTTGATCATGCCGCTGATGCTGCTGATGTTGATCATGGTGCCGGACCAGCCGGGCCGCGCGTCGCTCGACTTCTGCAGCAGCGGCAGCGCGCGCGCGGCGACGTAGAAGAGCGCGGCGACGTTGGTGCGGTACGTCGACGTCCAGTCGTCGAACGTGGACGAGTCGGAGCGGAAGAGGGCCGAGGCCATGTCGTCGGCGCCCGAGCTCTCGACCTCGACGGGCCCCGAGGACACGCCGGCGTTGTTGACGAGCACGTCGAGGAGCCCGCCCTCGCGCGACTCGATCTCGCCGAAGAGCCGGTCGATGTCGGCCTTGCTCGTCACGTCGGCCTGCAGCGGGATGATCTCCCCGGCGACGTTCTGGCTGTAGGTCTCGGTGGCGTTGTCGAGCTTGTCCTGGTTGCGCGAGACGATGTAGACGCGGGCGCCGTTGGCCGCGAGCGCCTGCGTGGCCATGAGGCCGATGCCGGTGGCCCCGCCGGTGACGAGGGCGACCTTGCCGGTCAGGTCGAAGAGGTGGTCGCGCGTGAAGAGGTCGTTGCCCTGGGGGCCCGACGTCTTTTGCCCGGTCGACATTCTGGCGCGGACGGGGGTGTTGTTGCGGTGTGTGGTGGATTGGAGGATTCGGGGAGATGGGATTGCTGTGCGTAAAGACAGGAATCTGGTGGTGGTAGTGGAGGAGGAGGTGGTGGTGGTGGTGATGTTGTCGAAGAGAGACGAGGTCGAGGGCAGAGGGCGGCAGTTATAACACATGCTGCTGCTCCTCGCAGCGAGGCCAAGGACTGATGATCTCATAGCCCGTCCGTCTAATCGGGGCAAAAAGCTGCGTCCAATGGGTTATGCAAGAGGGGAAGAGGCGTACAGGTCAGTCAGGAATCAGAGGGGGGGGGGGGGGTCTAACTGATGCAATCCGAACTCATCATGCACAGAGAGAGGGCCCAGGCGGTTCTTATTCTCGTACGGGGGACGTCATCGAGATCCAAGGGGGAGGGGTCGTCTCATCACAGCGTATTATCATTGTACCTAAGCCAACTCAACTTGGACAATGAACATGCATACGCACCTTAGTTCATTTTGCGCGGGGGGGGGGGGTCTCAGATCTCACTCTCACTGAGGATCTCACTGAGGATCTCACTGAGGAGCAAACTTACGTATCCATGAGGTGAGCCGGCGGATGAGGTCAGTGAAGCCCGATGACGACACGCTTCCGCAATCCAATCACCACCGGCGGAGCGAAAGATCCGCCCCGGCCGTCGGCGGGGCTGCAGCCAGATTGCCCTTATCTAAGCATCTTAGTCATCCGGGTACATAGGTACGTACCTGCAGTGAGTGTGCCCCGCCTGTTTGACCCTCCCAGAGGCCCCGAAAGCTAAAGCGGAGCCTCCCGATGATGCCGGTACGTACCCTCCCTTTCCCAGCAACACCATCACGACATCATCATCACCTCCCGAACGCGAGACACAGGCGCAATAGTATGAGTCCTATTTGTGCGCACACGCGATGCATCGATTCGTCCTCTCCCCCGTTTGCCAATGCGCGAACCGAGACCAATTCTCAAGACCCGTCCGCCTATAGCTAGGGGCCTCTGTTCCATCCTTGAGGGGTGGTATTTGCACATACATACAAACTAATACAATCCGTCCGTCCATCCCTCCGGTCCTCGGACGGCGATCCCCTAAACACCATCCCGTCCCATCCCGTCCCGTCCGTCCTCACGGCCCTCATCGAACGGTAATGTGCTGGATCGCACTCTTCCACTTCTGCTCGTCCGTCCTAGTTCCTCGAGTTAGCACCCAGCCCAAGAGACACCACCACGCGCGCGCATCGCCCTCGGAACTTACTTGTCAAACTTCAAGATCCTCGCCAGCACCGGCACCAGCTGCTCCCGCAGCTTGTTGTCCTTCTGCTCCAGGAACTGCAACATGATGGTCTTCAGGTACATGGTGTCCGCCGAGGAGGCCCCGGGCGCCGCCGCCCCGGACGCCGCGCCGTTCGGCCCCCCCGACAGGTTCGAGTCCACCGAGCTGCGGCCCGACGTCACGCTCGCCCCCAGCTTGCCCTGCACCGCCTTGAGCTCCTTGCTGACCTTGTCGAACCGCTGCTTCGACTCCTCCAGCAGCCGCCGCAGGTCCGACTTCTGCCGCTCCGCCTCCCGCACCTGCTGCTCCGACGCGTCCAGCGCCGACCGCAGGTCCGACACCGCCGAGCGCATCTCCTCCACCTCGGCCGTCGCCCGCTCCTCCACCGACTCGAGCTCCTCCCGCCGCCTGCGCCACTCCCGCTCCTTGCCCTCGAGCTCCTCCTTGGCCCCCGCCAGCGTCTTGACCTCCCGCTCGAGGTCCCGCACCTTCTGCTTCAGCTCCTCCGTCTCCCGCGCCCTGCGCCGCGCCAGCGTGCTCGACTCGTCCTCGATGCGGTCCCGCTCCTCGATCGCCGCCTCCATCCGCGCCCGCATCTCCCGCACCTTGCTGTCCGCCCGCTCGTCCACGTCCGCCAGCAGCCCCCGCATCCTCTCCGCCTCGCGCGACCGCTCCGACAGGTGCTTCTGGATCTCGGCGAGCTCCTCCTCGAGCGACTCCGACTGCGCCCGCGCCTCCTTGAGCTGGATCGTCAGCTCGCCCGTCTGGTCGCGCATGCTGCCGAGCAGGCCCTGCGCGTTGGCGTACTGCTGCGTCTTGAGGTCCGCCTCCTCCTGCAGCGACTTCTTCTCCTTCTCGAGCTTCTCCACCTGCTCCTCGAGCTCCTGCACCCGGGGCCGCAGCTTGTTGGCCTCCTCCTGCACCTTCTGCAGCTCCCGCGCCGTCTTCTCCTCCCGCGCGCTGATCTCCACCTTTTCCGCTTCCGACCGCCGCAGGTCGCGCGCCGACACCCGCTGCGCATCTTCCAGCCGCAGCCGGTTGTTCGTCTCGCCCGTCAGCTTCTCGCGGAGCGACTTGATCTCCGTCTCGCGGTCCGTCGCCAGCCGCTGCACCCTGGCAACGTCCGACTTGAGGTCCCTCTCCTTCTTCTCCAGGTTGCGGAGCTCCGTGTTCTTGGCGGCGAGCTCCTCCTTGGCCGTCTTGAGGGCGGCCGAGTCCTGGCGCAGCGCCTTGAGCTCGGGCTGCGCCCTCTGGAGCACCTCGCGCAGCTCCGTGAGGTCCTTGAACCGAGTCTGCGCCAGCTGCTCGGCGGCGCCCAGGTCCGACTGCAGCGTCGACGACTTGCTCTTGAGGTCGTCGTACTCGCTCTGCAGCTTGTCGAACTCGCTCTGCAGCTTCTCCTTGGCCTTGGCGTCGTCGGTCGACGACCCGAGCTCCTTCTCGAGCTCCGCAATCCGCGCCTCGAGCGCCTTCTTCTCCGCCTCGAGGTTCTTGATCTTCTCCTTGGCCACCACGTGTTCCTGGCCGATCTCGGTGACTTCGTCGCGCAGCGTCTCGATCTCCTCGCGGAGATCCTCCTCCGTCTTGCGCTGCTTCGTCAGCCTCTCAATCTGAGAATCCTTGGTTGTGACTTCCTCCTTGAGGCGTGTAATCTCTGCCTCCAGGGCCTCCGTATCGGATTCCTTTGCTTCCTCGGTCGCCGGAGGCGTGGCCGTGCCGGCGGTCGTCGCGGATGTTGTAGTAGTAGTAGCAGCAGCCGCAGTTGCTGCCGCTGCCGCAGCCGCGCCGGCCTTCTTCTTCTTCTTGTTGTTGTTCTTCTTGGCGTTCTTGCTCATGCCCGGGAAAGAGGTATCTGTAGTAGGGCCCGGGGTCGTGGGGGTGGCCGGCGGGGCGGCTTCGGCGGCCTGCTGCTTCTCCAGCTGCTTGGTGAGCTCGGCAATGTTCTTCTCGTGCTCGGCCTTTGCCTTCTTGATGTTCTCAATCTGCCCGTTCAGGGTCTCGATCTTCTTCTCGACCTCGGTCTTGGCGGCGACGGCCTCCTTGGCACGCGCCTCTTCCCTATCTGCACGGGCGTTGGACTCGTTGAGCTTCGACTGGACCGCCTTGGCGTCCTTCTTGGCGGATTCGACCTCGCCCTTGAGCTTGGCCTCCACTTCCTTGAGCTGCTTCTGTGATGTCTCCAGACGCTCTGTGAGCGACTTGATTTCTTTGTTCCTGGCTTCCAGCTGCGTCTCAAGGGATGTCTTGACGGCAGCAATGTCGCGCAGTTCGCCGGCCTCCTTTGTCACCTTGTCGAACCTCTCGGTAAGGTCGGCGCTGGAGTCCTGGGCGGAGGCGAGGTCGGCCTTGAGCGAGCCGATCTCGGCCTTGAGCTTCTCAATCTCGTCGTCCTTGGCGGCCATGTCGGCCTCGTACTTGGGGGCCTCCTCGTCGTAGGAGAAGAAGTCGCCCCCGGACTCGTCGGGCTTGGCACCGTCAGGCTCCTGCGCCTTTTGCTTGGGCGAGAAGATGCCCAGGGCCTGCTGCAGAGGCGACTTGACGGCGGCGTCGTCCTTGGTGCTGGTCGCGGCGTCGACCTGCTCCTTGGCCTCGTCGGGCTTGTCGTGGGCGGCCGGGGCGGCGGACTGCGCCGCCCTGAGCTCGTCGACCTCCTTCTTGAACTTCTCGACGTCCTTCTCGGCGGCTTCGAACTTCTTCTTGAAGTCGTCCTTCTCGATCGAGACCCGCTTGTACTCGTCCATGATCATCTGCTCCTTCTGCTTGAGGGAGTTGAGATACTCGACCAGACCCTCGGGTTCGCGGATCGAGCCGACGCTGGTGTGTTCCTTGAGCACGCGCTCGAAGGGCTCGATGGATGTGGCGCGGGTGTGGGCGATTCGGTATGACCGGAGGAGCTCTGCAGAATGGTTAGCACCGTCCGTGCCTTTCTTCCGGCTGGACCTGTAGACGGGGGAGGGGAGGACACGCACCGGGATACGTCTTTTCCAGCTTCTCCAGCTTGCGGAGCTTCGTGCGGATCTCGGGGGACAGTTCCGGCGCCGCAGCTGCAGCTGTAGGGGCGGCGTCAGCGCCGGCAGCAGCGGCGGCGGCGGCGGCGGCGGGGGCACCCTCGGAATCCTTGTCCTTGTCATTATCCTTGTCGGCGTTGCCGTTCTGGCCCTCTTCGGCCTCATCCTTGGGCTTCTCGTCGCCCTTGTCCATGGCGTCGGCCGCGGGCTTGGGGGTTCCGGCGCGGCTGGGTTCCTCGCTGTCGTCGAGGGCGAAGGCGGCTTCGAAGACGGCCGGGTCGGTGTTGGAGGGGCTGGCGGCGGTGTCGTCTTTGAGGGCGTCAGCGCCAGCCTTCTTGGGGCGTCTCGCGGACGACGACTGTCTCGCGGGTGACTGGTTGTTGGTCCGAGAGGTGGATTCGGATCTGCGCGGGGTGGCGCCTCCGGGTTCGATTCGTTGTCGTGCCTGCTCCTGGCGAGCCTGTTCCTCGGCAATGGTCCGATCGATGGCGCCCTTGAGCCTCTGTTGGACACGCGTCGGTTGTTAGCCTCGGCGGGTGATGCAGGAGGGAGACATGCAGAGAGCGAGCGACGACGGGTAATAAGCGGAGGGAGATTGCGCGCAAGGTTTGCACTGGGTCCAATGAACGAGGGTTTGGGGGAGCATAGACGAACCTGGAACATGTTGCCGATCTATGGACGATTGGGATTGCCCTGTGACCATGGACCGAGTCGAGGTGTTCTGACGAACGGCAGGGTAAGGTGAGGAAGCAAAAGAGCTATGCGCAGAAGTCGATGCAAAGGATCGGAGGGCGGTGCATTATCGGTGGTGCAAGTCGGTTTGGACGGTAGGTGAGAGGATGAGAGAGGGAGGGAGAAAGGATGAGCAACGAATGGGACAGACCCTTGGCGCTGCGTGTGTGTGTGTCTGTGTGTGTTCTTTATGTGTCGGCGAGTCGGGGCAGATGGTTTGGAAAGAAGATGAAGAGTAATACACCGTAGACAACTCGATGCATGCAAGCAAGGGGACCCTTCGTACGTGTGTACGTGTACGGATCCGGATACCTTTTCACAGGTGTCCTCAGCGAGCCTCCGTAGCACCCAGCACCCACAGCAGCTGTTGGTTGGCCTGTTACAGCTCCTGTGTGTCTGCCGGTACGCAGGGAGTGGAGCTAGCTGCCCACTAATTGATTAGGTACCACGCGGAGACTGGCGGGTGTGTGTGTGTCCGTCCTTGTTACATAAGCAGCCCACTGGCTGCTACATAAAGCAGCAAGACCACACAAGATAGATAGATAAATCAATGAACTACATATACACCACACTATACCATAACAGTTGGTAGCACAACTGGAAAAATCTAGGCCTACTAGAGTTTTTTAAACTCACTAATCAGAGGCAAACAGAGAAACCAGAATCTAGGCAAATAACCTACTATACCCCTTTTCCCTACCTTGTTAACCTGACTTAACATAACTTAACGTTAACCTAATAACCCCCTTAACTACTACCTATTCTATTTTACTACTACTTATACCCCTATTAAACTCTATTACTTAACTAAACCCCTACTATACCTCTGTATTTATCTATATTAATTAACAACTTATAGCGTTAAATAGCTAAGTTTCTATGTTTTATAGAAACTATAAACCTATCTATTATTACTAAAGATAATAAGGCTATAGCTTAGCAGCTACTAAAGGTAATTCTAGAGAACCTTAATTAACCTACTTACTTTAACACTAACTACTTAGTTAAGTAGTTAAGTATAGCTAAAGCCTTCTTATACTTTCTATAGTAGTAGTAATAAGCTTTAAGGACTTACCTTTAAAGTAATAATAACACTAGTACCCCTCTAGCTCTTACTAAGCTAGTAGTAGAACTACTGTTAACTAACTAACTATCTATAGTTACTATAGGCATTAGTAGACTTAACTTCTCTAGGTTACTAATACCTTATACCTTAGAAGACTTAACTACTATAGACAGTAATATATATATAGGTCCTATTAACTTTAACAAGGGACACCTTAACAAGAGATATTAGAGAGCTATATTTACTTTATCTTAGTTATCTTTTACACTAAATAACACTTAATAGTATACCTTTAACGTTAAGTAACCTTAAACTACCTAAGCCTCCTCTTTATAAGCAGTAAAGAAGACACTAAAGTTATTTACTATAGTAGACTAACTACTTTTAGTAGCAGTAGTAGTTATTATACTAAATATAGCTATAGCTAACACTTATAAAGATATTAATAAAGATTTTATAAACTAAAGATAGTCTATTATTACTAATATAGTAGCACTAATTACTAACGCCTTTAGATAGTTACCTACTATATTACTAGGAGTAGCTATATTATCTTACTTAGCTCTTAACTACGTTAGATTTTTTAATCTAGAAGCTAAAGACCCTACCTAACTAAGAATAGTTACTAATAGTAAGTTAACTATATATACTAATATATATACCTTTATAGATAGACTAAGGACCTAGCTACTACTAGGATAAATAACTAAGTTTATAATATATAGACTATATACCTATAAGGTATAGCTCTAGTTTAGTACACCTAGATTATTATAGACATAGACTAAGAGCTACTATATACTACTATAATAGACACTATCTATACTAAGTTAATTAAACGCTTTTAACCTTATTATAGTAAAGCTATAAAATAATAAAAGATAGCCTTATATAGTATATATAATATTAATAACACAAGGATATTCTATTATACACTTAGATAATAATATATAATACTAAGGCTTATAGTATTATAAATATACTTAGTTAACTAAGAGCTATCTATAAGTTATTTAATAAAGCTATTAAGACTATTATCCTACTACTAAACAAGATAACTACACTAGATAGCTTCCTATAGGAAGTTAAAGACTATAAATCTACTATAACTACACTAGCTAATAAACGTATAGTACATTAGAACTAGATAACTTTAGGCAAGACATAAGTAGCCCCTGTAGGACGTTTTTTATAGCTATTTACGTTATCCTAGAATCTAAGACTAACTAACTAATATAATTAGTGTCCTACTAGCTATAATAATAATTACTATAATAGTAATAGGTATAATAATTAAAAGTAACCTCTTAACTATAGCCTATAACTATTATAACTACTAATAAGATTCTAACTATAATAAAGTTAGCCTAACTAATTTACTAAGTTTTCTAACTTATACTAATTTAACAGAGGATAACTACAAAGACAAAATTAGAATTAAGGACAGTATAATAATAGTTACTATAATAACTAACAGTAGCCTAACTTAGTACCTTTAGTACCTAATAACTAAAGGCTAAAATAGAATAAATAATAGTAACTACCTACTAATGCACCTAGATAGCTATACATAATAGCTTACTATAGAGAGGAAGCCTAAGCTAAAGAATATAGACTATAATATAAATTACCCTCTATTGTAGATAAAGAAGATAAGCCTAATGCTATAGCCTATAAAGACTATAACTAGAGAGTCTATAATAAAGTAGATAATAACTAGGTTAAATTAAGTAACCTTTATACTTTTATTAACAGCGCTAAAGGTAGTAACACCTAGTTTATAGCTATATTTGCCCTCTATTAAGCGCATCTATTAATAAGATAAACCTATTATAAGTACTATAAAAGCTTTCTAAGTAATAACTAACTTTATAAGTATATATATTAATAGTATTAACCTTAATAGAACAAGGAAGACTTCTATACTTTTTATAGTAACTTAAGCTCTATATTAGTATAACTAGTAACTTTAACTACACCTGCCTTACCCTTAGTAATAGTTAAGTCTAATATAGATATATCTATATAGATTAGTATAGGCTTTAGATTTTACTTATAGTCTTACTTATGCTACTAGATTACACTTAACCTATAATAATATAATATTTAACTAGACGTTTATACTAACATAGGATATTTAACCTTATTAGTTAATAGGAAATTTCTCTTTACTTACTACCTTATACTATAAATATATATACGCTTAGTTCCCTTTAATGTCTAAGGTATAGGTAATAATATATACACTACTTAAGACTATATAGTTATAGACCTCTACTTCTAAGGCTACTAACTAACTAATAGCTAGCTAGTAATAGTAATATTTACTAGAGAGATAGCTATAGTAGATAGTCTAGTAGTAAATATACTTGTTAGTATAGACTACTTAGGCCCTAAATAATTTAATATCTATAATAGTAAAAGGCACACTATTATTACCTTATGTAATATAAAGATACCTATAGTAGTATAGTGTAATAATATAAGATATTAAGCTAAAGTTATAGCTTAACAGTAGGTAACTATACTACCTTACTTTATAACTAACATCTAAGTATAGTACACTATATAGAATATATACTAGGACTTACTCTTTAAACCTACTAATCTCCTAGTAGCTATATATATACTGTTAGTTAACACTAGTCTATAGTATATTACTATATTTAACTATATAAATAAACTATAGACTATTTAATAACACTAACTTCTTAGTTACTTAGTCTTTATTAACCTATTAGCATAGGTATAGCTAGTTAATAGCTAGTAACACCTAGACACTATAAAGCTTACTTTAAAGGAACTATTATAACTAGAAGCTTAACTTATCTAGGCTATACTAATTAATAACTAAAAACAGGTCCTAACTATTACTTACACTACTAGTATTAAGATTTATAATTACTAACTTAACGCTAATAGATTATTATAGCTATTAGACTACTACACTTATATTTTTTATAATAATAGCTTTACTAATATTCTAAAAGACTAATAGATATAAGTACACTTTAAACCTAACTAGTATAAGCTACTGCCCTAATAATACAAGATCTACCTTATTAGCCTAAAAGAAAAAGAAGTTATTAAATATACTTTTAATAAGCTTAGTAATAAACTCTACTGCACTAAATATTAAGTGCTAGTAGTATACCTAGTTTTTATAGTCTAGAGATAGCTAATAGACATATAGTAAAAAAAGAAGTCTTAATAAGTAAAAAAACCTTAGTAGATAACTATAATAGTAAAAAAAAATAACTAAGATAATAATAATAAAAAGAAAGGATAAATAGTTATTAATGTCTAACTACTAAATATAGCTATT